ACACCATTTCTTTCGCGTGTCTATCGAGATTTGCGGATCATCAGGGTCAGCTTTGTGTTAAAAAGGCCGTCTGTTTCGGCCAAAGTTGCTCCTTTATAATAAAGAATTTTACAAGAACTCTCGTTATTTGTGATTGCTTGAAAGTGATCTCACCTCACGTTAAATCTCACTCTCTGAAACTTTTCTTGGAATTCAGCAACGAAAATCTTCATTGTATCCGAGTTGTGTGAAGTTGATACATGTTCTTCAACTGAAATTATTTTGAAACATACTTTTAAAAATCTTCAAAATGACCAAAGATACCTATCTACACGATAGAATTTTGAGTATAAACGATATATGTTAGACTGTCCATACCCGCACGCTAGAAAGCTCTCTGTGGCTTATCGAAAAAGAGCAGGCGTGAATATATCGGTCAAGGGGTGTAGGGATAGCGTTAGATCATATAGATTTTTAAAGGAATTTGGCGGATTTCAAAAAAAAAGAAATCTAACATAAACGAAATCTATGTAAGCCCCTAATCCTTCACGTCCTCTTCTGGACATGTTTCAGACTGCTAGAGTTAGGATAAGGCATTATTAGGCCCCGAAATCGTTCTGTATACTAGCACAATTAAACACACATCGCGACAGACTGTTCCGGCTATAGGTTTATGAAAATAAAGGAAATCACATATCTGTTACAAGGAATATATCTTTCTGTATGAAAAGCAATAATTAAAATATGTTGGACTCGAGTAACTGCCTAATAGCTATCATCATCATCATCATCATCATCATCATCATCATCATCGTCGTCGTCGTCGTCGTCATCGTCATCATCGTCATCATCAGGCGGTGATTATGTGGCACAGTGGTAACACATATTTATAACCCTTACACATACAACTATACTACATGAATGCAGACAAAAACAATAACAACAAAAGACAGAGATGCGGGACGACTATACAAAAAGTGGACTACAAGAATGATTCTGTTATTTCAGTCGGCAGATCGTTAACCGGACGTGATAATAAGAAGTGCGTGGTTCGAGTCTCTCCTCTATGACGCCTGGTATTTATCCAGAAGCTGAAAAACTGCGGTCTGTGCTGTCGTGATTGTGGCATTGGGCATGTAACTTTACACCTATTACTCGGGATGGCATCCGCCGGGCCTCTCGAATGTTGTTCAATGAGATTGTCACCAGCTACCTAAATGAACCCCGCTCCGAAATGTCTCTCGCTGTTCTTGGGACAATAAACCCAGCAAACACACTAACTGTACGTCTCCTCCCCCCCCCCCCCACTCCCCACTCCCCAACTCACCAACTTTTATTTTCTCATTTTCCGTTCAAAGACAGAAGCTGTAATAAGAATGGTTTTTACATGACCACTGGTGGGGAAAGTATTGTAGAACAGACAGTGTTTTTCACTTCAATTTTCGCTGTTCTGCAATGCCTTTTAAAAGCTTTCATCTTGCTGTGCCAAATTAAGAGAGTATGCCGGGCGTTTCAATTCTGAGCTGCGAAAAACCGGATAAACAATCAGCGGTATACAATGTCTCTGAAGGGAAATGAGTTGTCTTTTTCGGAGATTAATTTATAAATTAAACCTATGTAATTTAATATTTTATCAAGCAATGAAAAGAAAAATAAAGCGGTGTAAATTTAACCGTTATTGTGAATAAATATATGAAAAACTTATGACAAACAGGCGTCCAGTCGCATCAACATGCTTATATGCAATTCGAATAAGATTTTGCATCCTCGGCCCCAGGTGAAAATCGCACTACCACTAATCTAAATAAACGATTGTGAATGTTTTAGGACAAGTCATTTCACATATAGAAATTACATATAGCATGGGAGGTAACTCGTACAGGCGGAATGATATGAATTACAGTCATGTAACAGGTATCACATGAAAAAAGATGAAAAAAAACAACAAAAATGTAAAAAAAAAAAAGAAACAAAACAAAACAAAAATGTAAAACAAAACAAAAAATATTCATATCAGTATGTAAATAAGATTTGAAAGACTATTTCAATACGTAGGAGGCAGAATTTCCCAATGCATGTCGTAGTCCTAGTAATTATTCTGCCTAAACTTTGTTAATACTCTTCCGCTTACTTTTCGCAGACATGCCAGGTTTTGTTTCCAATAACTGTAAATTTTTCGTTCGGATTCGTCCTTCAGTCCTCTACAGTATTCTATTCTAAACTGAAACAGTGCGTTATTTCTGTTTGTTTTCGAGAACACTCTATCCCGGAAATGTCAAACGATAATTCACAATCAAGTTGAGCGATTCCTGTAACGGAATCACGAAAGCTAACAAACAAGATCTTACAATAGATTACTGGTAAACCCAGGAAAGTAGAGGAGCTATGTCTCTCTTTTACTTTTCAATCCTTAGATATCACAGAGTCCATCAAGACAGGTTACAGAGACTATGATTTCACTTTCAAATAATATCGACTGGATGGTACACTTTAGCAGCAAAAATATTTTTCTGAGAAAAGTGTTATAAATTCTGCTGCTACACGAGGTTCAATGTTCGTTAGTATGCCTTGCTAATGTTACTTTAGCTCTCGTCCTGAGAGATGTAATTTTCGTTAGAACGCCTTGCTAATATTTCTTTAGCTCTCATCCTGAGAGATGTAATGTTCGTTAGTATGCCTTGCTAATATTACTTTAGCTCTCATCCTGAGAGATGTAACGTTCGTTAGTATGTCTTGCTAATATTACTTTAGCTCTCAGCCTGAGAGATGTAATGTTCGTTAGTATGCCTTGCTAATGTTACTTTAGCTCTCATCCTGAGAGATGTAATGTTCGTTAGTATGCCTTGCTGATATTACTTAAGCTCTCATCCTGAGAGATGTAATGTTCGTTAGTATGCCTTGCTAATATTTCTTTAGCTCTCATCCTGAGAGATGTAATGTTCGTTAGTATGCCTTGCTAATATTTCTTTAGCTCTCATCCTGAGAGATGTAATGTTCGTTAGTATGCCTTGCTAATGTTACTTTAGCTCTCGTCCTGAGAGATGTAATTTTCGTTAGAACGCCTTGCTAATGTTACTTTAGCTCTCGTCCTGAGAGATGTAATGTTCGTTAGTATGCCTTGCTAATGTTACTTTAGCTCTCGTCCTGAGAGATATAGTTTTCGTTAGTTTGTCTTGCTAATATTTCTTTAGCTTTCATTCAGTTGCCAAAACAGGGTCTTTTTAGAACATAATAATTTTTTTTATTGATTTGTTATTGCTGACATTGTTCTTACTTTGAGGACGTTACATGACTTATATTTATATATGGTTTATATTTACAAGGCGGATGATGAGATAAAACATTGTTAGCGTACAATATATCAGACACAGTGTGTTGAAACGTATTTCTGATATACACAAGGACGTATATAATAATGAAGGAAGTATGTTGAATGTAAGGAAGTCTTTCTATAATACAAGGAAACACAGTCCATTCAATGATAACGATAACATTTGATAACCATTATGTAACGATACGCGCTGGTTTAAACTATAAAATATCTACTCCTCTAATGTTTGACCAGAAGTAGGATATAGTTCAAGTTCGTATTTAGGACTTGTATACTTTGTTAATTTTCCTTGTACTTAAAACATGACAAGTGGTGCTTTATAAAACGTGTCTGAGAAATCTCGCAAGTGGACGACTTATTTGACGTCACAGTTAACGGAGTGATTCGGTAAAAAGAGAATAATTCAGCTTGTTTCGTGATCTTAAAAAACTTGTTATTTGGGCGATAATTGCAAAAACTAAAGCACAGGAACCCCCTCTGTTTCAAACATGAAAACTATCCGCGAAAGTTTCTCTATCCACGCACATTGCTAGAAGATGATAAAAAAAGGATTAAAATATTTTTTCAAACTTTTAATTTTTGTTGCTATGCAGTTTTAAGGTCCTTAAATCAAATAAATTTTAACATTTTCGCATTTTGTTTTCTATCATAATGAAAGGGGAAAATCGATTCAAACACGCTGTTGTGAAAATAACAAATATGTCGTTCGGTTAACGACAACGTGAGAAAGTGCTTCATTTCCTGTTGCACCGTATATTCTGACGCTTCTGTCGGGAGAAGAAGTGCAGCAAAATATTGATTTTTTTATTGTTTCATTTTTTGTTTGTTTTGTTTTTTTTATTTGTTTTTGTTTAATTTTTTCACTTTTAAATTACTTTCTATAACCTAACCTTTGGAAATAATAATCATCAGGACAACAGATTTTTTTCCTTCAGAGGAGTAAATTCTTAACGGACAATTTGCATTATTTTTATATTCAGTAAGTAGTGTTGTGTTATAATGTAAAAATAAAAAAAATTAGCGGTATTCTTATTTGAGCGATTTTCTCGCTGAAAGTATTGCGCTAAAATATGACAGCGATAATGGTCACTTCCGTGTATTGTTTGTATCAAACAAATGTAAATGATGCGCGAGTTGTGCTAATTTGCTGAAGGATGATAATGCGGTAACATTTGATTCTGCTAAATTAAGTACACTTTCCGTAATTTATTTGTAAGAAATATTAAATACTTTTTTTCAAATATAACTTTAAACATATCTAAATATAAACACAGACCTATTATTTATTTAAATCTGATGGCTTGATAATGTATTGTATCTATCAAATACATTTAATCGCCTCCTGTCTTAAAAATAAATGAAAAATAAGATTTAGAAAGATGTATACAGAACATAATGATCTTGTATCCGGGAGATTTTTATGCCTAATGATACAGTGACATTGTTGAGGTTCTGGGTACATTGATCAACTTCCTGTGGACGTGCCCATATTACGTGTTGTTTTCTTGTTAAACCGAACTGTCTGGTATCCCCGCATCAACAAAAAAGGTTGGTTTCCTTTACTATAAATAAAACGTAGTTGATTGGTCCGATATGGGCGGTGAAAAATGATGTCATACTTAGTGGCTGTTGAGTGAGAGTGGTACACATATGCAATCCTATATGTATACATACATGAACGCTATCGTGTGCCAAACAGCATGTCGGAGGACGGCCCGAAATTCATCAAATGTGTTGTATGTGGTGATGGTGCCATTGGAAAGACATGTATGTTGATGAGTTACGCTACCAACAAGTTCCCCACGGAATATGTACCAACTGTATTTGATAATTACGCAGGTAAGCAACACACCCGTCCCGTACAGGGGCTCAGACAGGTGTGTAATACTGATGCTCAGGTGTGACTTTGGGGTACAGAGTTGGGACACTAAAATGCTAATACACATCAGTATTTTACACGTGTAAGATATGTTTGATGTTTCAGATAAAATACATTTATGATGTGTTAATTACAGGTCTTGATTGACAGCATGTACGTTGCAACACACCCGGAAGTGTTGCATTCACTTCTCGGCTCGAGTTTAACGGATGAAATGATCATTTGATTGATTATATACATGTATTGGCCGGAGGGAACTTCTGGTCATTATTTACAACTGGACTGGTCAGGGATGTCAGGTGAACTGTATCTAACCATCCACACACACCTGTATGACCAGTGAAAACGCCTCAAGGACAACAGATCTTATTTAGAATTGAGGTCTCAATAATTTACCTGGACATACCGGAAAGTGTCTGAATATCTGGAAATATAATTAGAAATGTGACGCTGTTTTTATCCTGTCTCGAAGTTTAGAACAGAAGTATAACGTCTGTATACAGGCAGTTTGATGAAATATAGGGAATTGTGATTGATGATAAGAGACGCCTATAAACCGAGGTCATCCTAGGTCAAGTTTGTTGTCAGTGCAGGGCGAAGACATTAAGCAACACGCTTATCACTAAATACTCAATTGAAACGAACAAAGCCATCTTTCTTCTCTTCAGATAGTCAGATAGGGTTTTGGCATGTTATGATAATTAGCCGTGAACTGACGTACCTGTTAAGGAATGCTGTATGACTTTAAAAATTAGGGTTGTATTTTTCACTGACATAAATAAAAATCGCATAGTTGTCATTGTTATGAGTCAATGCATTTTTCATACATGTAAACATCACCTGCTAATTATATGACAATAAACTGTCGTTGAAAGGTAGACAACACATTTTACATTGGAAATGCTTTTTTAAACAAATAATTATCAAAACTTGAGTCCCTTACATCCAAAAATCAAAAAGACAACAAGGTCATGTTTTGAAACAAATAATTATTTATGTTTGCCTAAATAGGACTGGGTAAACTTTACCGGTGTCTGATTTCATTTGGAATTCCGATTCGGTTTGGTTTTGCATATATAAATATAGAGATATATATATCTACTGTCGTGTTTCATTGTGCTTGTGCTGTCGTGAACTCATAGTTAGAGTTAGTTGTCACTAATTAAGACTTGACAGGAGTGGGGGTGAGTCAGACCGGAAGTCGAGGACAGTAACACAAAACGTGGGAATGTTAGGGATAAAGTGAATGGCCTGGCGATGTCCTGATCTAGCCCTCTAACGCTACTTCAGTTATAATGTGACAACATAACTACAAACTACATCAAGTGCAGATTATATATATATATATTATCCCTCAGGGCGGAACTGCATATTTGACAAGTAAATTGTTTTATCGACAGACTTAGAGAATGCTTTGGGTCAATTGCCGTCGAGAATGATAAGCAATTACAAGTGCACACATGTCAAAATTCACGGAATGTTTAGGAATCTAGTTAGGATTTATATAAAATATTAAGGACCCCTATATTTTATGTTTCATCACTTATCCCTAAGCGAAATACAATTTTCTATAATTTACAACACAACTATCTTCCTTGTCCTTTACACTTTTTTTCTGTTTGATCTCAATACGTAATATTGACAGGCAGCCCTGACTTTGATTGACGTTATTTACATACACACACACATATATATACGTCTATGGTATATATGATTAACATATTAAATATACACAGAACAGTCAGTAACATCGGTGTCAGATCCGTTCTTCTTTCCGTCCTCTCTACGTGAAAAATATTAACAGGCCTTCGATACTTTGATTTTAGAGTATGATGTTGCAGAAAGATGATGTTGTAGATTGAAGTAAAAACACAAACAGAACCTTCGTATATGACTTAAGCTTGAGCAGTACATATATATGCTGTACGACCTTATATGTCTTCTTTCTACTTGTATTTGGCCCTAAAATATTGACAACGACGACAGAGGGTAAGACAAGATGTATATTTCAGTACAATTTTGGTGTGATGGACGGTTTTATCTAGATCTTATCACCAGGAAATGTTCGTGTAGTAATGTTCCTGTGTTCAGAGATGACATGAGAATGTACGTTTTAATCTCTTCTGTTGTTAGGGGGTATTATTAGGTCCCTGTGGTAAGGCATTTTATCGAAATTTACATACATGCTTATATCTAAACATGAAAGTGAAATTCAAATATAGAGGATAAAACGGGTGAAAATGAATGTTATAGATATGTGAAATGGACAACAGAAATGAGTGTAATAGACATTTAAATTGGACAACAGAAATGAGTGTGATAGACATTTGAAACGGACAACAGAAATGAGTGTGATAGACATTTAAATTGGACAACAGAAATGAGTGTGATAGACATATAGACATTTGAAACGGACAACAGAAATGAGTGTGATAGACATTTGGAATGGACAACAGAAATGAGTGTGATAGACATTTAAATTGGACAACAGAAATGAGTGTGATAGACATTTGAAACGGACAACAGAAATGAGTGTGATAGACATTTAAATTGGACAACAGAAATAAGTGTGATAGACATTTAAATTGGACAACAGAAATGAGTGTGATAGACATTTGAAACGGACAACAGAAATGAGTGTGATAGACATTTGAAATGGACAACAGAAATGAGTGTGATAGACATTTGAAATGGACAACAGAAATGAGTGTGATAGACATTTAAATTGGACAACAGAAATGAGTGTGATAGACATTTGAAACGGACAACAGAAATGAGTGTGATAGACATTTAAATTGGACAACAGAAATGAGTGTGATAGACATTTAAATTGGACAACAGAAATGAGTGTGATAGACATTTAAATTGGACAACAGAAATGAGTGTGATAGACATTTGGAATGGACAACAGAAATGAGTGTGATAGACATTTAAATTGGACAACAGAAATGAGTGTGATAGACATTTGAAACGGACAACAGAAATGAGTGTGATAGACATTTAAATTGGACAACAGAAATAAGTGTGATAGACATTTAAATTGGACAACAGAAATGAGTGTGATAGACATTTGAAACGGACAACAGAAATGAGTGTGATAGACATTTGAAATGGACAACAGAAATGAGTGTGATAGACATTTGAAATGGACAACAGAAATGAGTGTGATAGACATTTGAAACGGACAACAGAAATGAGTGTGATAGACATTTGAAATGGACAACAGAAATGAGTGTGATAGACATTTAAATTGGACAACAGAAATGAGTGTGATAGACATTTAAATTGGACAACAGAAATGAGTGTGATAGACATTTAAATTGGACAACAGAAATGAGTGTGATAGACATTTAAATTGGACAACAGAAATGAGTGTGATAGACATTTGAAACGGACAACAGAAATGAGTGTGATAGACATTTAAATTGGACAACAGAAATGAGTGTGATAGACATTTGAAATGGACAACAGAAATGAGTGTGATAGACATTTGAAATGGACAAGTGAAATTGTCACAAGAAAGGGACACGACAGTGATAAAGAATGTTTCATGTAAGTTGCTATTCAGTTCTGTCAAAGTTATGAAGAAACCCCGGTGCGTTCTGTCTGATAGAGATGTGAGTTATTGTTGGCTTGTTAATAAACATTTCTTTCCATTCCACCGTATTCCTTACACCCACAATTAAAGTGTTCGTGTAGTCTGGAATACAAAGCTGATCTGTTGTATCAACAGTACCAGTTTTCCACATCGCCTGCCAGACGATCACTGGTGCTGTCAGATGAAAGAGAGGAAAATGAACATTGTTATCAAATGTCTGTATAGTGTACAAGTCGGCTCAAATGTTATCGTCCTTACAAAACAAATATCGTGAACTCATTGTGTAACAATCTAAGGATTTGAGAGAAAACTTGGAACGCGCCAACGTCATTAATCTTTCTAGTATAGATAGCAGAAGGCATTTAGAAAAAAAAATGCAGCGAATTCCGATGTTTTGGATAACAACCTGCATAGCTCAAAATTTTTGTATAATATGAAATTTACGGGATTGATAAGTGTTCTCACAAATATTTGAAGTATTTTTCTTATTAATGATGATAAAATACGTGCTTTTTGTTACGATATAAATCTATTCACGTGTCAATGTATGTCGAAGGTCAGATGTGAAAACTAACGAGGAAGAGGTTACATGTGTGTATATATACGGCTGGGTGTGCACTGTACGTAATTCCGATACGGGGAATAAAGGATATGTTTATTGTTACAAAACTGCGGTCACTACAAGCCATAAATCACAGGGACTTGAGACGTTATCAAATATAACACAGTGTTCTTATTACGTAATGCGTTCGCCTCCTCTAGCCAGTTTGCAATACCAGGATTTCACATAGTCCCTATTCCGCGGTCCTTGTGTATACGTGTTTGTGCAATATTGCTTACAAGACACAGTTTCCTAACCCATGGTTCGTACATATGTGTATGTAACAGTACTAAATTCATTTTTAAAAAAAAATTACATAAAATATTTATAAATGTTATACGGGCGGTGGTAAGGATTGTACCATATCCCTGTGTCTGCAGTAACCCAACAGCACGTGGGCGCTTGCATCTGTTTATTGTTGCAGCCAAATTGGTAACCGATGGGATATACAGGCTTTCTGTGTATACCAGGAGTTCTTTAGAAGTTAACCTGTTAGCCAGGCTGCGTTCACGGGGCCATGGAGTGATGTGGTGTAATTAAGGAAAACAATGGCTGATTATCTCGTTACCATGGACGCGATGTAGAGTACTTCACTATGTCCACATATATATACTCTACAAATGAAAATCGATTTTGAACTGTGTCCCTGCATGTAATTACGTATTATTTATAAATTACCCAGGTGTTACTGATAATAAAGTCTTAGTGGTTAGCGTCACAGGGGCTTGGAACATTTTCCACAGATTGCAGTTTGATCAGCTCCTGGTGCATTAGAAGTGCGTGCTGTAAGATGGATTGGGAATTTAGATTTTTATTTTGCAAACAGCCGTCACTAAGGGCGATATTTGTAGACGTAAAATTAAAAAGAAAATTTTTGGCTGATTTGAACCCTTAAACGTGTTATCATATCCTCGTACATCAAAAGATGTTTAAACACAATACGGTGATAAATATTCTCATGTCCCTGTGTTCTTCGCCGCCAAATCACCAGCTGTCAGCTTTGTAATCGCAACACAAGTTTGATTTCCGAAACAGATAACAAAAATTATTAGTATACAGTATTTACAAAGCGCTCTGTAATCTGGAGCTAGTAATCACTGTGTAAGAAGCTTAAAATTCAGCGGATGACATAAAAAAAGACCAGTGAAGTGTGGGACCATCCCGACTCAAGTAGATCTCAGCCGGGAGATTTCATGTGTGAGCGAGAGCGTGTGTACGATTGGCGTTCGTCTTGTTCTGGGACCGCATTTATAACGCCATTGTCATACCACGTGGAATCTACAACAAATAAATAACACCACCAACCTCTTATAACACTTTTCTCCTTCTAAGCATGAGCAGTAACTACAGTGTCTTACACGGAGATACAACAATATTCCCACGTCTGTGGCTGTCCAAACCTTCGACCTACCGGTCATTAGGCCATCGCACTGCCAACTAAGCCATCCACTTTATTAGATAATGGCAAAGTCAGTCTACAGTAACAAATAGTTTTTTTTACGTGTCGGATTTTATCGATCTTCCGAAACACGTTCAGGCATATTGTCAGAAGATAACTCTATCGTTTAAACAAGGGACGATTTTGTGTCCGTCCCTGAATTTTTTTCTAAATCTCATAAAATACAAGATAAAGATGTGTAGCTGCTTTACGGCTACAACTACGGAATCTAGCGCTGCAGTCGGTGATATTTTTTATCTTATAAGAAAACTGGTTTTAATCGATTGCGACACGTGTGACCAAGTCGGTAGCGAGGATATCAGCTGTTTAACAGTTGTACAGAGGAATCGAACCTCAGCCGTCTACGTGGAAGTCCACCGTGTATCTGTTCATATATGGATGAACGTATTTGACAACACTAACATTTACTCCTGCCATCTGTTACATACAATGATGATTTTCTCTCAACCTTGTAGTCACGTGTTACGCGTCTCGTACACGTGCCACATAATCGGCCACCTGAAGCGCCTTCCTCCTCCCCACTTAGCAATGCGCGTGCCAACAGCTGGTGGCGGAGTCAAAGTAGACTATCCTGCTAAAGTTAATGTTATCATACCTGATGAGTCTGTGTATGTTGGCAGCGAGAAGTGTTAGACAACGTGTACTCGAGATCAGTTTTTTTTATTTATATTCTAAGACGTGCTTCAAAATGTTGAAGGTAACTTGCGGTTTGATAGATGTAAGTTTTAAGAAATATTACATCATTGGGGAATTTCATATCGATATTTCACATCGCACATCTCACGAATCCGGAAAGTTGACTGATAAAACCGGGAAAACATACACTGATAACAATTTTGGCAGTAAGACAGTCTGGGTCTCAACTACTCTACAAAACATATGGGGAAAACAGAAATGTACAATGACGACAGATTATGACCTACACACCTAAAAAACATGTATTGGAAATATGTTGAGTTGCATTCAGTACCTTCGAATATAAAGGGTTGTGACAAGTGCTTCAACAGAATACATACACTTAATATATTTGTTTATCTTTGCCCCAGAATTCATCTTTACACTAAAAATAGTTTTGAAAAGTCACACTTACTACATCTCAAGAACTGACCTTTGAGTTAGCCATATCCGGAGTCGTTTTCGCGGTTAGTTTCTATCTCCGGAAATTTTGTTGCACAACATTTGCCCTACCTACTTTCAGTTAAGTCGGTAAACTTCGCATGAATATATTGAAAGTATGACTTATATTTAACGGAATCTTGACTGGATGATCATCCGAGGTGATACAGCACTACCGATAGGTCAAGGGCCAACAAACTGGAAAGGTCACGTGATTATCGGGATTAGAATTTATCTGCTTGTGTCATACATACACTACAAGGCACGTCTGTGTTAAGCAGACATCTCACAGATCCCTCTGTTGCCTGAAAAATATTTTCTTCTTCTATGAGTTAATGCTACAAGACAACTTAACATTTATCAAATGCAAATTCGAACTTGATTTTCACTGGTAGGATGCGGTTATACCCTGCCAATAATGATCATTAGGTGGTGCTGACCAAGTGTTCTCATTTGTACTGAATCCAATCTGGCCGACATGTCCGCCTTCTTGAAAAATATATTTTAACTCTTCATTTCAACTTCTACTGCTGCCATTGTATTGAAAGTTTGTGGAATGTTAAGGAAATGAAGCCGATAAGTGTTCTTAATTTTATCGCTCTAATCCTGAGGAGTTCAACATAGAAGCCAAGTTGGCCATTTGTAAGATAATTTCGCAAGCATGGTTCTCTCGAACACCACCTATTAAAACCTCTTCCCAAGTATCGGGGAGATTCAGGACGACTTTGCTTGAAATCATCCTGATATGGCCATTTTCTTGAAAAAACACATTTCAAAGCTATTCTATAGGGAGAACTGAACTGAAAAAACTGTTATTTTCGTTAACTGAACTGCTGAAATAACGATTGTTTTTGTTCACACAACCACTTTAGATGCCATGTATATGTGCTTTTGTAGTGGGACGACCGCTAAGGCGTACAGACCTCTTGTATATTGGTTATATATATACATGGACGGTAAGGTCCAATATTGATGCTGGATGCTATTATTGGTGTGGACCGTCGACATTACTAGATCCTATCTTTCACACTGAGTAATACGTATTGTAACCTATGTTGTGATCCAGTATATCCAAATTATTGTTCGTCTGTTTTTTCTGTCTTTGTGTCTTTGTTTGTGCCCGTATCGTCCCTAACTTTGTATTTGTTTTATGTTTTATGTATATGTTGTAATTTATGTAATATTTGTGCCTTGATAAAGGGACAGGTTTCCTTAAAAAATTGCCCATTCGCTTGTCCGTACTGTTGCTATTACTTCATTGATCATATATAGACACCTTATTGAATGAAAATAGGATATATTTACCTGCTTTTCTACAACTTAATATTTATCAAAATAAATATAAATTGGCTTGTCATATATTATACGTCTTCCAACTTGAGTGACGATAAAAAGGAAAATTATGACTACACTCAGCAAATGAGAAAATTATGAGAAAATTATGAGAAAATTAATATCTATTCAAATTTCCTGTTTCAGTGACGGTGGCCATCAAAGACCAACAATACCAACTGGGACTTTTCGATACTGCAGGACAGGTGAGTGACGTCATCACTGGATGTTGTAAGGGACTAGACAGTTTCCCTATTAAAACAGGAATTTTATTAAAAAAAATAAGTTTCAACAATTTGAAAATGATGATTAACTAAGTTTACATAAAAATATTAGTTTGTATGTTAATGATCGCAGCGACTAAACAGCTGATCTGAATACATCTTTACTAAATTGGATGGTCTGACTACACGTGAACGTTGTACAATGTTTACTTAACGAAATATACTTTAATATACAGTTAATATCGTCTGTTTCATTCCATCGCCATATTGGTTGAAAGCACAGTCAAACGCACGTTTGAAACAGTCAATATTCCAAAGCTTCTTAGCGATCGCGTTTATTTCTGTAAAGTGTTTCACACCGCGTATCATACGTCACGGGACCACAAATATTGGGACTTCCAAAGTAGATTATCAGCGTTTCGTAGACAAGGCGGTATTTTAGATAGTGTGGTCATATCTAAATACAAATATACTTATTACCGGTTAACTGTAATAAAAATGGATGATAAGCAGGCTTGATTAAAAGATGTTCTCAAATTTTATTGTTCTTTGTGTTTCTTGTGTCAGTAGACATATTGTTCTTTAAATATGTAAGACACATTTTTGGATGTTTTAAAACACGCATTAAACGTTCATGCAGTTGTTTTCGTGCCGGATTTCAACAAGGGCTTTTTGTTTATAGTATTGCAATAGATTTGGCTATCTATTTCACGGATGATTCATAAACTTGGTCTGTGTATTATGTATGTCATATTTGAAATTGAACGTGTTTATTACTTTGTATGTCCGTTTGTTTGTTATTTGTCTACGAGAAAGACAACTTGGTACAAGTTAGTTTAGCCAGGAAACCTATGATCTGGACGTGTATGATGCTGGTTAATTTACCTGTTGGTGTCGTTGGTATACCTTATTCTCATTTGAGAAGGTGACATTACTTACTTGGATTGACCAAACTTTACCTGGCAGATGTCGGCGATGAAGTTAAAACCGCTTACTGTTCAGGAACATCTTGTCTTATTCTCCTTGAACATTTACAGGAGTTTCCGTGGAAATTATTCTTTTCTTCAATTTTTGCTCTAAAATTTTTTGAAAAAAATTGTGTCTGTTCACATGTTGGCATTTACTTTTCTTATTAGAGCTGTTAGGATTTGACACAAACTGTAGTTTTTTGTACAGTATTTGAGACCAGGTTTACTGAAGTTCTGATTCAAATCAACAGGTCTCGGGTAGATCTTATGGTCGGTATAGAACTGAAGGTCATAGACTCACTAAATATTAAAAAAAAACCTACGCGTATAACATTTCTCGCCATATATAAGATACAAGTTGGCGAAATCTGTTACAACAGGACTGTCATTATGTTTGGCTATTTATGACTTTTTCTTTGCAGGAAGAGTATGAAGGGCTCCGAAAATTAGCATACCCCGGAACACATGTATTCCTTCTGGCATTTTCTGTAGTGATGCCGGAATCACTTCGGAATATAGAACTAAAATGGCTTCCTGAAATACTACAGACACTTCCGCCGGCTGCTTACCTTATAGTGGGTACCCAGGTAGATCTGAGAGATGACGAAGACATCAAACAGAAATTACAAAAACGGAGACAAAAACCTGTAACAATTGAGGAGGGGCAACGATTTGCCAAACGTGTGGATGCGGACTGTTATGCCGAGTGTTCGGCCCTCACAAGACAAGGACTGAAAGATGTCTTCGATGAGGCAATGATCGCTGTACTGGACCCAAAGAAACAGAGACGACCGCCGAAAAAACGGCGCCTGAAATGTGTTATATTGTGAGCTACCGATGTGTCTTTGTCCAGTTGTTAATATTATCCCTCTGATCCACTGGTCAACAAACCCATTGTGTGGTCAGTTTATAGCCGGATATTAACTTATCTGACCCCAGAGGTTAGGATAGCTCTAGTGTGTACGTAATAGCCGTTGGACGATCACCATTAAGGAGATGCAGGTGATCGAACTATGGCCAACGTCCGGTTAAAGCACACTGTTATTTCCTCACTGGCAGGAAGACGGATTTCTGGAGCTGTCCAGTAAAACGAAATGTGATGCAAGCATAATACCCAGTTTTATATATCTTTCAGGAGAATTTTATCACAGATCGAGGAGCGATATGGAATATTCTGTACACTTTGGTAGCAGCCTGAATATCAGCATTATTCTTATAATCATCCACATATCTTTTGTTCAGATTTGAAAAGATTACAACAACCTATTTATAACTTGTTTCAATAATCAAATATTGGTATTCTTACAATCCCATGTTCATAAGTTTATCATAGCAACGAATATGGTGTATAAAAACCGAGATATACTTTCATCTTTAAATACAAAACATTCCTCATATATTTCATTCATGTGTGCAATACAACTTCATTCCTTCGTCTTAAATAATCATGAACAATCCTGGTCATAATGGTGCTTTGGTCATGTTGAGATGTTTATATTGATTTCAAACGTTCATGTCACCTTGGTGCTAAAATTAAATCCCGACTCGCTTAAATATTCTTTTCATGCGTTGCCTATTGCACTGATCCACCTCCCCATCAGCACTGGAAGAAAAAGACTTTACCACAAGTCTGTGTCTGTACAGAAAATTACATTAAAATTGTATACTGAACGTCAGACCGCCACATTTCCTGGAAGAATATCGGAATAGATTGGTGCAGTCGTACCAGGAGTTGACCTTGTGGTGAGCAGTGTCACGAGTCACTCTTTTTGTCTTACCTGAATATTGCGCTGATTAGATTTTACGTGGTCAAATATTTAAACATTTCCTATTCTATTTCTTTCAACAATAGATACTTAATACCATTTCTTATGTCACTTGATAAACGTCACATATATAAATAGACCATTTGAAATTATATTTTATAATTTTATTACATACTATGTGTTCTTAGTGATTTGTGTTCGCAAATTCAGTGAAAGATATCTTATTGAAGACGGAATGTTACAAATCCATATATGTGAATTCAGCGTGGCGTGATTTTTATTTTCTATACGAAATGATAAGAAATGTTTGTAGACATATATTTCAAGACAATTTGGAAATGCATTTTAGCAATCGTGCAAAATAATAGTACCCTTTGAGAGTATACAGTATGCCATGTAATGATAGTGTTGTAAGTATTTTTTATTAATCAAGAAAACGGAAGACAGTTTGAATAGTTATTCTAGAAGTAGATGTAGTGATCGAATCAAAGATATTTCACTCGCTACAGATATATTATACGTTTGGATTTAGATATAAATATATGTAATTTTAATCAGATTAAGGTAAAAATAAGAATCATGGTGATAATCTGGAATTCAGACACCTATCACGATTTACGGGATCTGGCGAGTTAGTCAGATGCGATGTTTTGTGAGCCGCGGTGGTAGATTGGTTAAGTGCTCTACTTCTGGGTTGCGGGTTCGAGACCTACGTGGGGCATTCTCCAGGCACTGGCCTTAGGTTGGTGTTTTTTTCTCTCGGGAACTTCGTATTTCCTCCTCCACCCAAACTTGGCACTTCCTTAAATGTCTCTGGCTGTTAATAGGACGCAAAGCAACAATAAACAAAACTAGCTATATTTTGTAATGACAAGACTAATGTCCAGATTTATACTCAAATCGTTAACCAAGCGTTTTTGATCAGTTAAAGTGTTTTGTGGAAATTGATTATCTGAAGCACAAATAATAATACACTCTCATGGGCATGATGAGGTTATCCTCGTGGTGAAGATTCAAAAGTCAGGCATCATCGTTTTTAGTATATCGCATGGTCATCATCAATGTTCTCATTGGCCGGACTAAGTATTTTGACAAGGTGGAATATACTTTGATACTAAAATCTGAACACTACAGATATTGGTGAACTAGAACTTGGTTAGATCAACGGACACGAAACTGTCAAAAATGTATTTTTAGAAATATATTCGTTGCGTTTTTCATGTTTTAAAAATCACATTTGAATCATTCACCATTTGTTTAGTTATAAGTCTGTGTTATTGAGAATTGTACTTTACGTTTTTAATTCTAAGAAACTTGATCTTCAACAGAATATATACCATACTAGTCCTTAAAACGAACGTCTCGGTTTTGTATTAAATTAAAAAAGTTGTTTTTCTATGACACATTTTAAAGATTTTTATGTACAATAATATTGCAGTATTCAATTTTGTAAACAAAAATCTTTTTACTTTTGTACATGCCCTAGTTTACAGTTTCTGCATTTAGTAAACTTAGCAAGCCAGTCTGTAGAATTACTCATAGCACTTGCACGACGTTTTGCTGTTTAATAAAAATTTCGGGTTTGAAATAAAAGCTTTTTCGGTTGTTAAATTTAGAAATCATATTTTGCTTACGTTTAGATAATTCTGATATGAAATACAGTGTATATATCATAAAAGTATTCGTGATTCATAGAAAATCTTAGACAATATCACCTTGAATTATCATAAGTTAAAACGAAAGAACGTTCACTTCTACGATATAACCTCTGGTGATGACGTCACAAAGCTGAGAATGCCCTCCGAACGTCAATTACATAACATAACATATTATATATATATCAAAACGACAATATTCATCGCCGAATACCACGGTCAATATCGATTTTTATATAATATCCGCTCAGAGTTCGAATACCTCAGTGTTAACATGGTAGAATGTCATTATGATATCATTATTCGATCGATATATTTAGTAAGGTTAAACATTACACTGGATTTATTAATGTTCATAATTGACACTGTTTATTTATCAGTGCCTTTAGATCTATAAAAACATCGATTTTTAAAGGAAAAATAGTTTTTTGGGCATAATTTTAAGCGATGCTTGGTCGATAACTAACATTGTATATGCTATTGTGAAACAAATGTAAAGGACACAAAAACCAGTCAGGAAAGAAATATTTGTGAATTAGCCAATAGAAAAAATCACAATTAAAGCGAATACTTTATATGTAAAATCGTGTAAACAAAAAGTTCTTTATTTGATCATTATAAAACATATTTGTAGTTTTATTCGATGCTTCTTATCAATATCTTCCCAGGGCGTACTACACATGTAGTACAGTTCATAACGAGACTTCTCAAGAATTATAAATAGACGACATAACTGTATGTAAGTAGAAGTCATTGAGATCAAAAGTGTATTGTTTTTATCATTCTATATGAGTGATAAGTACGTACTCCTGACTCATGATAGAAATCGTCATTGTGATGAAGGGAAAAAAACCGCATCAAAATAGATAAACATTGTGAATTTTTCTGTTCCGGACACGTTACTAAACGATTTTGTTTTCTATCTCAAATTATTATTGTTGTCACACACACCTATTTTATGAACAAATAATACCAGTAACGTATTAGCAAATGTTGTATATTTTTGCAAATTCGTAAGATATATTTTTCCTTCTGATTACAAAGAATGTTTTAAAATGATCGTAAAATTCAGATCTGTGGAATTTTTATCCAAATTTGTCTTGTCACTTGTAGGATTTATATATGTAAGTATTTCATTATTTATCTTACATGTATTTTTTCGTTCTGCATTTTTTTTACTGTCAAGAGAATTATAATACATCATTTACAATGAAAGCCACCGTATCCATTTGAAATGTTTTCCGTGACCTTTAAGTGATCAATAGGTTATCTTATAATGACCTATTGACGTATGATTTTTTTATATCTCTCCGGGACTATTTTTAACATTAAGACAATTTTAAGGGTATGTGTGACGTTTTGTCAGTAAATATGCTGACAAGTATACGATTTTGGTGTAGTAATGTTTGATTTTTCTCCTTTCCTGTCTTCCGTTTTAGAGATATCTTCCTTATGAAGATGGTATATTCTTACTCAGACGAAAACGATCATTTTAAATCGCCCTTTCTGAACTTAAAAAATATCTTAGATAACCTAATCATAGATATTTTATCAATACTTCCGTTAGAATGTTACTTTTATCATATGAAACGTTTAAAAATATATTCTGTTAATATATTGAAATATAAAACATATATGTCTCTCATTGTTATCCGGTTGGTCATGCGTTGATATTATATTTAACTGACCTTGTTTTACAGGAAGTACCAGATAACGTATGTAAATATATCGACAGTATCATAGACAATGGATTCAAAAACAATATATGACAGAAAAGAGAATTACAGATTATGTTACGAATCAATTGTTGACTATATATAACACATGGATTTATTTTAATTGTGTTATTTTTAAACGATTCAGATCTAATTGAGTAAATAAAAAGGAAACAAAATCCTCATGTTGTTCTCTTTTTTGTTTCAGGATGAATAACAACAATATCAGACATACTTGTGTTGAATTACAAAAATTAATAACATACAGTTGTGATTGCAGAATATAACTTCAGATTGTCAAAATATTCGATCAGCTGTTGAAAAAAATGAAGACAAATTGTTTCGTGGCGTTCCTTGAGTTTATGAATTTGCATTACGGTGGACAGGTTTTCTTTCTACGTTACATTCAGTGCCTATTACGTCACTAAACTGTTAAGTACACGTTGTAAAGAGTCCATATTAAAACCTTTCGGACATAGTCATGTTGACATCACAAATTACACATCGTCAATATGAAGAACATTGGAAGTTCATGGGTACTCTGTAATGGTTAGTGGTTTCCGTGTGTCGCTAATTAAGTTGTCTCCTTCACTAAATTCTGATTTTGACAGCTCGAACAGGCCAAGGCGGATTAATTCATTATCGGCATCCACCAATCAGCTGTCAAGTTTATCGCTTACCATCCAGACTGACAGTATGAAACGAAGGGAAGTAACTGTGGGAGCTCAGAATATATTTATAAGGATACTGACAACAACAGGATGTATTTGTCCAGACCACCATGGTAGTTACAGTAACTTCAGAGTAAAACACTTATTTGTGTATTCTCGATGCTTAGGGGAGGGGGGACTGACATGGTTCCATTGATACCCGAAACATTTATTAAACATTAAAAGCATTTCGGTATCGTATTTCATTTCTACACCAGCATCTAATGCTCAGACATAATAACATGTTATTTACAGTAAAATAGTCCGCTTCCTGAATCAGCACAGATATGTTACATTAGGCATGGTATTTTAAGCCAAATACACACGAGTTATGTCCCCTTACCTGCCGAAGTGTCCTATACTGTCAACGGCATGATATAAAGTACAAGTATTTGCATTGATTTACTTCACTGTAATCTGTAATCTTCGACACTGAGATATTTTGATACGTAAATGTAGTAATATATGGAATTATATACATATCCGAAAAGGAAAATAGAAATTGTAAAAAAAAAAAAAAAAAAAAGCAAACAAACAAACAGACAGCAATCTATCAAAGTTAGAAAACAATTACCGTACTTACACAAAAAGAGCTAGTTATACGCCAATTAACATTAATTGCAATCATGCAGATATTGACCGGATAATTTTAAACATCTACATTACCTGACGAATGCAACCATCGTGGAACTTCGTACTAAAGCAATGCTGTAGGTGATGGTCATGCAATAGTTTTAGTAGAACATCCAGATAGTTAACAACGAATTGCAAACAACGAAGATTAAAAAACAACAAACCAGTCTTGCTTCTGAAGCTGTTCTTATCCTACAGTCGGTTAATGTGTGGTTTGTGCGGTAAACTTCTTAAACAATTTTCTTACTGTAACAGAGGTTATCTTTTATTTCAATGTCTCCGCTAGGAACTCGAGACCTTTGGTGCTTAAGAGAAGTTCTGTCTAGCCGAGTGGTATATTGTGGCTAGTATTTACCAGGGCTTCAATACTGTTGTAAATGTTATTTGATCGACTTAAATCTATGAAATTTGAATTGTCAATAAAATAAGCAGAAATAGAACTGTTAAGATGATTTTTCTTCACTCTGCATTTTAAGCACATGCTGATTGATATGGACGATTTCCCATTTCTTCATCCAAGGTCCTTGAATAGAGGTATCAAATTCAACTGCCTCTTCATCCTGCGAACATAAACAATATCTATAAATATCTATGGTTCAGTTTATAGCAAGAACATAAATTTTATCAAACAGCAATGAAAATATTTTCTGATGAAGTTTTTAAAAAACGGAATAATGGAAGTTCCTATAGGTTTTTTAGACTAAAGGAAGCACAGAGAATGTATCATGCTGTGGTAAATTCGATCGAAATCCGAAAATGTATTCCGATGAACATTGTTCAGTGGATGTTGTTTCAGTGAATTATATTGAAAGGAAAACAACTTTACCTGCTTAATATATCTAACTTCATTTACTGTGAAAATACTACCTACCGTTAGCAAAAATTATTTCGTTTACCGTCAAAATATTCTTTTTTCAGAAGCAATCATATTCACCTGCGTTTTTTCTTTAACAGCGTCAGCACTGATCTGGAACCGATCAACCCCTTCAAACGTGTCCCAATCCACCACGGGGTTAGGGTTGTCCTTTGTCCGAAATATGACCCCTTCTTTGAGGTCATAATACCCATAAGGGTAACCCGGATTCTGCCAGCGCAGGTCAACACTCCACCGGACATGGTCTGATACGTTATTCAAACTTGATTAGGAATAGAATGAAAAGAAATATCACAATAAACAAGAGAATTAACTGGATACCATTTCAACATGAGAAGAGCCGTCTGGGGACACTAGGAACAAAATGAAAATATAGAATCATTGATATTGTCACAACAAAAATATAAACAAATATTTATGCTTTTTTAGCTTCTCAATAATAAGGATTTCAATTGAAAGATCGTAAGAGGGACATAAATAATCAATGAATTATGCTTTTTTACTTTAGTGTAATTTTGACAACATGAGCGGTTCAAAGTTATCTCCCTTACATTGTTTTAATCCGTTTAGTGTTTTTTACTTCAAATTTTATGACACTCTGTTTATATAATTTTAGTTTGCAAAAGGAAGCTGCGGGAATGTGAAAAATACATGACTTTGACATCTTTGCAGTGCAAAGAAACTGATTTCGTTCCTTACCATTACATTTTGTATTAAATTCAACCGTCTTTGATATTTGTTAACTATTTCTTGGGCGAACTTTGCTATAAAAAATATTTCAAAGTAAGTTGGTCTTGCCTAAAATGCTTCAGCAAATTGATATACAAAACAATGTACAAACGACACCCAAATGAATAACAATGTTCAATACAAATTTATGATTATAATACGATACAGTACAGCTGTTTCGTCCTTGTAGGATACGTCAATGATGATAGGAAATTTAAGAACCAAAACATAGGAGGCAAATAAGGCAAATTAAATTGACCGGATTTAACGTTGAGTAGGTGAAGCTGACCTGTAATTCAATACGTTTCAGTGTTGGGTGATGTCAGATGAACGTAAAGTACATAGGTATAAATTGAGTTCTGAACACTGCACCATTCAAATTAAGCAATTTAATGTAGGCTTACAATGTTAATTAATATTTTCGTCTACCGATTGTAAAGATAATTACAAACGAAGAATGTTACGCAAAATGAAACAAGCAGGTACTGAATATGTATTTAGTGACGTACATGTACATACCTTCTATGAGGAATTAAATTGTTGAATAGAATAATACTCCCTAACGGAACTGGGCACGTCCTGATGTCTGTCTTTACATTGATACCTAAACACATCAAAATGTCCCTTTATGTATCAAAACAAATTCTTCTGCAATGATCATCACAAATATATAAATATTCAAACAGTTTTAATTGTCGTGTAATATCCTGTCACAATTCTAAAGACATATGTCCGTGTCTGATGAAGGCTATGATAACATTTGACTTGTTAACATGAAACACCTCGTTAAAGACAAAAGGAAACAATTTCTGTGTAAAGAATAAGAAATATTTCAAACCAATTCAAGTATTTATTAAAGGATTGTGTTACCTAGTGTTTTCTCCATCTCGTCTTCTTCTAACATGACGTACCACGTGCCACCATGACAACACTGATGAGTAGCAACTTTTCCTGATTTGTGACCGCCTTGCATAATCTATCAATTACAGAGACAAGTAATTTCTCCTTAATTGTACAAATGACGAACACATTTATAGCATGTTTTCAAATACCCAATAATTTTCGGACAATGTCAAGTACATGTGTATATTCTGAGCCGTGAGACTTTGAATCTCGTGTCCTGTTTCTTTCTATAACTTTTTTGTCATTTTCTCTGTCACAATATGATTTCATCAGAGTCGAGAGATCTTTAAACATCATGAAGCTTCATTTTGTATTACTACCTGTACATGCTATTTGGCTTTTCTCACAACAAAGTTAGCAGAAGTTCATGCTGTAAAGCTACTGTTTTCTGTTTCTTTCTAAATATTGAACGACAAACATGTGATTTATTTCTCACCATATGAACACTAGACTGTTTGATATTAAGCTATTTTTTTATGGATGACATAAAAACAATTTTCACAAAATGTAATGAAATATGAAAGAAATTATTACTTTTAAAGATGTTGCTGTATGACAACCATCGGTTTCTTCGACCATTTAGAATGTAGATATACGCACCTGTAAACAGCCGTTAGTTTCGGTAGCGTCCACAAACGGAATCCACGCCGTTGGTTGTAACACACGATAACTATTTGTGTCTAGGTATCCACTATCTGAAACCATTACATTTATTTTGAAAAGTTAAATATAACGCATTTTACAGCTATCTAGAGTGGATGTTACTACAAATTATCGTTAAAATATATTACATTAAGTTAAGTAACTTATGTTTACATGAACATGCTTGAAATAAATTATATGGCTACATGCATAATGCTGTCCAAATGCGCGTATCATCTCTAATACACGTGTTCAAAGCTACAATGAAAATTGCAACTTGGTGAATTTCAGTCGATCAATATAGCCGATTTTGAAAATGATAATTTTATAATATTGCCGATAAAACTTTACTCTCGATACTCCAGGAGTTAGGATGATCACTTTGGCTCTTTGCATCCCTGGAACATGTCATGGCAAAATTGAAGGCACAAGCAAAGTAGTCTGATTGGTTCCAGGAAATAACAAACTGACCAATTACAGGCTGATGCATTCCTTTTGAAGACTACAAAGGAGCGACAATCAACTTCAAAGCCATCACAATACACTGTTTTGCGACCTCTAGATTCATTTGATGTACATCAAAGGATCAAAAAAAATCTTTTTGTCTTGTTCATAAGGTGTCGCACAAGAAACCTTCAATTATGCCATTAAATGTTCCAGTGGCGCAGAGATGGCGCAAATGATTGTAACCCCTGGAGTATCGAGGATGAAAAAGCATTATAAGGACAGATGACATTATTAGTAAATAACATTCATAGATGTATAAAATACTTAGAAATTGATGTCTTGTCGACATTGCTGTACACCAATTTGTCTTAACGTATGAAGACAAGAAAAAACAGAGTTATAGTAAATCTTTCACTGTTGTCAATACTAAGAGTTTGCACCTATGGTGGTTGGATGTGGTCAATTGACATAAAACTCAATCGAATATTTTATTAACATTAATTACTAATCTTAAAGTTATGCAATGATATGTCATGGTCTCCTTCATACTTACCAATCCCCTTAGATCAGAAACAATATTGTCTATATCATAAAATAATATGATAAAACAAAATCAGTTTACTCATTCGGATATTAATGCACGCCCGTAATATTGACTTGAAAATGGCAATATAGCCCTACTGTGTATGAAACTAAATGCATATATAAAATAAGTCTTTATATATTGTTATACTGTATGATGTTCTCGTGTAAATTATGATATGGTTAAGTAGGAGAGTCGCTTGGATATTCACTTTTTAAATTATAATTGTTAGAATGTACATTTGCTTCACACAATACATTTATCTCATTTTTTATCATACTGATTTTTATCATTTTAATTTAGAGTTTTGAAAATATAGATACATTAAAAAAGGAACCACTATTGGATGGCATTCAACTTAACTGTAAAGGTGTTTGATTGTATGATAAAAAAACTTCTCATAGAAAATATAGTAAAATAGATAATGAATGCTTGTTATATATATATTGTTGCATATAATAGTTATCAACGTCTAGCATGAGGAATGCAGTTCCAATGCCCATTGTTTTACATGGCAGGTGTCGTAGGTGAAACAGGAGACGCTTACGCTTTCGGAACACTTGGTCTTATTCTTCTTGTACTTTTGTTCCTATTCTGCCCTAATTCTATGGAATTTGAGTTTGGATTATGATTATGTTGTCATGTTGGTATTTTCTTGATGTGCTTGCTGACCTTTATCACTTATATGGATCTTATGAAACATCAAACGGGGAGATGAATTGATGCATACATACTATGTTTACTATAGAGACAGGCAATCTGATATTGAGCTATATTTTTATGTTGTATATCTAGCAGATCGTGAATTGTTTATGAATGATAAACTTGAAGATCTTTTTAGAAACAGACAAAAATGGATTAAATGAAATTATGTAGCTTACAAAGATATAATTGACCGTAAAATCCTTACAATATTCGATTATAATTTAAGATGAATCTTATGTTATTTTTTTGTCTGAGTAAGTGAAAACATCAGATATTTTTAACGATTAGTTTGGATCAGGGAGGAATAGTTTGAATATTTTCTATCGATACCTTGATGCCAAGGCACTGTTGTAGCCTCATCACGTGGTATTTTTGCACGCAGGTTCCAAACTGGATGTCCGGCTATATCTGGTCCTATCAACTGTTCAATAATGTTCAATAAGGCTTCATCTGTCCAGAGGTCCTTAAAAGCCTTGTGAAATATGTGAATAGGAAGAAGGAAGTTTGTTTGATATAAAATGTACAAAATCATTTATATATTGAGACAAAATATTGATGTGCTTTGTCTTTTTAGAAATTGTATAGACGTGCCAAGAAAGGACCACAAAATCCAAACAGTTCATAATCATCTGCATAATGGAAAAAAAATTATTATATTTTTTAATAATGTTCAAGTCATACTAGGTAATCGTGAATAATCATACTTTTCTTTCGATTAATATCATTATTATTAATTTTTATTGTTTTGTTTCTTGTTTTTCGTTGCTCTTGCTTTCCGCTCTGACGACATGTCTTAAATAATGTTAAGACGCATACTAACTTGAGTTAATCGCGCTTGTTTTATAAAGAGAACATTTGCTCCCGGAAACTGCTTTTCCAGACGGATCAATCTATCGGAGAATCCAAAGTTCGTGCATAGATCTGTTAATGAAAAAGTTACTTTATTTCAATGTGATCTGAATGGGTAATCGTAGGACAATTACAGAAGATTATACAAGAGACATGCAATAATGTAGAGCCAAACAATAAATTAAACTACATCATACGGCTGTTTCGTCCTTCTAGGACTCGTCAGTGACGCTAAGCCAAGGAGACGACTGAAGGAAATCCAAAGTGATCGAATGAACAGTCAAATTCCAGACGGGGAGGTGAAGCAGCCCTAGTATAAAATACATTTCGTAACTTTCATATATTAGAAATTTTTGAACAGCTTCAAATATATGTGTATATTCTGAACCATGCCACTATTTGAATGAATTAAAACATGCATGGTACGACAATCCTCGTGGACATGAAGTCCACAAGCAATGTCTACCATCTGCTTGTACAAAAGACACATAAGTGAAGAAATTCAAATCAAAATAAATTTGAAAAAGTTGTTCCGCACTTATTACACAACTGACAATTTTGTTACTGAACAAACGCATGATGGAAATCTTAAATCCCAAACGCTCTGCACGTTATCATTAAAATATCGGTTGACAGAAATTAGAATTGAGAGATAGAAAACATAAAGAATGAAAGGGGCAAACATTAAGGTAGCGTTACCTGTAATTTTGCCTGCCTTGTATAATTTTTGAGCCAGTTCATCAACCATTTCATTTATAGCCGTTTTGCAGGTTTCCAATGTTTCTTTTCGGAAGACATCCTTCACAAGTACATATCCCTGTTCAAAATATGGTTTACATTAAAGTTGACTTATATTGATATTTAACGTATTCTTACATCCTATTTAGCTAGCAAACGTATTTCTGTACCGAAAGGGGGAGGGGGGATGTTTGAAATATTAACAAATATTGATTGAATCATGTATTGAATATGATATACATAGACTACTCTTTACACCCTACTTCATTGGTTATGCACGATAAAAAGACTTCTAGTTTACAAGAAACAGATTACATGTAAACTAGGAGTAGACACAGGTAAAAAGTCAAGGCAACGTTTGGTTTTTACCTGTATGGTTCTAGAGATTCCTTATATTACAATACTACCTGTTTGGTACAATATAATTAAACGTATTCAGTAAATATTAAAAGATGTATATTAATCACAATAAAAGGTAAATGTTTTAAATTTAAAAAATGTTATTCATGATCATGAAAGTCCTTTTACTGACAAAATAAAAATATCACAATTAATTATATAAGATACGACTTAAAAAATAAAAGTCTATGTAACATACTGTCCACTGTCGTTAATATTTATGATGGCAAAACAGGCTTATTTTGGAATGTTAGATTATTTGTTTAACAGATATATTTTGAGATTAATATTAATCATTTGCTTTTTCACATTCCTCACACTCTCTCCTCGTAATTCAACGTTCAAATATTAACAGCAAATGCTTCATTTCGTTGGAGGATCCTGCGTCAGCGGTTGCTTGCGTCCCCCTTCTTCCCCCCCCCCACAATTTCTTGCAGCAAAACCCTAAATGGAGTCCTGTTTTTACCAGCTCATATTAATAGTAATAACTACAATGCAGGTAAATACATGTAAAAATTACCACCTGGTCTTCTTTACCAAACCAAAGAGCAAATAACTAATCAGTAAAACATTGTTAATCAACTCCTAGTGTGCACATACTGTACAAAAATTACATAAGAATAAAAACGAGGTCATTGACATAACAGTAGGATACTATACAGGTAAGAACTTTAAATATTACACAGGTAAAAATTATTGTCCATTACTTTTTTTGGGGAGATAGCTCCATCACCTGTGCCAGGTCTACTGTGTAAATAGTTTACCAGTAGTATAAACATCGTGTAAACCTAGTCTTTATCTTGTGAGGTATAAGTGTACTAGGTGTAAACATTAGTCTACACCCATCTGCATCTATAATATCAAAAATAAGCTTATTTTTTTTGTTTTTCTCCCTTCTTGTGATGAGACGACATTTTTCCGTTTACAATGAATATTTCAAACAATGGTATATTTTGGATTTGACGTAAATCAGCGATGAGTGTTGTTATTACGGTCACACACAATATCAATTTGGATGTAGTCAAGATATATAAGACAAATCACTAAATGAAACTCAAAATGAGCGTATTCACCTCTAGAAAGAACCTCCGCACTTCGTCCTCCGATAGTTGCCCCACTCTCCGTTCTTTTGTAGGTTTTGGAATTGCTCGTAGGTCAAAGACCTCAGCATGTTCCTCTCCGGTGTACCCCGCAAGGACAGGCTCGATGAACACATTCGCCATGTTCATTAATTCTCCTTCGTCCTATCAGCTGCAATAGCGGAGTGTATACACAGGGGAATCGGTGACGAAACATCACCTCGTGTAAACAGAAAAGTCTATTCTTGACTACCTGTATTCATATTATATTTTTCTGTATAAGTATTTTTCTGTATGTAACATTACGAAAACTTGTTCGTTCCCTGGTTTCCTATAAGGGCAAGATTATTTTACCTTGATAATTTTTTTTATCAGAAAAGATATTCTTTTTGTCATTTTGTAGAATTCTATTATAAAAAGAACCGTGAGAGAAAAGGTTGTGGAAATCGTGTCTATGTAAATTAAATATAATACTAAATTAGGTTGATCTATAGTGTATGAACATGTGTATATGAAGTACATATGTATCATGATATGTGTACGAACGATTGTTGACAGTGTAGATGATATGTGTTAAATGAGAGCCCTACTATGTGAAGACATGTTGTGACTTGCTCCTATTTCATGTGTTCAAATATAACGTTTACTTAATATAACAATAATGGAGATTATCACAGACACAAGAGATATCGTAATATCATTGCACGTATACTTAACAGGATAATTTGAACTAGTTATTGTAACAAAACTAAAAGTTGATGTCGGGTTTATAACATTTTCTTTTTGTAAAAGATAAACATTTTTTTTATTTATTCAGCAAATCTCTATATTTTCTGATATTCAGCATGTACATATTTTCAGTGAGGCCGCTGGGGTTGGAGAGCCATTGATTAAGTCCTTGATCAATAAGTTGCTGACATCACTCGCCTTCATTCCACTGCTACAATATTACATTTTATATTGACTATTTAGAAAGGATATCGGGTTTATTTCATTTTCCGTATATTTTATAAAGCCCATCGTGTTTTCATTATGTATATTTTTGATGTGTACGAGTGACACCTACCAGTGTTCAGGGTGAAAGCTAAGCTCATGGATTTCTAATTGGCCCAGGAGGAGAGATGAAAAATTCAGGCTTTGCGTTGCAAAGTCAAATGTATAAAAATCAATCATTCCTTTTAATACTTTTCATTCACTTGTACTTAAACGTTACTTACATATTGTGATAAGTATGGTATACTGTCCTATTCTTATAGGGAACAGAAATTGCATCGCACAGTATGCATTGTGATTAATACTAGAACAAGGGAGAGTTTGATATGTTTATTACAACTTTCGCAAGTGAGCTTAACATGACAAGCATAAAAATGTAAAAGTGTTGAAAAAAGTATGTACAATTATAAATAAACTTTCTTAACTAGAGTTAGAACTTCTTGAAATTTAAATTACGAACTCCGACGACAAATCTGAATATTCTATGATGCAAAACAAAGTGAAGCTATCAAGTCTTCAGTCGGTGATTTAAAAGTTAGGACTTGTCTGCAACGCGATCCTCTCTGTAGCTTTCAACATGTCGGTTCACATGCACAATTTCCCATTTTTTCATCCATGGTCCCTGAATAGTCGTGTCGAATTCGTCCTCATTTGTATTCTAACAAAAAGGAAAAGTTACAAAATCATGTGAAAGAGATCAAAATCCGGTAAAAAAATTATACTTTGTTTTGTTTTTGTTTCTTTTTTGTCATATCACAGACAACGAGCAGCTGTATTTGGATATTGACCCTGCTTTCGTTCCATTTTCTTAAACAATAAGATTTCAGTAACGAGGTTTTGCAATGTAGAGCAACGCAATACAGAAATATCACATTTACGAAAATAACTTTAAACATAAATCAAATAATTTACATTTCAAACAAAATATAACCAAACAATATATTTGAAACGAACAAACATTCAAAGTAAACGCATCACACTCCTTATTCCAGCCAAAGTGCGAGTTGCAACTATCTTAAATATCTATACACTAATCAATGTTAGTGATCAATTTTTCTATAGTTATGGACGATTGAATATTGTCACTGTAAAACATGAACTGATTATAATCATGAGTAAGGTTAAACGACATGAAATCCGAATGGCATCTGAGACCAGATTGCTGGTCTTATTTACTAACCTCGACAGTCGCCTCCCTCAAAAGCGAATGTCGAACGGTACTATCAAAGACATCCCACGACATTTTGAAATTAGGATCTTTAGCAGTCCTCATGAGAACGCCTTGTTTCAAATCATAAAAGCCAAAAGGTAGGTCAGGTTTCTGCCAGCGTAGGTCAAGGCTCCAACGTATATCCCCGGAAACATTTGGTAGGCTTCATGAAGTAAGCAAATGTGAAGAATTAGTAAGGGTGGTTTCTTACATGATGCTAAATGTTGACTTTTCAACAGAGATAGGAACTAGCATGCAAATTTCCGTTTAATACAGTGTGGCACATTGGAATCGCTTTGCTCGTCTGAGCGACCGTTATACCTATCTTGTGTACCATATGACACCATGATATCATACAATCAAGATTAGCTTTTGTGTTGTCATCGATCAAGATAAAAGGGTCAAATGCCCAACTTGTCACTTTTTAAAATAAAACGAAAGTGTGTACGTAATATTTCATTAACCTTTCAAGAGAATTATACATTCAATGATATCACATCATCAGATTATACACCTCATTAGATTTCGGTGGTAGTCAGTCTAGATTAACTGCTTAAGGTTGACACTAAACCACCTTTGAAATGAAAAATCTGACAGGATATATCATGAATCTCTCAACAGATTTAGTAAGTGTTTATATCAATATGTACCACCATCAATGTCTACAATGGTTAAAATCTTAAGGGGTATCGGTCAAATTTAAATTTATTTGAAAAATGACACGATTCAGAAAATACACATGTACTTGACGCCCCCTGAAATAATCAGATATGTATGAAAATTACGAAAACTATCGAATAGTAGGCTGAGCGCACCTCCCTATCTAGTATCTGACATTTCTATTTCTTTCGAAAACAGCTGTATGATGCAATATTATTCAGTGATTAGCTTTACGGTATCTAACTAGATATGTATTTTTGTAAAAACAAAAGCATTTGTACATTTACCTTCTGTGTGGTATCATGTTGTTCAACAGTAACATTCCACCATATGGTATTTCACACGTGACAATATCGGTTGCTGGGTTCATACCTATAAAACAAAAACAACACTTATGTTTCATTAATGACATATGGAATGGAAACGAATGTCCGATTCTGTTCATCAGATACGTTTGACACTTGCGAAGAGTCAGAATGCATATGACGTCATGGTATCATAAAGTTTTCGCAAAGTGCTATCGAACATAATGTCACAACACCATTAATGTACGCAATGCTGCAACGCTGGCGATGGGGGTTGTTTTGTGATATGAAAAACACCTTTTACAAATCCTTATTCTGATATACTTGTCCTATTGGCGACATATTGATTTGTATAAGAGGAATAACACTATGAAAACCTTTAATAAGTTTTTAAGACCCCCACACTTCTTAAAGACAAACAAAATTTTACCAAGACTTTTCTCCATTTCCTCCTCATCCACCATCACATACCACGTGCCTCCATGGCAACATTGATGAGTGGCTACCTTCCCTGCTCTGTGGCCTCGGTGTATTACCTGTTTATTTAGAAATAAACTGAAGCAATATGATAATAAAAAAGGAACATTCCATCGATAAGCTCAAGTAGGATAAGTTTGTTAATTGTGAATACATTTCTTTGTCGAGGATGGGTATTTTAAGACGATTTAAACAATGGTATGGTAAATAATTATAGTTACTATATTTGTTGTTTACTGTAACTGTGCAATGAGTTTTGATATTCAAATAAAACGCTATTATGTCTTGTACACAGATATGCCTAGTACGCTAGTAAATCTACTCTTTACCTGCATACATCCATTGTCAGCCGTCGCATCCAACAAAGGTATCCAGGCTGTGGGCTGTAGGACCTTGTAAGACTTATTGTCCAGGTAGGCAGAGTCTAAGATTTGATCGTTAAAATTGAACACATATCCAACTTAAATATTACCGCAGCATGCATTCATGTGATAAATTGTTAAAGTTAAAACACAGCATGTAGAAAACCATCGTATGTGGCAGAGAAGGTTTATTTTTGTAAAGGAAACCATACAGCTATCAATGTATTGCTTATTTGTCAGTCAAATACTGGACTAAAAATACCAACCTGTGAACATTATCATAATTAAACTCAAATTCAATAAAACTAGGTCAAAATATACGGTGATCCATTAAGAATTAGGAGAAGACCACGAGTATGCGTCTTCTGCTTCACCAACGACAATCGCCATGGTCAAGTAAATGTCACGTTCTCAAATGAGAACAAGGTATACAACCTCGGAACCAACAGGTAATACAGAATAACTATCGATGATATCATTATGACGACCGTAAAACTTCCCAATGATTTACGTTAACTTATAGCATCTTTTGAAACCCATGCGTTAAGTGTTTGTCTGGCAGTTGACGACATCACGCACAAAAAAAAGTAATATTTGGAACAGGAGCTTGAACATTTAGTCCATCAACTAAGATATGTAAACACCGTGTTTGGGATGCAGGAACGTTGTTGTGACATTCCAACTTAAACGTGTCTCACCTATTTTAATCTTCCTATATCATATTGAACTTTAATGCCGTTAATTTTGTAAAAGAAACGTAAAAAATGGATGCTTAAAAATTAAAAAAAAGAAGTCGTGAGTCTTTCAACCAGATACACATATACAATAACATCCTGCTTTCATTTACCCTGATGCCATGGGACTGTTGTAGCCTCGTTCTGAGGAGTTTTCGTACGTAGGTTCCATAATGGATGACCGGCTATTTCTGGGCCAATGAGTTGTTCAACGACATTCAGGAGACGTTCATTGGTCCAAAGGTTTTTAAATGCCTAAATACATTTCAAATGTCTTTTTGTCAAATTCCTCATTAAAAAAGGATAACTTGATTTGAAATCTCGAAAATGAAAAGGATCTTAATTTTAATTTGTAAGGATCAATTAAATTTTTATATGGTGCACTGCTAATCGGACCAATAAGTTATAAAAATGTGTATGCACAATACATTCGGAAATCCATAAAAATGAGTTATTTTTGCTTTACTTTTAAAGTGACGAACGATAATGACTTATGTATATAATCTATTGAAATTTTTTGTATGTATTTGTTAAATTGTTTCACATTCATCATGCAGGAAAGAATATATGTTTGTCTATACGGAATTTAACACTCTTTGCATACGTAAATAACGAGATACTAAAATTGGCAATTGTCGCGTAAACCTACCTCAGTTAGCTCCGGATATTTGTGCAAAATGATATTCGCCCCTGGGAAATCTTTTTCAATATGGGTTAATCTTTTAAAAAGGCCATATTCATTGTAGAGATCTGAAATGATTCAGCACACATTATACCTATACAAGTTTATCATTTGTATGTTAATGTTTGTATCACTTTTTGAGGGAATATAAACGCCTATTAACATGGAAACGACTATGAGATATGATGCTATTAAGAAATATGTATATAAATGATATCATGTTGACTGTTGATGTAATTGGTTTGCATTAAGATTGAACAGAATACTATTTTTTGTCCAAAAGTGGGTTCTTCGTAATGCTTGTGTCCAGCAAACCATCTCATAATTTTTTATATGATATTCTTCAGCTATTGAAAACCTGTTGCATGACAATGCAATGTCTTCGCAAAAGGCGAACAATTCTAGACAAAAGGCAAAAGATATCAACTTCGAGACTTATGTTCTACATCAGAAATACATTAAGGTATGCCTTACTGTTAACTTATTATCCTTTTTCGATTATTGTTTCACCTGTAATATGATACAGAAACATCTTCATTTAAAAAACTAACAGTGCAAATTAATTTACCTTTGATTTTTCCGGCTTGGAACAGTTTTTGAGCTAACCTCTCTACCTGATCTTCAACAGCCTTTCTACAGGGGTCCAGTTCAGAAGAGGAAAAGAATTCCTTTACAAGGACATAACCCTGTTAATATAAACAAATGTTCTTATACTTTATCAATACCCTAATACAGATTTTTTGTTCATAATACGCGAATTAAATTGAGAAATAAATAAAAAAATGTTTTCATATATTGCTAATAATGTGTACATAATTTGTTTGTTACATCAAGCTTCTTACCCCGGTACTTGAATACCATATAGCGTAACATTATGACATAAAATACAATATTTACTGTTGATAATGATTAAGGTATGCTAATTTCGAATTTTGCTAAAATATGAAAAAAAAAAAAAAATTGAAAAAAACTACAAATGTGTAAGGTATACATTGATACATGCGTACATCTTCAAAGAACTGCTTGATCATGTGACTAGGAAGTTGTCCTGGTTTCATGTCTTTATTGGGAGTAGGCATCGCCCGGATGTCGAACAACTCGGGGTGTTCATCTCCAACCAGTCCGTACTCTATAGGACGTATAGTAACAGCCACATCTGCCATCTTGGAGTTTCATCTCATAATATTTGTAATGTATGTGGGGTCAGCGCGCTATCTGTTGTTTGACCTACATCAAAAGTACGCGATAAGTGTGCTTCTGACATATTTCTGCTAAAATATTAAACAATTATATATAATAATATTATAATGAACGATTTTCAAATCCATTTTTTCGAGCAAATTGCAAGGCGAGTTACCATGAGTTGGTTCATCAAAAAATGACATATATATTTTTTTTTTCAATTTTAAGGATCACTCATTTCTTTCGGTTGATTAGTTTTGAAATGATCTATAAGCATTAGATAAGATATAAGAGATAATATAAACTTTATTTATTTTACAACAATTGGGAAACAAGTTATGTCAACTTATACTAATCACTCTTGTTGGCCCGGATGTAAGCGTGCGAGGGGTCTTATTGTGGGAGGAAACCGGAGTACCCGGGGAAAACCCACGTAGTCGGGCAGGTGACCCTTTACCGAACCCCGGTCGGCTAGGTGAAAGGTGAGTGCGTTACCACTTCGCCACCCGACCACCCAGATAAGAGATAAACAACTGATTAAAATATATAACTTTAACCGTGAGTTTGAGAAATAGTACAATCATAGTTTAAAATATGCATTTCTCATTAGTTTTCATCGTCGCAATAGTGAATGTATCGTAATATAGCTATATACATATGTATTATATACTAAACAAAAAAAGAAAGGTAACACTACTTTATTCTGTGATTAATTAATTAACCCCTTCATAAATCCTTACCAATCATGTACGAATAAAGTAATTGATCAATTCTGATAATACTGCAGTCATGGTTCATTATAAAACTTTGCGTTCAGTTGTTTTTATTCGACTGTAAAGGACGTTGGGGTCAAATTCAAAGGTAACACCATTAGTAACGGGTATGGCCACCGTTTGCGAAGTAAACAGCATTGCAGCGTCGGCGCATGGAACTCGTAAACCGGCAGATAATTCGAGGAGAGATGTTGTTCCATTCAGCGATCAAGGCTTGGGCCATCTCCTGCAAGTTTGACGGCTGATTTTGACGTTCTCTCACGCGTCGCCCAAGAACGTCCCAGACATGCTCAATCGGTGACAAATCAGGTGATTTAGATGGCCAATCTAACACCTGTACGTTATTCTGCTGCAAGAAAGTTCTGCTGACGCGACTGGTGTGCGCTGGTGCGTTATCATGTTGAAAAATGGCGCCAATACCATGGCGTCTTAAGAATGGCAGAACCACTGGTCTTAAAATTTCGTCCCGATATCGAATGCCGGTCAAATTGCCATTTAACACAACAAGTCTGTTACGAGTCCCCCCACAAATACCACCCCAAACCATTACACTTCCGCCGCCAAAGCGGTCCCGTTCTGCGACGCAGCAGTTCGCAAAACGCTCCCTTCGTCGCCTCCACACTCTGCGCCTTCCGTCACCGTGTTGCAGACAAAACCTGGAGTCATCTGAAAACAGAACATTGTTCCATTGTCGTAAGGCCCAACGATGGTGAACACAGGTCCAGTTACGGCGATTATTACGGTGACGTCGCAACAAATTGGGTCCAGTGTAGGGACGCCGCGCTTTCAATTGGTAGGCCCTCAACCTGTTGCGGACTGTTTGGGGAGACACACGACGCCCAAACAATGTCCTTGTAGTCTCTACTGCGGTTACGAATCGATTGCGCAAGTGTATCAATCGTATACGACGGTCATCCCTGGCGGTCGTTTTACGGGGTCGGCCGCTTCGGGGACGATCGCATGTTGACCCAGTTTGATTAAACGACTTACCAACTGGCAAATTGTCTGAACATTGCAACCAAAATGCCGTGCAACTCGACGGCGAGACTCCCCAGCCTGGATCATGCCTAAAGTCCTTTCTCTCTGTGCTTGTGACAGCCGGGGCATAATGATAAAGTTGATAGATAGCAAGATTCGGTGACTTCTAGGTCCTAAGAATCTAAGGAACAGTTGTCAGTTTGAATGTTTATGAAATTCAAGCGAAGATACAAGTTAGTCGCAGAAAACCTTGTGCAGCTCTTTCGCTAATACAGACTTTCACGCTTGAATGATTTTGGTAACCCTCTTGGATTTTGTAATGTAAAACATTACCATTTTCTAATATTGCACAAACGTCATTTTGTTTTCACTCATTGACAGGTATTCGCCAAGGAAACATGTTAACCTTTCTTTTTTTGTTGAGTATATCAAGTACAACAAGTTGGTCCTTTATTGTATAACTGATATCATTGCATTTTATATGAACTGTACCCAACAAGAAAATGTTTTTAATTCTTTCCTTAATCTATTATGAACTTAACAATGAGTATTTGTCTTATTGTGATTATGGAAATTGTTTGTAAAGGTTCTATTTGCGAAAAGGACCTTTTGCTTTGGAGCAATATCTAACAGTTTTTATATGATATCAGGTTTACGTATTTTAGATATTTAGCGTGTTTGAACAAACCCATTATTGCAAAGCTTATATAAAGCGTTATCTATTATATAAACGCTTCACTTAGATTCTTGATAACGACAACATGTACTATCGACCATCATACCCGTAGAAGATGACACGCTATTAAGTGGACTGTTTGCTCACCTTTGCCAAGGTCAAGCTCAGATATTTAGATAGCAATGTTAAAGATACCAACCACAGGCTTCATTGTAACTGGAGCTTTGGTTTACCAAACAATAATAAAACAAGATGATATCTTCGTGTCTTTTTGTACATGCCATTACGTCACAACAGAAATAGGATTTTGTAAAGCGATGATTATTTTTTTTTCATTATTTCGATTTCCTTAAAATGCCTGGTAGCTTCATTGTTGTAATCACATTGATATACACCTGGTCTGATTCACCCCGTACTTCACCAAGGCTATCCATGTTAATCTTTGTTTTGATATCACTTGCCCCCGGTTTTAAATTTAAATTTTGATTATGTTGCTAGCTGGTATTCCCTTGATTTCTGTGACATTCTATCAAAACAATGTTATATATCAACGACGTAGGTCTGAAAAGATTCACAAAAATAACTATAATTGCATTCAAGAATTTTATTGTTTTATTGTTTCGAGCAATCAAATCGTAATTAAGATGGAAACTTAAGACAAATAATTTCTACTCTCATTTTTATTGACAATTAATTTGGATAACAAACTACAATTTTTAGCATGGGATGACAGCGCGAACACAAAGAAGCGGTAATATTTCCGATAATGCACCAAGGCGTACCACTAATAAATTATACATATTTCATATATTTTGTGTTTTGAGCGCCCTGTGTTTTAAATAACAGTAAAAAATTGATGATGTTATATTGGGTACACCCGAAGTAGTCTAAATAGTGTTTAGATAAATGCATAAACATTGAACGTGGTCTGGTTCTAACGTTGTGAATATGCAGCTGTACTGAAGATATTACCATTGAATTTCACCTTCTTGTCATAACTATCTAAGATAAATAAGCATAGAAAAAGTTTTATTTATGTTATCATATATTGTTTAGATCTGAAATAACTACAACGGCATTGATTTCACGAATTTTTAATACTTTCTCAATAATAGGTACAGGTACATACAAAACATTAAACAAAATCAGCCCAAGCACCTTTACATTACAAAATGTATTATCTTAGATATTATCATTCAGGATGAATTAAAATAATGATAATAATAATTGTTATTAACCAGCGTATGCACCTTTAAATCACAAAATTTATCATTTTCAATATCATCATTCAGGATCGATTTTAAAAATTTGGCCTATAGTGTACTGAACATTAATTTGAAACTATATGGTGTTTGTTATGCTTTGTGGCCATGCCAAGTGCTCAGAGTCTCGTCAGATAATTTAGCAGTATGTTGATTCATGTGAACAATTTCCCATTTCTTCATCCATGGTCCTTGTATTGTGGTATCGTAATCAGGATCACTGGACGGCTGAAAGGATATAAAAAGAGGTTTATCAAACAAGAACTAGAATAATGCATTATGCATTATTTTCTGGTTAAATTAGGATATTAGGCCAAAATATTCCTACATTAATATTTGAACAAACGTATATATGCAGTTCTTAACCCCGAACAAATCCGCCTTCAATTTTATAAAGGCATTCATGTATTTGATCACTGGAATTTGATTTTTTGGAAGGTTTTACTTTCTTTTACTTTTACTTGCCTATTTAATAAAATATCAGTATTTTGTAAACTGTGCATTTCGGTAGCTTTACGACCGTAAATAAATAAAATTTCTTTGTCGGCATTTATATACAATATCTATTACATACCTTACCTATATCTTAAACTATCGAAAAACAGAAAAATGAACACCAAACTTTGACATAGGAATGGAGATTGTGTATTCTACATACGGTACTACAGTGGAAACCTGGGCTTCCATAAACCCTAAAATTCGTTAAATGACAATATGTAACAACGTAATGAACATTTGACTGTATAATTATACCTCAAGAATGTCCTTGACCGATTCCCTCTGTTTATCATGGCGATCGACACCTTCAAATGCATCCCAGTTGGCTTTGTAGTTAGGATCTTTAGATGTTCGCATTAAAATGCCTTCCTTCATGTTGTAAAATCCAAACGGAAGCGAAGGTTTTTGCCAGCGCAGGTCCAAACTCCATCGAATTTGCTTAGAAAGATTTGGCAAGCTGCATAATAAAAATAAATACAACAAATTGCATTGTAATTAATACTTCACAAGATAATAGAGTACACTTGGCATTTTCATAGGGCACCCGCTAAAGTAAAAACTGTCACCAAAATACTGTCTTTAATACAATAGTATTAAAAAATAATAATATCAAAATTCCTCGCGTTACCTTCTATGAGGTATCATGTTGTTTAATAGTAGCATGCCACCGTATGGAATAGGACACGTCTTGATATCAGACTCGATGTTTACATCTGAAAATTAAAAAAATGTACAAATAACGTTGCCGAATTATCAAGACTTTCGTGATAATAGCACGACTGTTCTATCTAAATTTAATACTGCCAAAAAGATTAGATTTATTTGTTTTACGAATACCCGTTCGGAAGATGAAATTTAAATTTATGAAATCTGACAAATACAGTATATCACACACGCCATATCTGTATCACTACTGACGAATCAGCGACATAGATCAATACCTACCTAATGATTTCGCCATTTCGTCCTCCTCAAGCATAACATACCATGTGCCTCCATAGCAACACTGGTGAGTAGCAACCTTTCCGGTTTTGTGACCACGATGAGCCACCTAATAAAGATTAGGATAGGAAATTATATCAAAACACCATTTTAAAAATTCATTTTCGATGAAACTAAGGCAAAATATTAATAAAAAAGATTAACATGGAGACTCCTGCAGGGAGAAGAAGTTCAGATGTCCTAGATGGTATATGTCAAATTTATCGACGACACGCGCCATGTTAATCTTTGAAAATCCACGTAATTAATGTTACATTTCAAGCATAAATCGTTAAACTCGAGTTTAAGGATTTTTTCTATATACTGTTAATTACACTGGTTACTGAAACACTAATTGAAGGCGTTATAGTTATGATATCAGGAAATTGTTTTACATTATTTTAGATAAAAAAAGATACAATGGGGACGATTTTTCGCCGTGTGTGTGTTTGTAGAAACGAAACGAGCTGAATAAGTGTCTCTATTATGATTATATCATCTAAAAGGCATATTTTGTTCTCCCATTCTCCCATTGATTTCAAATTGAGTGGTATATATATATAAACTGAAGAAAATCCCTTTGGACACGTGTGTAGATATACCTGCATACATCCATTTTGCTCTGTAGCGTCTATAAGAGGTATCCAGGCTGTTGGTTGTAACACCTTGTAGGAGTCATTATCCAGATAGGCGGAATCTAGGGAGGGTAAGTTTGTATGATCATCATCATGCATCAATGTAATTCAGATAGGTAGAATCTAGAGAAAGCAGGTTTGTATAATCATCACAATGCATCAGCATTATCCAAATATACATAATCTAGAGTGAGAAGGGTTGTATTCTTATCACCATACTTCAACATTTTCCAGATAAGTAGATTCTTGAAAGGGTAGGGTTGTAAAATCATCAGCATGTCGAAATATCATCCAACCTAGAGAGAGTTAGTTTGTATACTTATCAACACATGTCAGTTATATAAAGATAGACAGAATCTAGAAAGAATATGTTTGAAAAATTAGCACCATACATCAACATTATCTAGATAGGCAAAATCTAGAGAAAAAAGGTTTCATTATCATTTACATCAAAATGTCCAGATAGGAAGAATCTAGAGAGTATGCGGATATAATCAGCGTAAACAGATATGAGGAATATCATATCCAATAGGCTGGCATCTTCTGTCGTTAAAAATAACTTTGACAGTTGTCTACCTTGATGCCACGGCACAGTAGTTGCTTCGTTCTGAGGAGTCTTCGTTCGAAGATTCCAAACCGGATGTCCAGCAATATCTGGACCAATTAACTGTTCAACCACGTTCAAAAGGCGTTCATTTGTCCATAAGTCTTTAAAAGCCTAGAATAGAATAGTTATGCAATCAGTTTTTGCGTGTCTGGCAAAATGAGGAAATATATACAATAATTAATTATATATAAATATACATTATAGTTAAGATAATGGAAAATCCACACATTTACATCTCCTTTTATAACATTTAGAAGAAAGAAATACAAGTGATCAGCTGACAACAACTAAAATGATTTGAGAGATCATATATTTTAAAATACCTGTGGAAGTTTGCCAAGCTTATGTAACACTATATTTGCCCCTGGGAAGTCACGCTCAATCATGGAAAGCCTTTCGTAAAAACCATATTCTTTGTACAGTTCTGTCAATGGAAATATACAGATTCAATATTGGTATGCCCATTTGAATATGAACGTTTGCGTTCCTAACATAACATTTGTCTTTTTTTTCATGCCTGCAATTATCATCATAATTAAAAGCAGAGCAATGAATAATTGCGTATATAACATACCATTGAAACAGAGGGAGGCTCACATATTTTAGGGATGGATGAGATAGTTTGGGATGGATTAGAGGGGTATATTTGAGGGTGCAATGAATTTATGACTTACCTTGCTACACAGCTAATAAGCTAACTAATATTAGGAGTTAAAGTAGAGCGATGCTACACGGTAAGTATAGTTTTAATGAGCAACATTTTCTATCAGAAACCATATTTATGACCATAGTTTAGATACCTTTAAGTGAGTAAGCTACAATTGAACTTCGTTATTTCGAAATCGGCGAGGCCGTTGGAAAACTTCGAGTGATCCGAATATTCGACTTAGATTATATTGAATGTTTGATGAAATGTTTGGCAAACTATATACTTCGAAGTGAACGGGTGGTCCGAATTATACGAGTTCGCGATAAGGAGGTTCGACTGTATTTACAAACTATAAAACCAGACCTATAACATGGAAACATGATCTTGAAATTTATTTAGGTTATGCACAAGGTAATTTAATAACAGATAAAAGTAAACAGAACAGGTTAAATAGTTACATAACTGTCAGTGTTTCTCATAAAGTTGAGTATTATCATGCAATTAAACAACAAAAAAATCATGTCTCATATTTCGTGTTGTATTTTCTGATTAAGTCGAATAAATGAAATGAGTACGTCGTCTCATATCAAGTTGATTATGCATATGTAAAGACAGCGATAATGGCTGACAGAGACGTTAACGATGGGTATTGATTTAGGTAACCGAGTTATAGATAATTCAGTGGAGATACTAATCTAGGTCGTAAATGCATAAAGGGGGATAAGCTAGGCTAAAGAAATTGACAGAAATAGAAAAAAATAGCAATTGAACGAATTAAAAGTCAAATGACAGAAATTACCTACACAAGCTAACAACGCACTAGATATAACAATACTGAGTATTATATAGCAGAATCAATATAACGAAAATGCTTATTTTGTTTGGAAAAATCATAAAAGTTGTGAAACAGTTCATACTTACCTTTAATTTTGCCTTTCGCTAAAAACTGTTGTGCCATTTCATCCAACATATCATTTATTGCAGTTTTACATGGATCCAGTTCCTCTGGCTTGAAAAAATTTTCTACGATGACATACCCCTATAAAAATAAAAACAAATCAGTTTTGTTCAAAATCATAAAAAAAAACTTTTGTGTCTTTTGGAAATCTTTAACATATATAGATATCGTTTTCGACATATATTTAGAATTAACATGTGAGATATTCATGAATTATTGACATTTTAGTGAAAGCGGAATATAGGTATTTGTAAGGTTAATCTCAATGTAAAGTTATCACAGTTAGGAAAATGTAGTACGCGAATTTGGAAGTTAAGCATTGGCATAGCCTTGTCAACCAGATAATAACAATAAAAACACAAATGAAAAAAGTAAATGAAAATAAATAAACATTATTTTATGAAATAAAACAAGAAATGAAAAATAAAAAACACACATAGAAGTATGATTTGATATTCAGAGCCATGATCCGGAAATGTTTCCAATTCAATTATTTTTTTTAAAATAGAGGAATATGACGCATAACACAAACGCTTTCTAAAATTTATATTGTACAATGAATGGCATATTTTGTTAACAAATTTCAATCAAATTGTTTATGTGGATTACAATAAAACAATTTTAAAGAAAGGGAAAGCATATGTATTGTGTCTGTAATGTTCAATTTGCATTTGTAACAAAACTTAATTCATACTTCACCTAAATCATGTTTTTCAAAACATTGAGTTAACATATCAGAGATTAAACATAATATCCATACATCTTCGAAGAATGTGCGGATTTCATCTTCGGGTAATTGTCCTGGCTTCTGTACATTAGAAGAAGGAGGCTTTGCTTCCAAATTATATATATGCGGATGTGTTTCTCCTGTATAGCCATTTAATATCGTTATGCTTCTTTCTGTGTCCGCCATTTTATGTTGTTTAAAGCCAATGCGAGAAAATAGAAGATAACATGTCATTTGTCACGTAGGCATGACATTATCTCCGGCCAATTGTACGATGATAACACAAAAGCCAATAGTGAATAGCACCTTTAAAAACTAGATACAGTAAAGCACAACAATAATTGAAACGGCATCATGCAGCTGTTTCGTCCCTTTCGGATTTTTCAATGTTGCCACCTGTAAGTTTGGTTTGACAATTTTTATTGAACCTTTATTGAACCTTTTTTAATTCATATTATACACTTTGTAATCGTTATGTGTATCTAAAATCGTATTTCGAGCTCAAAGTTTTATAAAGATGTGGTCTGGGAAAATAGATAGAAGGTGTGAAAATCATACAATATTCATGTTCAGATTATGAAGCAAATTAGTCAATAAGGTGAGACCGAAGCTGGAAAATCATTAATAGTAATGATATTTGAATGCATATTTAAGACAGTGGCGACTAAACAACAACTGACAAGAGAACATTTCGACTGAATTATATGAGCAGACTATACGCTATTTAAATTCCATATCCAGTCGTTTTCAAGTTATCTCCCTTTAACAAAACGAAAGTAACCGTTTTTCAATACCGAATATAATCAAATTACTGATAATGCGTGTGAGTGTGTCGAGATATTTCCAGAATATACTATTATTCCCTTCAGATTGATATTGATATTATCTCTATGTATTGATTAAAATAAGTGGTGTAAGTATGCAAATGTACTAGTATCATCTGCTCTAAAATAAGCTTCTACATAATACCATAGTTAAAACCATTTTCAACACTATCCGTTGGATGGGACTTAAAGTGGCGGTCCCAACTCGCACAATAAGATCCATCTGTGTTTAGTTAGTTTTGTTTTTTTTTTCTCGAAAAAAGCAGGCGTTGTAACGCCGGCCAGAGGTTAGGATTAGATTAGTTATAGTAACTAATTATCAAGAAATTTTGACGGCCCTCCAAAATATTATAAACATATCAAAATCAATACAGTGAGGGATTATCTTTATCTTCTATGTCCTACATCGGCTTTTTGCTGCTTCGTGCCTAATCAAGGTTAAGATTAGAGTTATAATTAGGCCAAGGGGGCCGTTTTCACGATTATAATTAAGGACATGTAGTATAGACTACTCAACTCTACATCAGCTCTTTATCCCACTCTCGTCGATTCAAACTATTTCCTCTCTTCTCTTCGCTGACAGGTCGAGAAGCAATAGTAACGGACATAAAATCCGTTTAACAAATAATAGATGCCATAGATGCAAGTGAAACTAAGCTATTACCGGTTAGCTTGTAATTATAATAATAATCAATTTACGAATACTAGTTTTTGTCTACGCCAGTATGATTTTCGGTGGATTTTCTGCATGCAAATTTGATTTTTTAAAATAAGTGTAATCAAAATGTAATGTAAAAAGAATATTGTAGCAAGGTCTCAATATTTGCAAACTGAAATCAAAACATTACAGATTCTTCAGTTGAGATTAAGGCTAAAAAAGAATAATAAAAATTTCCATATACAGTTCATGACATAGATTTAAATTATTATTTAATGGTCACTTCTTAAATCCATGCATTTGCACCACTATCTGACAAAATATAATTTATAAGTAAGATATCGTCCCTACTGAATATCAGTATGAAGATATTCTCACAAAAATAATAGAAATATTGGTATCCATTGCTTTTTCAATGAATAGTCGTGTGTTAACTGTATTACTTCATGTTTAAAAGAACATTCTTATCATTGACTTGCTTGTTCCAAGATAAATACGTGATATATATGTATGTGCATTAAGCATTTTATGCTAGAAATATGTATAAATTGATAATTTCAAAATATGATTTCATCAATAACTTTTGATTTTTTCGTATATTTATAAATCTTGTCATTACATTATTTGATTTTGATGTTGCCATTATTTAATCTAAATACATCAAAATATAATTTGATATCAAATATATATTAATGTATATCATCATACTATGTTCACATGGTATTTGTTTCTACTGTTCTATTGATAACTTTCATTGTTATATCATTTTATTTCATTATTGCATGCTTTGATGTTATCTTGGTTTTTTCATTCGGCTTCGCTATTATATTATATGTTGTTGCCGTTACAGTATTAGAATAACTAAAGGTAATGCTAATCTTTGTAGGTAAGTTATCATTAAAAAAAATCAGTCAGATTTCCGGTTCCGGTTAGAGCACATTTTCCTTTTAAAAGCAGAATTTCACGTCATATCCATACCATGCGATGGAAAAAGCACATACTAAAGTTACAGCAAATAACGGCAAGATTTAAACATTAATAAAAAAAATATCGAATCATATCACGATCAACCAAATGATAAATTCGTAAAACCAAATCATATATTAGTGACGTCATGTAAATACTGATGAAATAAACTATTTTTATAAAATTAAAGAAGTAAAACGATAAAATAGGATCATATAATAAAACTGAATCCTATCCCAATGATATAGATATAATGAAAATATCATTTCATATCGTATGCTATACAACATATATGACAACTATGACGCTCCATAGAAAATAGTTTGAGTGTACGTATCAAATTTGCATACGTGTATTTACATGAAATAGACATATGGACAAAGATGTAAAGTGGTATACAGATTGGAGGTGTTATGCATTACATGTATAAACAACACTTTCACTGTCTATCTCAATAACATCCATCCACACGAATTTCAAGCGACCGTTGTGCGTAGTTTGTATACCGAGCATGTAGTAAATGGTCAAGACTCAATAACACCTCTTACTTACGTTGATAAAAAACTGCTTAATTACGTCATCTGGTAGCTGGCCTAATTTCTTATTTGAAGTAGGAGATGGCATAGCATCAATGTTGAATATTTCTGGATTACCATTATCTCTGTCGTTCACTGAGGCCGCCATGATGCTATGTGAGGAAATAGCTGACCCCTTTACGCATACAATGTATATACACAGGATCGAAGGTACTATCGTCTGTACGCCGGCCCACTTCATAACATACAACGGGTGGTCGCGGGTCTTTATCGGAGAGGTCAGTTTGCGTGAGAAACATATGCTGCATAACTTATTCAACAGTATTCAAACAGTAAATAAATTGATATAGAAAGTGTAGACTGTATGTAATATCTTTTCATTTATTTATTTTATTCACTTATATTTGACACTAACAATACAATAATGATTCAAAGTCGAATTCAGAAAGATAGTAGTTTCTCCACCTGTGTTGCATTGCAAAATCAATAATCTTCCTGTGGTATTTGTCGTCGTTGATATCGCAGGTACACTTTTCCCATACATTCATACATCAATGAACTGTTAACGATAGTACACAAGATGTATTGATCTGTATCATCAACAAAATCAGATGTTCACGAACTTTGTCACGTTCCTTATATAACTCTCTCTCTCTCTCTCACACACAGAGAGAGAGAGAGAGAGAGAGAGAGAGAGAGAGAGAGAGAGAGAGAGAGAGAGAGAGAGAGAGAGAGAGAGAGAGAGAGAGAGAGAGAGAGAGAGAGAGAGAGCAAACCAGGCTTCCATTTTATTTGGGTTCTGTCTCAATGCGGACATCAGCAACAAGACGGATCTACCGTGTGATCACCTGGTTGTCCAATGATGGCTAACCTTCTGGAGGCCCGTGAGGAACAGACTGCAGGTCCCTCATCTGCCTGGTTCAGATAAGTAGATGATAAAATTGTGAAGGTTTTGTCGTCGGAGATCAGTAGATTTTTAGACCACATCAACAACGTGGATCCCCCTACAGTAAAACACTTTTATAACGAACACGCTTACAACGAATTAATGGTTATAACGTAGTGATTTTCATTCCCCGTCAATCGCCCTATCATTTATATGTTAAAATCAAAATATATAACGAATTTCACATAACGAATTAATGTCTATAGCGTAGCAGCTTTTGGATCCGCGCAGGTGAATATCAGTGCTAATTAATAACCTTATAACGTAGTAGCCTCGGGCTGTCGTCACACCTGAGTGAAGTCAGCCGTGTGTCCGGTAGCGACACCCGTGTCCAGGTAAGTTTCAATTACGCACGGGTAAGATTGACGATTAAAGTGAGTTGTTGTCATACGTATTAAGTTTACCTTGGAATGTCATTGGATGCCAGTCTCCCTATGTAAGCGTACAGGTTTATGTGACACCAGACAGTTGGGTTAAAACAACACTTTACCGGAAGGCTACACACACGGACCGGTACTCAGCATTCGACTCCCAAAACCCATTCCAGCACAAACGAGACGTGGTAGGAATCCAACAGAAATCCAACATAACCATCAGTGACTACACAGACGAAGATAAAGGACGCCAACATCAGCACTCGGCAGGAACATTTTATTGAACGAACTCATCAAAGAAGAAGAGAGATTCAGTCTTCGGCAACAAACTGATCCCCAGGTGTCAGTTTTCATTTTAAAACTTGAAACAGTCTACGGGAACGCTTAGTATCTCCCAAGGACAAATCTGGGAGGACATGGTTGGAGTGATATACAACATCCCATGTGCTACCTGCCCTGATTCTTATATAGGAGAGTTCGAGAGATCATTAATCATCCGCGTTGAAGAACATCGCAGGGACATGATAACATAGTACCTACCCATCAGTATGAATGAATGAATTTTCTTAAAACTAGCAAAATTGATCATTTTAAAAACAGCATTAATTAAATATTGTCCACCTGGCCTTAGTTGTTACTAAAACAGAAGACCTTTCCCATTGTTTATCGTCCAATGTAATAGTGTCGTATATATTCTGGAGAATTCTTACACACCTTATTTCATTATGATATTCTCACTACGATTTAGTTGGTATTACTGTATTGTTTGTATGTCTGTAGTGTGCTTATCTTTCTGAAAAACCGCATATTTTCGCGGGGCTCAGTTTGCATGGTTTGCAACAAAACAATTTCTCGTGGACACTTGATTTTAGATAAATATAGCTATATAAGTATACTTATTTTCACAGTTCGAGTGTATTAAAAATTCTGGATTAAGGTTCCACGAAATTAATAAAAATAATTCCTCCACGAAAATTAATAGTTTTACATTATGTATTAGAGATATACTTATTATTTGATGTCAAGCACACCAAAATGTATGACTGTGCATAATTGATTTTGGACTTTATTCTGTGTCATTTGTCTTAAAAGTACAGTACAGACATCTTACAAAACAGTGTTATTTAGGTCAGTGATATTGAATATTTACAACTCTCATTAGATAATACCATCGCAACAGCTGCAGTTGTTTTAATAAGGTTTATAATGAAGATATATAATTTTTACAGTAAACGATAAAGACACTGATGGTCAGAGGATGTATCTCACCATCACACAATGGCAATAAATATTATCCAAAAACGATGCTTATTTCAACACAAGAAAAATCTGTTACAATAAGATGAATGTAGATCACCTACAAACTGATATCGAACATGAGACTGACCATACCTGTGTTATCAAAGTTATTGCCATCAGCAAATAGTCCAGCAGTATCAGATACAAGCAAAATATTTAGAGTTACTCATCATTATCAGTTATACATCGATCTCCTGGTAGAACGCTTATCAGTAGTGATAAACATTGAAATTCTCATTTATCACACCACTAAAATCAAAAATTAACTTTCACGTGTGATTAGCACTAAACTTTCTATTACAAGCACTTAGTATGCTTATTATACACCCAAACGTAACTCAAGCCTTGCATTCCTCCCACGAGCTATTTTCTATTTCAGCCCGTTTTGTGTGCTGGTTTGTGTGTACAATTTCCCATTTCCTCATCCAAGGCCCTTCCAAAGTGGTGCTGAACTCTTGGTCCGATTCCTGGAATAAGATTTTGATTTATAAGATTCTGAAATTATTTCTTTATTGCCTTTCAGTTTAATGTTTGTCATCTTTTGTTAGGGAAGAAATAATCAAACAAATAGAAATGACATGATACGCAAAACATTGTCGAGGGTTCGACATACAGAAGATCACTCTGATTAAAATGATGATTAACTGAGACTTGATTACGCATAAAAAACAAGATAAAACGGCATGTTTCTAAATCACTGATAAATACGGCTATACGAGAATCATTCAGGAATGACATATATTCTTGATTTACATATATCGTCATTTCTAGCGTAGAGAAAACTACTCATCCTGATGGAAAGTTCATAATAAAATCGAATGGAAACAAAAAACAATATACAATTTAACAAATTTAATGTCCATGTTACACTTTATAAGATATAAACACACGAAAACACTACGGATGTATTACAAACATATTCGAAAATTCGTAACAACTGCCTGGATTAATGTTATGGTGACATCAATGATATATATGTGCATACATTTTTTTTTCAAAAAAATCTTTTCTACGTAAATAAGGACTTTGAAATCACTTTCAAGTATTCTTCATAAATATTCTAGAAAATGTAACGTGTGTATATGTTTGAAGAAATATAATGATAATAATAATACATTTTAGTTTTCTACGGAAGATGATTTATTGTATAGAAGAAAGTACATCAATCTTGTAAAGAGACAACATTTTTAACTTATATACAACCCTAGGAATACATATACATATCAAAAGAAATATAAAAAAAAACCCAAACATATTACAGTATATACAGACATTTTCTACCAAGTCCTTGACAGCCTGTCTCTGCTTGGCCCGTCTATCGACGCTCAGGAAGTCCTGCCACGGGATCTTGTAGTCAGGATCGGTTGATTTTCGCATGACCACTCCTTTCTTCATTCCATAAAATCCAAAAGGGAGATTTGGGTTTTGGAAACGAAGATCCAAACTCCAACGAATTTCCTGTGTCATGTTTGGTAAACTAAAACATAAATGTTGCCATATAATTGACATATAACTGAGGATTAACATTACCGAGATCCTTGGTAGATTTCCTAAACCGAGATCTTTGATATAATTAAGGATTTACTCCAATAAAGATCATGAACAGGAACCAATCACTTAAGATAGGTCATTTAAGGGCAAGTTAGTCATCATAATATAGTAAAAGGCATGTTGTACCTTCGATGTGGGGTTACATTGTTCAGAAGCAGCATGCCGCCATATAGAACAGGACATGTCCGTATGTCGTCTGGAATCTCTGCACCTGTATATTCCACGAAAAATCTACCTTATTGTAATCACGGAAAGATATAGAATGTTAAATGCGGTGTTTAAATTCAACTATAATTTTCCCTTTACGTCTAACAACAACCAGGGTCAGCTCAGAACATACTAAGTTTGGGTGGTAGAGGAAAGCTTGCGGCCAGTTCCTGGCGATTGTCCAATGTATCCCTCGAACTCACCACCCAAAGGTGGAGGGCCAGTGATAAAGACGTTGAGGCGCCTTAACCACTAAACCACCGTAAATCTGATACAAATTACATGTATAAAGCAGAATGCCTTAAATAGTTCAATATTGAGTCGAAGCTGGCAGCAAAATCATTATGAAACACTTATGTTATTAAGATAATTAATAGATATGTATCAAAAGAAAAGTCGAGAGCTCCAAATACGTGCTTCAATAACTACACAAAATAAACGCAAATGTATGTAACTATTGATTACAAATTCAGAATTAGATGCAGTAGAGCCCAAATGATTGGTTAAACTGCACTCGTTAATTGTCAATATCGAGTATGAATATACAATTTATAGTTTACCCAAAGTTTTCAGCATTTCTTTTTCTTCGAGCATGACATACCAAGTGCCACCATAGCAACATTGATGGTTACCCACAATTCCCGTTTTGTGGCCTCTATGAATAACCTTGAAAACATGCAAAGTTAACGTTAAGATTCTTTTCGAGTAAACCTCCATCAACCGAAACTCAAACGGATTTTTCAATAGTGAAGGGCATCTTCTATTTTCTATTTATTTTGTAAAACTTGTTTGTTTTCTATTATTTTAAAAAAAAACTTGTTTCTCGATAAAAAAATGTTGTTATTTCGAGATTTTTTTAAAATTTTCGTTTTCGATTATATTTTTTGGAAAATAAAGAATAAATTTAAAAATACATCATACAAAGCCGACATTTTAAGGAAACCATAAAGTATTGTTCATTCAAGTCTACCTGCATACATCCATTTTGTTCATTAGCATCCACAAGGGGGATCCAAGCCGTAGGTTGAAGCACTTGGTAGGAATCATTGTCAAGGTAGGCAGAGTCTAAAGGTTTAAAATCAATGTTTATAATGTTGATAATAACATTGGTAAAACACAAGGAAGGTATCAGAGAAAATCTATGAACTCAACTTCAAAACTTAAAGAAGGATATCTAAACCCACAGAGAATCAGGGATTTATGCATCATACGGACCATCTGCCAATAGCAAGACGTTGGTGGCCAACGATATCAGACAAAACATATCCATTGTGTACCTTGATGCCAGGGCACGGTGGTAGCCTCGTTCTGAGGTGTTTTCGTGCGCAAGTTCCAGACCGGATGTCCGGCTATGTCTGGACCAATTAGCTGTTCTACTACATTCAGTAAGCGTACATTTGTCCACAAATTTCTAAATGCCTTAAACAGGAAAAGATTTATTATGACGATATCGAAATTGAGATTTTTGTCGTTTTTCATAGAACGAAATAGCAAGCAACGTCCATGCAAACATGTGCAAAATTTGGAACTTCAATTTCAAGTTTCACTAAAAAATAACTTTGAGCATTTGCCAATTATCTGGTTTTGCTTGATTTTAAATATAAAGCGGCAACATCGCAGAAATGGGATTATTATATATGATCAATCCTTCGATACTTTTTATATCATCAGTAATTCATCCCCGATGCGCCATTTTCATATTTTGACCTCATTTCATCGGTTTTTATTTGGATTTGATTGGTTTCGTAGCCTTCAGATCCTAAAATTAGAAAATCGAGAAGATTTTATATATCAACAAACCTCTGGTAAACCATCGCCTTTGTGAAGGATAATATTGGCCCCGGGGAATTCCTCTTCTAATTTACTCAATCGGTCAAAGAATCCAAACTCGGTATACAAACCTGTGAAAAAAAAAGACGAAAACTGAAGTCCTTCATATGATATCTCGTCTGAGTCAATATCGAGGACCATATTAATGAGAAGAACACACGTTTGATTGAAATCAGATATCTATAGAATGGTTGATAATTTAACCACGAGAAATCTTACTCTTAATTTTGCCTGCCCTATAGAGTTTCTGTGCTAAGTGTTCCACTTGTTCATTGACGGCGTTTCTGCACGTGTCCAATTCTTCACGTGTGAAAAAGTTGTCCACTATTAGGTATCCCTATAATAAAAAGATAGTTCTAGTAGGAGAGTTTGAGTTGAATAAATATTTTCTGGCGTTATATGCCGATTCCATACATTCATGATCAATACATTTTGATAGTTTAACAATGAAAGTCCTAAATATAGAAAAATATCATCATTGATAAAGCTTTGACAGGATAATAACAATGACTTGCGAAGAATCCTTTGTGATTTGCCAGCAATCCTGTAGATATGTCGGCTACCCTAATTACCTTTGTAATATCACGCTTTATCGGTATCATTGAATATATCTATATTCTCTTACGTCTTCAAAGAACTGTCGTATCTTGCTTTCTGAAAGCTGACCGGGCTTAAGTTCATTTGACTGAGTTGGCATTGCATTTAGATTGAACACATCCGGGTATGCTGCTCCGGTGAAACCATGCGGTATTGTTTGTTGTTGGGAAACATCCGCCATCTTGTTGTTTTGATATATCAATGATCAATGCAAGAATTTGTATCTACCGGACACGAAATAACATTTACAGATGATACGAGTGTATGTGATTTTGATAACTTTATCTACCATTATGTAACATGTAGAATATCAGGATGATGATTCGAGATAACGAAGTCATCGTTGTAATCAGAGCAAACAAGGTAGTGGTATAACATCACTGTAAAGATAGTGTCAAGATCTGATAGCCTGGCCAGGTTACATCGTAATGTGATCTAAATATACTGTCTTAAGGAACAGAAATAAAACAAAATAGTTGATAACTTGAAAATATCGTTCGAAAAAGTAAAAAAACAAAACAAAAACAAGGATGCCTAAATCATTAAAATCGATGAAGGCATTCGCCTGATTGCTCATGTGGATCTTTAGTAGCTCATTAAGTTTAAATAATCAAAATTGAAATGCGAAAAGAAATGTTTAACATTACCTATGAAACATTGCAAGATACAGACTATCACTAGTGAGTCGCACGATGTTTTACATAGACGTCCAAAAGCTTGGTGCTGGTACCATGCATTGCCTGTATGCTGAATACAGAACAATGAGTAACTTATTTGGTATTTAAATGTCAACCATATGTCTGTGTTCACAAAGTTGGTGAAGCTTTTGTTAAAACCCGACTTAAGGAATATGTTGTTGTTTTTTCAAAGAAGACATTTTAGAATTCATATAAGGATATGTGGTGGAATGCTGGGGATTTCCTAATTGCGGTGGAGCAATAGATAACAGGCGGATTCCTACTACGTACATTTGTCCAGGATGCATCACATGACATTATTATTTCAATATGTCTTCAGAGACAACGCAGAGACAATGAGTTTGCTTGACCTGCGCGGGTGCATAATACATTGTACCAGGCGGTGAATCGTCAGGGCCAGTTGACTTGCTGGTTGACTCTACATATCTATCGAAATCGTGGTTGATGACGTCATAATCTAATAGGACAAGTAGAACACTAAACTATCGGAAATTTGAACACCTGAACGGGCGCTGGAATGCTTAGAATAGAAGAGATTCGATGTTAATAGAGTATACTTTGCATGTACAGTCGTTACCACCTGTGTTATTCAACATTTTGAAATCCTATTGGAGAATTACGTGGAAGAGTGGGGAGAGGACTTCGGAAGGGAATTCGATGAGAAAGACGTTTATGTAGACGACAGCGACCTAGGAGACAACCAATATGACCAAAAGATTCATGGCGACATTGTATATTCGTAAACCCCTATGTCACCAGGTTTCAGAGATATATCTAAAGTAAACAGATATATGCCCAATTCATTGTTTCTTGGTTCAGTGATGAAAATTCTGCTTTACCTGTCAGATAATATTTCTGTTTGTGTATTGCAGAGTTACATCCCTTCCGCGTACTTTGGTGTTGTTTGTAATGTTTGTTATCTAAATCAATCTTGACACAAATACACAGTTATTCAAATTTGCTAGCCACTTCATATGACGAAATCTGCACACATTTTTACTCCCAAATCTTTTTTCACATGTGAAAATATGCGTTGCATCTAGCCGGATTAGTTGCAAATTTATCTGTATACATGTATGCGCATACAAGCAAAACATTTGCACATATGCAACTATCGTCATGTAAACTGGGTTAAATACATTATTTGGCATTAAAATAAAATTCTTAATCCCCAATTTTGATTTGTTTTTGAGGGTCCAAAGCACTTATGATGACGGTAACGAGTATCTAAATATCGCATATGAAATTTTAAAGTTTTTTTTTAAGTTTCTTCCGAATCTATGGCCGTATGGACGAGTCGTAGAAAGATGAAACAGCTGTTTACATCTAATTCGATCTAAAGTATGAAATGGTGCTATCACATTACATAGTGTGTGTCTCTTGTACAATATTGAACCATACAACAATTACTGACTTCCCTAAAAATAACGATTTTTTTTTATGCACAAATTAAATAAACGATGGGAAAAAAATGCTATTACATTACAAATATTTCAGCCTGTGAACAAAAGATACATTATATCATTTATATTCAGCCTCTAACACATTTTATTATTCAATATAATTCATCTCTTAAGCTTATTTGATATTTAACGTATTTGTTAACCATGCAGATCAGTTTCATATTTCCGGAAAAGAAAATTCGAATTCGGATTCAATTTTCCAATGCCGTGTTTACTTCCGGACGCATGAACGGTAAAGTAGTCCTACAAATTACAGTTTGTCCTGCACATCAACGTAATTGTAACACGGAAACAGGAATCAAGTATTGTTTTTGCCTTTATATTTCCCTTGCATAAATTCTTACATTCTGTCCTCAAATGTCACACGACAATTTTGCAAAATTTATGATATATAAGCTTACGTAGATACTTCAGTCCGAGCTAGCGCTGTACGTAATCTTTGAATATACTATTCATTCTAATCGCCTTCTTATCAAGTTAAAGTTAATCCAATAGTTTATAAATGAAAAGTAAGAACAAAAAAAAAAAAAAACAGAAAAATAATTTTCACCATTTCTTGCGGAGACAATTACCACAAAGAGTCGAAAAGTTCGATTTTTTTTGTTGATGTAATACTTGTGTTTACATTTTCTATATTTACACATGTAAAACCAACATTAAACATTCATAGAAAGCAATAGTTTTTTCTACATGTACTTAGATTAGATTGGATGGTCAGATGGTGCAGTGGTAACACACTAGCCTTTCAGAGCCGTCTAAATAATAAAAGTCCAAGGGAATCCCCAAACTGGAATATCCCTAGTAAACAAACATGGCGGCGACGTAACAGAACTCTGACAACACATGACAGACACAATGATTTAACAGGGCGTAAGTACAATGAACTCACTACTTTTACACCCTAGCCGTCCGGGGGTTCCGGTAAGAACTTGAAAAGGTATGGGGTCACCTGCCCGACCACATGGATTTTCCACGAGTACTCCTGTTTCCTCCCCAATAAGACCCCCATGCACTTCCATGGAGGCCAACAAGAGCAATTAATATAAGCTGTATATTAATTTGCAATTGTTGTCAAAGAGATAATGTTTCAATATTATATTTAATGACCTAGATTGACAATGTACCCACCTGTAATCTGAGCTTAAATTTAATTAATTTTGCCATTTCATTATTTGCCTACAGGTCCTTGATATCAGTAAGTAACTTTGTTCTTCAATGGATGAGGTTCACGTGGATGATCCACACTCCATATTAGGAGCAGAAGCAGATGAAATGACAGATCTTCAACCGGCAGTCAACCAGATTAGAGAAAATATGTTGACCAGATTGTCTCAGACAGAAGCTCATTTTAAGCACCAGCAACGAGGTGAGGCAGACCTGTCCTGTGAAGACAAGAAGGAGATTGCAATCAGTATTCTAGAAAAAAGTCCTTCGTTGTTCTTAGCACGGTTTGGTGCTTACCTTGGAGCAGATGATCTGGAATATTTCCGAGACAAGTCTGATGATTATGAAATACAGTTCTACTTGAAACAGATAAAGAAAGAGAGGAGTACAACTTATTCTGCTAATAGGGTTAAGAATCGTCGCTATAAAGCTATGAAGCAGCTGATTGAGAGAGGAGAGTATTTTAGTGAAGATTCCATGAAGCATCGTGACCCCTACCTGTATGAGCAGCTGATTGGTCAATATTTAACAGATGAAGAAGTTCAAGGTCAGGTCGACAAGTCTGACCTCCGTTTCTCAACCATTCTTCTCAAACATATGGATCAACTTGAGGAGAATGAGGTGTTCAAATTACAGAAGGACACCGAGGTAATCCTTTACATTTAAAGTGCCAAATTCATTCCTGAGAAAGGCTTGAGAAGAAAAAGCAAGAATGTGTGGTGCATTGATTTTTGTGTTTCAGGAATTCAATTCCTGGACTTTTGCTCTTTTTGTGGGACTTTTGAGAACCCACTTCATCTCTTGGTTTTGGAACACATCAATAATTTTGAATTGGTGTTCTTGACTCGCCTGAAAAAATCCTACAAAAAATTACTGGCTGATACCAGTTTAAAAGTTCAATGATTTTCCTGTATATATAAGTAGGTGCCACTGGCACTAGTAACTTGAATTTAGTAGAGGCAGAACACAACCAGGTGTCCTTGGTTCAAAATAATTTGAATAACACAACCAAGAGAGGGTGATATCCAATGTGGCCTGCTGCCTACTATAGTTGTTTCATAAATATCAACATACTGTATTGATCCTGTAAAATATGTATAAAAAGTCAAGTTTGAAATGGAATTCATGACTTAATTTTTTTCTTTAGGACTCTCAGTTTGAAGAAGAAGATGAAGATAGCGATGAAGAGGAAGGTAATCATATTATATAGACAATGTGGAAACATTACATACTCTTTTGATAGTATGTGCCAGAAGATCTTTTTTATCCTTTTTTTGAAATATATGTCATAAAAAATGAAAGAGAGAAAAAGATAAAGAAACATGTATGTTAGATTGACCAATGCTGCTAAACTTTGACGAGACAATGAAAATCTCCGACATAAAACTATTAATGAAGAGTAACCACAAAATATATTCTTCTCTTATAGCCTTTCAATATTACTATGTTACATATCCTCATACCATCATTTCTACATAAATGTTTTCTCTGTTGATGACATTTCAATTTCACAATAAATGTTTTACCAACATCATGAAATAGCCGTATTTCCATCACAAAGGTGGTTTTTGACTGATTAACCACATGCACTTCTGAAATCTGATAAAATTACTTATTTCTAACAGAAATGGAAAAAGAAGAAGAGGAGATTTCAGATGAGAAGAAATTAGAATTGAGAGAGGAAATGTACAGAATTATGCAGGAGAGATTTCTATCAGGGCAGGAACATCAGTTTGACTACAGGTACAAACTAACTCTAGCTCTTGCGTGATAATTTTTTTTCACATTTTAAAATTTCCCATCACGTCCAAATGTCAAATAACAAGCAGTAACGATTGAATGACAACCAAATAATAAACAAAGGGTGGGTAAAAGTTACAGTGAATGTATACCCTGTTTGATAATGAAGGTGATATCTCTTTTTGCTTACATTCTGGACTTTCATTAGACTAAGAATGCCCAGATTTATACAATTTTACAAATCTGTACATAATTTTTACTGAAAAATTACAGCCTTGTTCACTCTGATTGCATAACAATCAAATTGCTTTCCTTAAAGATAAAAGAGTACACAATGTAAAGAATTGAGATCAAACTTTTCTCACTGTCTATCTGTAGCTTTATTCTTTGACTTAGGAGTGATAGAAAATAAGAATTGCTTTCTATATTAAACAGGAAGTTTTTCAACCCATACATGGGTTGGCATTCAGGTAATGTTAATATTTAGATATACATACTATTTTGATGAAAAAATAAAACGTTTATCTATTTAACTTAAAAGTTTCAAAGTCATTAACAGCTGTTCAATAGATGTAATTACTCATTTTTAGGTCCCCTGACCCAAAGGATGATAAGGATGACCTATCGTCATTGTGTTTTGCTTGTTGTCTTGCAATGTGCATAAACTTTCCATTCAAACAACTTCATCTCAATAATATGTTGGCTGTAGTATGTTTGGCCAATGATTCTCTTGTTAGGTTATTTGGACCCAAGGATCAGGATACATATGACCTATGGCCATGATAGTTCATCTGTCGCTGTGAACCATGTGCTGTGTTTAAACTTTTTACATTTCAAACTTCTTTTAAATTCCACCTGTGGGATTCAGCTGAAACTTGCCTGAAATGTTTCTGAGATTGTCCTAACCAAATGTTATTTTTTTGAGTCAGTCCATAATACATGATGGCCACCATCTTGAAAACTTCTAATCAGGTTCCACTGGTATCAGTGTGCTGAAAATTGGTGGGAATATAAAGGAAAGGAAAGCAACTAAGTGTTGTTATTTTTCAACATTTTTGAATGTTCAGTATGGCAGCCATATTGACCATTTTGTAATATGATTGTGCAATCATCAGGTTCCTTTGAGCAACACAAATCTTTCAACTTCTTCTCAAGCTCCATCAGTAATATTAAGCTGAAACTTGCCTGAAATGGTCATGAGATGGTCCAAAATTCAGTATGTGTACTTTGTTGGAAACACATTTTCAATTTCTTAAGTTAAACCAGGGGAGCTGAGACAACCATTAAGGCTCACAAGCTTTTATGATAATGACTGCCACTATAAAATTTGTCTGTTGTTTTAAACCTGCTTAGTGGAATCTCATCTCTTAATGTGCTTGAAAGTCTAGTTTTCGGAAAAGATGAGTTGATATATTTAGGTTACAATTGTCAAAGCTTTGACATTTCTGTAAGACAGAAATGTTTAATTGGACAGTTATTATTACATGGTACACTTGTAAAAGATTTTTAAAAAATCCAGACCAATACATTAGTTATTTTAATTTCCTGCTTTTCTAGAGGGGGGCATTGTGATATCAATTGTAACCAAGTAAAAAATGAAATTTCGTTTAGATAGTCAAAACCTTTTAGACTTTAACAATTCCAGTAATTATGGACTAAGGGTTTGTCACTCTTTTTTGGGTTTCAGTAATTAAGGTAAACTCTGATGCACCAGAAGTGGGCTTGCAGAGAATTAATTTATCAGATAATTCACTTAAGGACACCTCCCACATGTACATTTCTGTGTTCTCCTTCAACAAGAATTGTCCCAAAAGAGAATTTCAAGTTATTAAATTTATATCTTGATTGGACATGTTTAAATGTGCTAACATATGCTTCTTTCATTATTTGTAGTGAAGTGGATAATAATACAGACTATGATGACCTAGATCTTTTGGACAAAGATGAAGAAGAGAGATACTTTGATTCTGAAGAACCTGAGGAAATTTCTGTTCCTGAAATCACAGATCTTGCCAACACAATGATAATAGACAGTAATGATGATCACATAAACAGCAAAGACGGTGTAGACATTGATGGAGCAGTGACTAGCATGTCCGGTTCAGGGACACAAACAGTGAAAACAAACTTAAGGGATAATTCCCTGGAAGAAAATGTCACATAAATATACTTGTAATACACTTTATTACTGATTTGTTTAGTCTTTTATGTACTTCCTAACATATATATTTTTATCATATTATAAGAATTTAGTGCCAATCTCTTCTTATGATATTTTTCAAGTTTCATCAGTCATTGTGCGCCAAGCATAAACTTTCCATTCAAACAATAGGCAAAGGGAACTGATATCAGGCTAAAAGCATGTTGGGATGAAGGGATACCATCTTTGTTCAAATGAATGACCTTGACCCATTTTCAAAGTCATAGGAATCAAGTGTTAAAATTAACTATATTGCAATAACCAAAATGCTCAGGATGATGATAACTTTAAAAGAGATGGGAGAAAAATCAGTAAAAGATCTGGATAAGATTGAAATGCTGAAAAGAACAAAGGGCAATGACTTTTTAAAATTATGTATCAACATGATGTTATTGAGAAGACAATATCATTTTGTGAATTTAAAGCCAAAGAATTTTGAAAGCCTATCAAGTTTCAAAGAATTAGTCAAAACCTGAAGGAGGATATATATCTAGAAAAAAATTAAAAATAATTAAAAACAAAATAAGAAAATACCAACATCTGAATACAATCACAATTCAAAGTCAAATTCTATACAAGAGGCTCATAGTACCTGAATTGCTCACCCTGGTTTGACAAAATTGCTTCATCTAAACTGAAGGGGAAAGAAAACTAAATTTTTATGCACACAACACACACAATAGCTATTCTCCCATTTGGCCCCACCCCTCTGTCATTAAGGGGTCAGCCAAACAATTCATTCTTCATACCAAATTGTGGTATGATGTAAAGAATTTGCCCAATTTCCCTTATTGGGCCCCATCCCTTCTGCCCCCAAGAGATCCAACATTTATACAAAATTAATTCCCCTTCATCCATGAATGCTTTAGACAAATTTGGGCAAAATTGAATCATGCCTACAGGAGACGAAGATTTTGGAAGAATCCTCTTTATCTGTTTATTTCCCCTCAAATGGGCCCTAACCCTTCCATTCCAAGGAACATAGATTTAGATCCACCATTTAGACAGAACTGATTTCAGTTTAATCAAGAGTGTCTCAGATCATATTTGGGCAAAATTCATTCATTCACACAGAAGGGGTTAGATTTTAAAGAATGTGTTCTATTTTCCCTGTTGGGCCCTACCTCTCTTGCCACAGGGGAATAAGCCAAATTGTTAATACAGAATTGATTCCTCTTCACCCAAGAATAATTCAGACAAAATTCGGACAAATTCAAATGATTCCTACACGAGTAGGATTTTAAAGAATTTGCTCTAATTCCCATATTGGGTCACACCCCTCAGGCCGAAGGGGGACCAAGACCCATCCTTTATACCAACTTTACTCTGCTTCTCCCAAGGATGCTTTGGACCAATATTAGGTCAAAATCTGCTCATTCTTTATGTCTTTTCTTTGTAGAAAAATTTGACAGCTATGGCTTAAGCTCACCAGCCGGACTGTTGTCTGTCAATTTTTTTCTACTTTGGACCAGATGAGCTAAAAACTGAGCAAAATATGAAAAAAGAAAGGTATACAAAGACTCTGAAAATAGGAAGAGAATGGTAATAATGTATATATATTGTACCATCATTTACTTCTACTGAAAAATAAAACTCTCAAGGCAAGAAAATGAAGGTTTTCTTACAGATGATACATGGGGTTGTACAGAATGGAAAAATCAAATGTTCATTTAGAAGAACTGTTTTGAGAAGAGGGTATTGAAGATTGGTCAAAAGCTATTTTTGAGTCCTTTAAAATCCACATGCCACTAATCCCATTCTTGATTAAACAGTATCACGGTATGAGTAATTAAACTGGGGATGTCCGCATCCTTATCATCAATAGGTCATCTAAATAGTTGTAATACTGAAGCATGATTAGCCAGTATTTCTCCTTGGAAGGTGGAATTTCCTTCAATATAAAGCAAGCCCAGTTCTTTTTGTATACAGCAAATTTAATAATGTCAGCAGACAAGGATCAAGTTATCTGCAGGCATAAATATAGCATACCTGTCATGTAAATTTAAATGTAAAGTGTGGTTTTAACATTAGGTTTGAGGAACAGCGACTCATGCTTTGTATCCATTTTGGATTTCAAGCTGCTTATTCTCTAAGAATGATGGACCAAACAGATTTAACCCACATTCACTCTGAAAGTAAATCCAATGATCACTTACAATTTTCCATGGAATCCAGAAGTATCGTCTGATAAATGGAGGAAGTTTCATGATAATTTCAACCCTTCATGAAAACCTCTTGTAACTTAATAGTTTGAATGATGTTGAAATCACCAGTTACTATGTGCCCAGTTGGAATATAATTATAAAAAAAAGAACAAATTTCAAAAATTTCAAAATCACAGTTATTAGGAAAAACACAATTGCATGCTATTGTTATGAAGCCAACCATTTCAGAGAAAATGGTGGAAAACTTCGGAAAGGTTATGTACATACAAAATGAAAACAATACAAAACCAAAAGGGAAAAAAACTCCTTCATATGTAGTTGAATCAAACTGCTGTGTAGGGAACACAATTTCATGCATTGTTATTAAGCCCACCAAGCTTCAAAGAGACTTTTTGACAACTGAGAGAGAAGATCACTGGACATGACATTATGAAAACAACAATGAGCAGTACCTTTTCCCAACTCTAGTGCAGGCAAATCAGACTATTGTTACTAAAATGCAAATGTCATGGTGATTAAGAATACCAAGTTTGGAAGAAATGGTTGAAAACTGATGACCATGAGAAATCTGTACAAGTGAACAAGTTGAGGGTACAGGTTGCTTTACTAGCCTCAGCTAGTGGGAATTTCCCTTCAGTCAAGCAGTAGAGAGTCCGGCTAGGTGGCTAGACCGAAGGGTTGCTACTTCCAACCCCAGTGATGGCAGAGTGTTTTTCATTACTCCTTCCTATTACAGATTTGGTGCTGTTGACCACTTCAAGGGTAGAAGCTACAGGAGAATGAGATGTTTCCTTGGAGATAATGAACATGGATTGTTGTTGACTTTGTGGAGGAGGGAGTAGTGTAGAAGTTGAGAGCACAGGTCACCTTGCAAGCCTCAGATAGTGAGAATTTCCCTTTCGTTGAGTGGTAGAGTGTCCAGCTAGACACAGAGGGGTCACTAGTTCGAACCCTAGCGGTGGCAAGGTGTTTTTCATTACTCCTTCCTATTACACAAGATTAACATTATGGAAGTAAGATATGTACATGACATTTCCTTAAGAGTTTAGCTGAATCCACTACAGTACATTGTTATCTTGTGTGCTTTATTCTAATTTTTTTCAATCCTGTCACACTTTCTTCTACCTCATTGTACATTAAATTATAGTACTGCCTTCTGCCCAAAAAAGTGGTTGATTCCTAACCATCTCATAGTAGTACACTACATACATTGTAAGTCAGTGCAAGCATGCTTCATACTGTTCATTTGTCAGATGAAGATGACCGTGTAGTCATCTTTAATCTTCTGCTGGTTGTGATGTGAGATCATCAATTCTAACAACAAAGGGCAATAACTCCTCCGAATACTTTTGAATCTGACTGCTGTTCAGAAAAACATGTCATGGCGATCAAGATTACCAAGTTAGAAAAAGATCAGTTAACAAACTGTAGTACGAGATCTACAGATATCAAAGGTGGACGGATGGTGAGACAATTCCATACTAATATACATACTGTCAAAAAATCTTTTTGAGGCATGTGGAAAACTTCTGAAGAAGAAATAAATTCTGCACTAAAACGAAATGACCTTAAATGTTTGATACTCCCACTATTACACACTATTGATTATCATATGCCAAAATAAAGGTCACTGTTTCTCAAAATAGAACTGTCATATTTTTTCAGATAAATCTTTTTTAAACAATCTTGAACAAATTTTATATAAATGGCAAAATATAGGTCAGTGTTGCTAAAAAAAAAAAAATCCACATTACACTTTACCATTTACATTACCAGTTATCTATATGTAGTTGTGTTTAGTTCATACTTCACACATGTATATATGGCTATTTTTTTCTTTTTTTACCACTTTTTAGTTGATAATTTTGTCATATTTGTCATATTTCCCTGTTATATTTCTACAGGGATACATTTGCCTGACCTGGCCTTCTTTTTATGTACAAGGTGAATCCATTACATCGTCAACTTGCCATGTTAGTGACATTTCGTGTTCATACCTTCTGGCTGATGATGGTATCGTGACCTTAAAATCAAAATGAAAATCGGCCATGACATACAAATATAAAACAAATCAATTCCAATTTCTTCAATTTATTCAATCAAATACTATTGTAACATTTAAAGATGGATAGAAAACTACAGAATTAAATGAAAATTGTCCATGTCCAACCTCCACTTCTTGTCCATCTCTAAAACCATGGTAACAATCCCACTTCGATAGGTCTGGAATTTCCTTTCGTCTTTAAAGCATGCTGTAAATCTAGATATATCTTTTCCTGATTAGCTCACTGCTGAAATGAATTCAACTCTCGGTTTTCTATCCATCACAGTACAACAAACACATCACTATCACCTCGGCTGATTATAATCTGTCTTCCCTGTATTCATGTCTTCCATACACTGGGTACTGTGACAGAAAATATGTGGGAACAGCATAGATTATTACCTGGATCAAAAACCCTCCTAAGTAGGCCTCCTGAAATGATAAAGAATATTAGAATTACTTATAGCCCAGTCACATAAGTCAATGAAAGCATATACTTCAAACAGAGAATATTAATGTTACCAGTTGTAATGTTTATCATATATCATGTGGACATTCTGACATTACTGATAAGTTCATTTAAATGGAGAAAAGGAAATTGGAATATGTCACAAAGATTACATATCATCATCACACTCTCCACTTCATGTTTCGATGACCTATTTGAGCATGTCATTATCATACATTTCTCAAATATTGAGGTTGATCATCTGCTTCAACAGGAGATGGCCGCCACGGGATATGGCACAGAAGTTAAATGGAAGATCAAGGGCAAAATGTATTTATTGCCTAAGCATTTGCTCAGGGGAAGACTATAGTTGAGGATTGGCTAACACAAACGTAAATTAGAACAGAGTATGATTGCAAATGGGGAAATGTAAATCCAGTGAATGTATTAGTATTATGAGACATGTCATATTTGAAAATAATATAAAGAACATTTGATTCATATGTGATATTCATGTGAAAATGACAATTTATTTCCACCATTATTGTTTGAATGTCAACCCATGTATGGGTTACTAATTTCCTTCACTTTCAAAGGGATGAAATTCTCCTGTTTATCAACTCCAGATCTAGGCCTACATAAAACAAGAGGCTCAGAGGGCCTGTATCACTCATCTGGATCTTAAAACCTAGCAATGGGTTACATGTATAATGGGTTTTGTATTTCAAATATTTCAAACTCACAGCTAAGTCATTTGAGTGTTTTGGTTGTGCAAGACCAATGGTTAATTCTTATATAACTTTCTCTGTTGATGCCCAGTAAGAGTTTATATGGTTATTGGATTTGGAACTGTTTCAAAAATAATACCAAGAAATTAAGTCCCTAGAGGTGTGCTACACCCATGGATCATTTCCTACATCATGAATATGTTCATGTCTTCGATCATCAGATGCCAAGCAATTGATATAGTTATGGGGTGGATATTTGAACTGCTTCAAAGATATAACCTAGAAATTAAGTTCAAAGGGTGGGGCAACACCAAAGGAGCAGTACTTAAATGATGAATGTGTTGAACTCTTTATGTCCAGCATTGCTAAATGTATATTGGGGTAGAGATTTTGATTGCTTCAAAGATATAACAAGGAAACTATTATCAAACTAAGTCCCTGGGGATGGGGCCAGACCCCATCGCCAGTCATGACATCATGAATGTGTTTATTTCTTTATGCTTAACAATGTTATATGGTTGTTGGGTGGGGATCTCGACTGTTTCAAAGAAATGACTAAGAAACTAAGTCCCTGGGTGTAGGGCCACAGCTCAGGACTGATTTGTACATCATGACTAAATTTAACTCTTGAGGCCCACCAATGCTATATATGAATATATAGGGTGGGCATCCCTACTGTTTAAAAGATATAAGCCATTTCGCAGATATAAGCCATTTCTGCATATTGAGCCCTTCCACTTCTTCCCAGTGGGGCAAAGACCCAACATTTATACAAAACTGTTTTCACTGCACCTAAACATGCATCAGATCCGTTTATATGAAATTGATTTCCCTTCATGAGATCACTCAAATGTTCTTCTGACCAAATTTGGACAAAACCTAATCACTGAAGTAGGAATTCAAAATATTTCTTCTATTTCCCCTATTGGACCCCTCCCTTCCCACCTCAGGGAGCCGAAACCCACCATTTACACTAAATTGATCTCCGCTTCACCAAGAGATGCTTCTGACCAAGTTTGGTCAAGAATTACTAGCCGTTCACGACTAGTAGCAATTATCAGAAAAAAACTGACAGATGAACGCCAGACTCCGGACAAGCAGTTCATGGATGCCACACATCGAATAAGCTCAATGGTCCTTTGGAACGTCAGAATAATTCGGACAACTGAACATGTAAACACATGATTAATTCTGTTGTTTGAATTCTCCATTTACACTCTGTTGTAATTTGGCGGTATGAGTCTAAAAGTGTTTTATTTCTGTGAATTGATACGAGGAATGGACTCATCTTTCTTGAGTTCATTCACTAGCCACACGTACATTATCCATTTATGCATCATGATAATCGATGCATAATTTAAAAAATAGACGGTATATGCCCTCTTTGCCCTTCATTTGCTCAGAATAAGGATTACTAATTATTTACTTCCGTCGTCATAAACCATATTTCATAGCTTCCATTTACTTACTGTCTTGGTCAGTGGGTTTACTGGAGGGCCAGGGTTCAACATGCCTCTAACTTGTGATTTTAAGGGGGATCCTACTTTGGATCCAATGCCTAGTACGCCTCGCATAACCCCTGCCATCGTGAATGTGTATAATGGCGGCCGTACACGGTCCGCAGAAAATGATAAAATCTATAGAGTTATCGCCATATTTCTAAATGTTAATCATAGAACTATCCTCTCATTTTGATTTTTATATCAAAATTAATAATGATAATATTTAGGCTATTGATCATTTTGGTATATTTTATTTAATGTCATTTGCTGCGGTTTTAACGTCATGAGAAATTGTAGTGAATGTGAACGAGAAGGAAAAGGTGAAAGGAATGTAATCATTTTCTGCAACGATTTATCATTTTTATTACCACCAAGAACAGACATGGTGAGTTCTTAGAAAACATATTTTATGTCTTTAATACTGAAGATAGTTGAATTGTATCTTAGTGGCTGTTATTCTCAACATTCTAAACAGTAAACAACTATCGGTTGTGTACACAGCCTCACAGGTGACGGTTTGTCTTGCATTGATTGCGGACCCGGGGTTCATGTATATTTGGTCGGCTGATCAAAAGAACTAAGGCTTCCAAACGATTCTCCGTTCATGTCCGATCCTAGTTTAACGTATAATAGCCGGTACCCAAAACCCGTAATTCACGTTTGACAGGTTCTGAGTTTGATATTTATAATGAGAAAGATTTAGATATGTTCTGGACATTTCAACCATATTTACCAATATTTAGATATCATATATATAGTGATCTACCCCTGCTACATCAACTTGTTCATTACAACATGTAAAATCGCTTATTTCAACAACTATTTCTATTTCAAAACGTAAATTCAGAATGTAATTCTATTGAATTAATACACATGCTAAAATACAACTGTTTTCCATCACTGCTGAATACAATAAAAATATATGTGGTAGGTGTACATGTATTCCGACAACGGCAGTATCAGTTGCAGGATAAATGTATACATTGACAAGATATTAGCTGTTTACTGTAGTTAGACAATGCATGGAAACATAAAATCTTCTTCATTCACTGCATATGCCTCATTCTGTTACTATAAAGTTTATTTCATTCCTATGAAATATAAACAATAAGCCTACCGCAAAAGAGATAAAATTGGATTAAAAAACAAGTGTTGCACATAAAATCGATCTCCATTACGAAACATAACCGTTTGAGCGAGGCATGACGAAATTGTATACATAGAAAAGGTAGTAATGAAAGGGAATGGGAAGTTGCCAAGCATACCACTGAAATATTTTGACATCAATAAGAGTAATTTTTGTTGTCAGCTTGATGTTGAAAATCTGGAGTTGTGTTCACAAAATTCATTCAGTTGAATGAAAGTTGACAGAAAACCATGCTGATATACATTAGTACAGAAAAATATTCACATTTAATCAAGTACAAGAGTGAGCATTAAATTTTGAACACATAAGATGTCAATGTATTTGTCTTTGAAACAAGTAAAATTGGAGAGAACTGCACCTCTTTCTTAGTCTAGTATGTAGAATATAATATGACTGATCTTACTGAGTGGAAAAATGTTGAGAAATACAGATTTGGTATATACATGTATTTAGTATCACTTAGATATCTGAAATTTAAATTTTAGTTTTCAATAACGTTTGTTATAAGGAAAGGTAGAAAGTAGAGCTACGTATCTTGTTCTACTCCTGCAAGAGTGGGAAAAAGGCATTGTAAATTGTTCCTCAGGTACCTAGGTATTTTGGTAGTGAAAGCATTTAAATCCCTATCATGATCAGCATACAGCTTGCAAAGTTTACTCTGTTATTCTGGTCAAATGCAAGTTATATAAAGTAATTTTTTTATCTAATGAAAAGTACATTCTTGTATAGATGAATGTAATTGTATCTTGATTTAATGAAATGAATGTGTGAAGCTGGTTTGCATCTCGACCGCAACATCTGTGATATGTTCATATAAGGAAGGTAACTCTAGCAGAAAATATTACTTAGGTCCTTGTTAATGTCTTGTTTCAGCTTGTTCATTAAGTATACATACACAAGTTAGCAAATGCTACACTCTTTTAAAGAGTTTGTCTTTTTAAATATTAGAAAGATCAGTTGACTCTCATAGTAAGTCCCTTTGAATTCTTTTTTTAGTGTGGGTATTTATATTAAGGTCACACTCTATCTGGTCAGGTAGGAAGTTCCAGACAGAGGCCAATGATGGAATTTATACAAAGTTGTGTGACAAGTGATAGGATGAGTTATCGCAAACATGAGTGCTGTGGTCCTGTTTACCTTCCATGCATTTTTTACGTTAGATAATAATAACGTTGTCTTTTCAGCACCAAATACTTGAAATAAGAGTAAGAAGATGTTTGTGGAATGTGACTGTATTAATGTTAGTAAGATTCATAGGCGGGGTTGAGATATGGGGTAACAGTTATTATGAATTTTTAATAGGGTTGCAGTTTTGTTCGGGTTAAAATTGACCAATGATTTCATTGATCATTCATGAATTTTTTAGATATCTATTTAAAATGTCTACACCTATGAGAAGAGTATTAATGAAAGATATAAAAATAAATCATCTTCAGAAAACAAAGGAATAGAACTAATATTTCTTACAAGGTCATTTATGAATATGAGAAACAAAGGAAGACCCAGTATGGAACCTTGTGGAACACAGCATTAATGTTAAACCAAATTGAGCTTTTTCCATTAATAACAACTCTTTGTTTCTGGTTTTGAAGATAATCTTCAAACCATAAAAGCTATATAATGAACTGCAAATACCAAAGCTAGCATTAAAGTTTGTGACTATAAGAGATCCTTGTGCTGAACCAGATCGAAGGCTTTTTAGCCCACCATCTATTCAAATAGATAGTGGGTTATTCAAATCGCCCTGCGTCCGTGGTCCGTCCGTCCGGGCGTCCGTCCGTCCGTAAACAATTCTTGTTACTGCTATTTCTGGAAAAGTTCTGGATGGATCTTTCTCAAATTTCATATGCAGGTTCCCCTTGGTCCCTAGTTGTGCATTGTACCTTTTTTGAACTGATTCGCATTCAAGATGGCCGACAGGTGGCCATCTTGGATTTTGGAAGTAAAAGTTTGTTACCGCTATTTATGGAAAAGTACTAGATGGATCTTTCTCAAATTTCATATGCAGTTTCCCCTTGGTCCCTAGTTGTGCATTGTACCTTTTTTGGACTGATTTGAATTCAAGATGGCCGACAGGTGGCCATCTTGGATTTTGGAAGTAAAAGTTTGTTACCGCTATTTCGGAGAAAGTACTGGATGGATCTTTCTCAAATTTCATATGCAGGTTCCCCTTGGTCCCTAGTTGTGCATTGTACCTTTTTTGGACTGATTCGAATTCAAGATGGCCGACAGGTGGCCATCATGGATTTTGGATGTAAAAGTTTGTTATCGCTATTTCTTGGAAAGTACTGGATGGATCTTTCTCAAATTTCATATGCAGGTTCCCCTTGGTCCCTAGTTTATACCTTTTTTGTGCATTATATCTGCTATTTCTTTACTGGACTTATTTCATATGAAATCAATATCTTTTTGGTGGCCAGGCACCAGGCTTGTTAGCCATACTGGATGGATCCTTCTGATATTTCATAGATATTGGTTTCCCTTGGTCCCTAGTTGTGCATTGTACCTTTTTTGGATACAAATCAAGGTGGCACAAGCATCTTGGATTGTCAGCATTATCCACCTGTAACTGACTGCTATCTAATAATACTTTGGGATCTTTTTCAAATGATATTTGCTAATAGGTGCTTAATAAAAATATCTTGTGCCATCATTGAGTACATTCAATGAAGACCAGTTCATGAACATTTACAACACCTGTAACACACAAAAAAAAATAAACAAATCTTCAAGAACTGAAAACAGATCCTCAAATGGTGGGCGCCATGATCCCTCTGGGATCTCTTGTTTAATATTGTAATAGACCATTCATATTTCTTTGCTTCCATTGAAAGGGAAATATACTGGGATAAAGAGATTTATTAAAAGACTGCTAATTAATGGAATGTCATGCATGAAGAATATTTACAGCTAACTTAAGTGTATCCTGGAGGATTCCTGTGATCTGGGACCATAGCTGTAGAAAATTCAAGGTTTAGAATAGCATCTTTGTTTTTACCGGTGTTATATGTATATTTACAAGTGACCAAATACCTTAAGTTTTTGTCGTTAATAGAAGGAAGTCATTATCATGATTATGAATCCGAGGAGACCTATAAATTCACAAGAGTCAAAGGGGTTGGGGGAATGGGAAGGCAAAGGTGGGGGGGGGTGGGGGATGATATACTATTTATTTACAGGGCAATGAAATCTCATTGGTATGATATATGAAAACTACAGCTCAATTTGTATGAAATTATTGTACTTTCCATAAACAGATTTATTATCTACATTTATTTACTATACATTTTAGCTCTACAATTTTGCATTTTGTAATTAGCATCTTAAAATGTTACATTAGCACAAAACAGACACCATACTTCATATTGATAATGCATACAATATCCACAGAAAATATTGCTAAGTAATGAAATTCAAAATTAGATATATAATTCAATAAAAAATAAATTATCATGTTACACTGTTTACCTGCATGTATATGAATGCTGATGTGTACAACAGCTCTAGCTAGCAAAAGCACAGTTGTACCAGATTTACTTTAATTTTGTAGACCATTTTTTGGGTGACTCTTTACCAAGTATTTTGTCTAAAACTAAAATCTTCATCAATATTGTATGTTCTATAATTAAGAGCCATATGCTTTCTGGTGTAAAACATCCACAGTTAACTTTGATGGAATTTCTGGTGTTGAGATAAATCTCACTCTCATCAGTTTTTGAAGTTGTGTACAATTTGCCCATCAAATCATTTACAGGAGCCAGCTTAATCTGGACATGTTTGATAAATTGAAGAAATATGAGACAGTAGCAGTTGCAGCCTGGGTCATGTCTTAGTTTTACTGAAGTGAAAGGGAGTCTCCAGTCTATATCTGTGAGAGGGGTGGAGCCCATTTGCTGATAAATCAGAGAATCTCCACAGGCACTTTGAAGTCTGAGGCTGGCAAGGAAAGCCAGGGTGATGTTCCAATGTACACTTATTTATACAATACCAAGGCGTTCCAATTCCTACAACATACTGTTTTACACGTTTGCTTTAATCATGACATATATATTTACCTAAATACTGACTTAATGCTGGGAATGCTATGTGAAAACTGATTCTTAATTAAATGCATCTTAGATATAAATATAATGTAAATTCAAGTCTTTACAAAAAAAATCTGCTTCGAATTCATGGCTATGGAGATTAAAATGCCATTAAAGTTGTAGCTTAAAACTGTAGATATCATGTGCCCTGTAGGGGCCAATCTATACACAGCGTGCCAAAAGTTTCCTAATCAAATTAGATTGTGTAGTACATTTATAATGACACTTGAATGTGTGTTTTATAAATAGTACCATATATCTGTAAAGAGAAAATACGTTATGTAACAGTTTCTGTGATTGGATATTTTTTGATAGGTCAGTGAAATGGTAAGTGGGAAGATTTCATTTCTCAGCGTTTCTGTTTGGTTTACTTTCCTATTTTTTCTACTTTTTTATATGCATGTGTCATTATCATGAGCTACACATTTGTAAGTAATTACCTATATAATGATATACCTGACAGCTAAATATAGATGGAGTGACAAAAAGTGATACCCTGATAACATAAGGTAATACACATGGAAACCTGTATCCAGACAGGTGTAGATACAAGGTGATATACAGACAGGTGTAGATACAGACAGGTGTAGATAAAGACAGGTGTAGATACAGACAGGTGTAGATACAAGGTGATATACCGAAAGGTGTAGATACAGACAGGTGTAGATAAAAGGTGATATACAGACAGGTGTAGATACAGACAGGTGTAGATACAAGGTGTAGATACAAGGTGATATACAGACAGGTGTAGATACAAGGTGTAGATACCGACAGGTATAGATACAAGGTGTAGATACAAGATGTAGATACAGACAGGTGTAGATACAAGGTGACATACAGACAGGTATAGATACAAGGTGTAGATACAAGGTGATATACAGACAGGTGTAGATACAAGGTGTAGATACCGACAAGTATAGATACAAGGTGTAGATACAAGGTGTAGATACAGACAGATGTAGATACAAGGTGTAGATACAGAAAGGTGTAGATTCAAGGTGGTAAACAGACAGGTGTAGATACAAGGTGTAGATACAGAAAGGTGTAGATTCAAGGTGGTAAACAGACAGGTGTAGATACAGACAGGTGTAGATACAGAAAGGTGTAGATACAAGGTGATATACAGATAGGTGTAGATACAAGGTGATATACAGACAGGTGTAGATAAAAGGTGTAGATACAGACAGGTGTAGATAAAAGGTGTAGATAGAGACAGGTGTAGATAAAAGGTGTAGATACAAGGTGATATACAGACAGGTGTAGATACAAGGTGTAGATAGAGACAGATGTAGATACAAAGCGTAGATACAAGGTGATATACAGACAGGTGTAGATACAAGGTGTAGATACAGACAGGTGTAGATACAAGGTGTAGATACACGGTGATATACTGACAGGTGTAGATACAAGATGTAGATACAGACAGGTGTAGATTCCTGGTGGTATACAGACAGGTGTAGATACAAGGTGATATACAGACAGGTGTAGATACAGACAGGTGTAGATTCCTGGTGGTATACAGACAGGTGTAGATACAAGGTGTAGATACAAGGCGATATACAGCCAGGTGTAGATACAAGGTGACATACAGACAGGTGTAGATACAAGGTGTAGATACAAGGTGATATACAGACAGGTGTAGATACAAGGTGACATACAGACAGGTGTAGATACAAGGTGTAGATACAAGGTGATATACAGACGGGTGTAGATACAAGGTGTAGATACCGACAGGTATAGATACAAGGTGTAGATACAGACAGGTGTAGATACAAGGTGTAAATACAGACAGGTGTAGATACAAGGTGTAGATACAGAAAGGTGTAGATTCAAGGTGGTATACAGACAGGTGTAGATACAGACAGGTGTAGATACAAGGTGTAGATACAGACAGGTGTAGATACAAGGTGGTAAACAGACAGGTGTAGATACAAGGTGTAGATACAGAAAGGTGTAGATTCAAGGTGGTATACAGACAGGTGTAGATACAGACAGGTGTAGATACAAGGTGTAGATACAGACAGGTGTAGATACAAGGTGGTAAACAGACAGGTGTAGATACAAGGTGTAGATACAGACAGGTGTAGATACAAGGTGTAGATACAGACAGGTGTAGATACAAGGTGTAGATACACGGTGATATACTGACAGGTGTAGATACAAGATGTAGATACAGACAGGTGTAGATTCCTGGTGGTATACAGACAGGTGTAGATACAAGGTGATATACAGACAGGTGTAGATACAGACAGGTGTAGATTCCTGGTGGTATACAGACAGGTGTAGATACAAGGTGTAGATACAAGGCGATATACAGCCAGGTGTAGATACAAGGTGACATACAGACAGGTGTAGATACAAGGTGTAGATACAAGGTGATATACAGACAGGTGTAGATACAAGGTGACATACAGACAGGTGTAGATACAAGGTGTAGATACAAGGTGATATACAGACAGGTGTAGATACAAGGTGTAGATACAGACAGGTGATACAAGGTGTAGATACAGACAGGTGTAGATACAAGGTGTAAATACAGACAGGTGTAGATACAAGGTGTAGATACAGAAAGGTGTAGATTCAAGGTGGTATACAGACAGGTGTAGATACAGATGTAGATACAAGGTGTAGATACAGACAGGTGTAGATACAAGGTGGTAAACAGACAGGTGTAGATACAAGGTGTACAGGGTGTAGATACAACAGGTGTAGATACAGACAGGTGTACAGACAGGTGTAGATACAGACAGGTGTAGATACACACAGGTGTATACAGACAGGTGTAGATACAAGGTGATATACAGACAGGTGTAGATACAAGGTGTAGATACAGACAGGTGTAGATACAAGGTATATACAGACAGGTAGATACAAGGTGTAGATAGAGACAGTGTAGATACAAAGCGTAGATACAAGGTGATATACAGACAGGTGTAGATACAAGGTGTAGATACAGACAGGTGTAGATACAAGGAGATACAGGTGATATACAGACAGGTGTAGATACAAGGTGTAGATACAGACAGGTGTAGATACCTGGTGGTATACAGACAGGTGTAGATACAAGGTAGATACAGACAGGTGTAGATTCCTGGTGGTATACAGACAGGTGTAGATACAAGGTGATATACAAGGTGATATACAGACAGGTGTAGATACAAGGTGACATACAGACAGGTGTAGATACAAGGTGTAGATACAAGGTGATATACAGACAGGTGTAGATACAAGGTGACATACAGACAGGTGTAGATACAAGGTGTAGATACAAGGTGATATACAGACAGGTGTAGATACAAGGTGACATACAGACAGGTGTAGATACAGACAGGTTTAGATACACGGTGTAGATACAGACAGGTGTAGATACAGACAGGTGTAGATACAAGGTGTAAATACAGACAGGTGTAGATACAAGGTGTAGATACAGAAAGGTGTAGATTCAAGGTGGTATATACAGACAGGTGTAGATACAGACAGGTGTAGATACAAGGTGTAGATACAGACAGGTGTAGATACAAGGTGGTAAACAGACAGGTGTAGATACAAGGTGTAGATACAGAAAGGTGTAGATTCAAGGTGGTATACAGACAGGTGTAGATACAGACAGGTGTAGATACAAGGTGTAGATACAGACAGGTGTAGATACAAGGTGTAGATACAGATAGGTGTAGATACAAGGTGTAGATACAGACAGGTGTAGATACAAGGTGTAGATACACGGTGATATACTGACAGGTGTAGATACAAGATTTATATACAGACAGGTGTAGATACAAGGTGATATACAGACAGGTGTAGATACAGACAGGTGTAGATTCCTGGTGGTATACAGACAGGTGTAGATACAAGGTGTAGATACAAGGCGATATACAGCCAGGTGTAGATACAAGGTGACATACAGACAGGTGTAGATACAAGGTGTAGATACAAGGTGATATACAGACAGGTGTAGATACAAGGTGACATACAGACAGGTGTAGATACAAGGTGTAGATACAAGGTGATATACAGACAGGTGTAGATACAAGGTGTAGATACCGAGGGTGTAGATACAGACAGGTGTAGATACAAGGTGTAAATACAGACAGGTGTAGATACAAGGTGTAGATACAGAAAGGTGTAGATTCAAGGTGGTATACAGACAGGTGTAGATACAGACAGGTGTAGATACAAGGTGTAGATACAGACAGGTGTAGATACAAGGTGGTAAACAGACAGGTGTAGATACAAGGTGTAGATACAGAAAGGTGTAGATTCAAGGTGGTAAACAGACAGGTGTAGATACAGACAGGTGTAGATACAGAAAGGTGTAGATACAAGGTGATATACAGATAGGTGTAGATACAAGGTGATATACAGACAGGTGTAGATAAAAGGTGTAGATACAGACAGGTGTAGATAAAAGGTGTAGATAGAGACAGATGTAGATACAAAGCGTAGATACAAGGTGATATACAGACAGGTGTAGATACAAGGTGTAGATACAGACAGGTGTAGATACAAGGTGTAGATACACGGTGATATACTGACAGGTGTAGATACAAGATGTAGATACAGACAGGTGTAGATTCCTGGTGGTATACAGACAGGTGTAGATACAAGGTGATATACAGACAGGTGTAGATACAGACAGGTGTAGATTCCTGGTGGTATACAGACAGGTGTTGATACAAGGTGTAGATACAAGGCGATATACAGCCAGGTGTAGATACAAGGTGACATACAGACAGGTGTAGATACAAGGTGTAGATAAAAGGTGTAGATACAGACAGGTGTAGATAAAAGGTGTAGATAGAGACAGATGTAGATACAAAGCGTAGATACAAGGTGATATACAGACAGGTGTAGATACAAGGTGTAGATAGAGACAGATGTAGATACAAAGCGTAGATACAAGGTGATATACAGACAGGTGTAGATACAAGATGTAGATACAGACAGGTGTAGATTCCTGGTGGTATACAGACAGGTGTAGATACAAGGTGATATACAGACAGGTGTAGATACAGACAGGTGTAGATTCCTGGTGGTATACAGACAGGTGTAGATACAAGGTGTAGATACAAGGCGATATACAGCCAGGTGTAGATACAAGGTGACATACAGACAGGTGTAGATACAAGGTGTAGATACAAGGTGATATACAGACAGGTGTAGATACAAGGTGACATACAGACAGGTGTAGATACAAGGTGTAGATACAAGGTGATATACAGACGGGTGTAGATACAAGGTGTAGATACCGACAGGTATAGATACAAGGTGTAGATACAGACAGGTGTAGATACAAGGTGTAAATACAGACAGGTGTAGATACAAGGTGTAGATACAGACAGGTGTAGATGCAAGGTGATATACAGACAGGTGTAGATACAAGGTATAGATACAGACAGGTGTAGATACAGACAGGTGTAGATACACGGTGTAGATACAAGATGATATACAGATAGGTGTAGATACAGACAGGTATAGATACAAGGTGATATACAGACAGGTGTAGATACAAGGTGATATACAGACAGGTGTAGATACAAGTTATAGATACAGACAGGTGTAGATACAGACAGGTTTAGATACACGGTGTAGATACAGACAGGTGTAGATACAGACAGGTGTAGATACAAGGTATAGATACAGACAGGTGTAGATACACGGTATAGATACAGACAGGTGTAGATACAAGGTATAGATACAGACAGGTGTAGATACAAGATGTAGATACAGACAGGTGTAGATACAAGGTGTAGATACAAGGTGATATACAGATAGGTGTAGATACAGACAGGTATAGATACAAGGTGATATACAGACAGGTGTAGATACAAGGTGATATACAGACAGGTGTAGATACAAGGTGATATACAGACAGGTGTAGATACAAGGTATAGATACAGACAGGTGTAGATACAGACAGGTGTATACAGACAGGTGTAGATACAAGGTGATATACAGACAGGTATAGATACAAGGTATAGATACAGACAGGTGTAGATACAGACAGGTGTAGATACACGTTGATATACAGACAGGTGTAGATACATGGTGATATACAGACAGGTGTAGATACAAGGTGTAGATACAGACAGGGGTAGATACAGACAGGTGTAGATACAAGGTGATATACAGACAGGTGTAGATACCGACAGGTGTAGATACAAGGCGATATACAGACAGGTGTAGATACAAGGTGTAGATACAGACAGGTGTAGATACAGACAGGTGTAGATACAGACAGGTGTTGATACAGACAGGTGTAGATACAAGGTGATATACAGATAGGTGTAGATACAGACAGGTGTAGATAAAAGGTGATATACAGACAGGTGTAGATACCGACAGGTGTAGATACAAGGTGATATACAGACAGGTGTAGATACAAGGTGTAGATACAGACAGGTGTAGATACAGACAGGTGTAGATACAGACAGGTGTAGATACAAGGTGATATACAGACAGGTATAGGTACAAGGTGATATACAGATAGGTGTAGATACAGACAGGTGTAGATACAAGGTGATATACAGACAGGTGTAGATACAAGGTGTAGATACAGACAGGTGCAGATACAAGGTGTAGATACAGACAGGTGTAGATACAAGGTGATACACAAATCTAAACCTGTGTAGGTACAAGTTTAAGGTGAAATACAGCCATATTATGTATACTTTCCTGTTTTTGTTTAATGTTGTTGTGAATTCCTAAAAGAGGGATAAAAAGAAAAGATAGACTTTATCTATATGCCAGCAATTCAAGTCAACCATGCAAGTGTATTTTGTGTCGGAGTCAGTGGAACAAAATAAAATTGGATGCGGTACCTGATCATTTTACACACGTTAATGTGTTAACCTTCTTCTTCATCCAGAGCTTCTCAGTCAATTTATGTTGCATATTTAAGTATGTAGTTAAATATCTGTTGGTGTATCCAACTATAGTTACACTTGTTATGAAGACCAGGTAGAAATAGACACAGCTCCATTAAAATAAAGCTTTATATAGATTTTGTGTGATTGTAGTTAACTCAATCCATACATGATAATGAGTCATCACTGATCTTTTTCATTAGATTATATTGTTTTTTAGGATAGGTCAAGTATTCAAGATGACCATCATTCATAATCATGACAGCCATCTTGAAATATTTTTTTGTTTAATTCAAATATTTTTCCTTCCAAATTTCACTTCAAGTTCTTGGAATGCTTGGAAATTGAGCATAAATGGACATTGTACTACTTTATTTTTATCATGAAAGAAGAAATTTGATTGAGTGTTGCTTCAGATCCTAAGTACATGATCTGAATGTTAATGTTTAAGCTCATCATTAACTGAAGGTTGCAGGCCAGATTGGGAATATAATTATGTAAGCCAGTAATTTTTGACCAAAGTCCGGGGTACCAGGAAAGCCAGGGAGCCAGTATACAGACCATCAATGTAACCAAAGCATTGATCAATCTACCATTTATTTTCTTGCATCTTTTTCATCTTTATTGCTTAACACCATAGGTCCCGCATTATAAGATTTAAGCAATTTAGAAAGTATATGACTCCCATTAAATTTCTATGTGTACAAGACACTCTGAACTCACATAAAGATTTTTTGCTGCAATGTCAACAATGCCAGGCAATTAGGTCCAAGCAGCTGTTATACAATTCTTTAACCAAAGTCCAGATTGCAATGCCTATACTGGACAACAAAATAGCTATAACATCAATTTTTTAGAACGCCAATATGTGCGGTTAATGGTTTGTTATTCCTTTATAAGTACATATTATTAAATAAATATTGTTATTAATATAACAGGTCAGTCACAGCCCATGGCTAATTACATAAGTACCTGGTAGTTGAGGCTACATGCATATATAAACAACATGGAAACTGTAACAAATCACTTGTCACTTTAATTGTATACAACTTCCTGTTACTATATATAATATATAAATGTTTATGTTGGAAAATGAGGACGGAAATATCAAAATGGACACTCCCTATTTTGATATCCTGTTTAAGACATGAATTAGTTGTAAACTTTCTGAATTATTTTTTATAAAATAGGTTACCTTCAGAAAAGAGCTGCCAAAAAATGTTGTTTCTCTTATAAGTTATAAATTGTCAGCCAGGTTTCAAAACGGGTTGTGAAAAGAATTTTTTCTGAGGCTTGATGATTTAAGCACGCAAAAGTCCCAAGCCCTATCAAGGTTGTGCAAAAGTTATCAAGTGTATGGAAATACCAAATTCTAATACATTTCTTCATACTGTTCAATTCTTGAACTTTTTTATAATTTCAGATACAATGACACATGCATGTGACCAAGATGTAAAGTGACCCTGTCATTTTCTGTGCTAGAAAGGAATAGAATGGCTGATTGCCCATCAGGATGATCTGTAACTAACTGCTCAGATAAATACACGTGGTTGTCATAACGGCTTCACCATGGGAGCTAACTCCTCCTTTCCGGAGAGTTCCCAACAGGTGGCACGAGCAGCTTTCTCTAGACTCGCTCATGCTTATACAGTGTCTGACACAGACATAAATGTTCGTGAGAAGAAAAAGAAAGCATCAAAATTTGCAACATTACGTAAAAAGTTAACACGGGCTCGGCGACACAGCCGATCTCTGGATTATGGGAAGGCGTTGCGTGACCTAACTGCATCCTGGTCCCTGGCTGAGGTGAAGGCCTTGATTCAGGAGTACGAAGCATTAGCTTCTTTGAAAGAGTTGGCTCTGGCTGCCAACCTTGCAAGACCTGCAGCTAGTTCTTTTCGTCAAGATTTGTCTAACTTGTTTGATAAAAAATTCTCATCAGATGTTGACCTTGTATATCGAGGGGCTTGTTTCCCAGCCCATCGAGCACTCCTGTCCATGCGGAGTCCTTATTTCAGGAATCTGTTGAGCAGATACCCAGATTACAACATGCAGGTTCCCATCAATTTCAGAACAGCGGGTGTGGATGTGACCTTGTTTGCATCACTTCTTCGTTACCTTTATACTGATTCAATCAAGACAGAGGATTTAAAGCATGAACACAAAAAAGTGCTGATAAAATTGGTGGAGGAGTTCGGAATGCCAAATCCCTTAGAACAGGATTTAAGGAATTTGCTAGATTCAGGTGACTATAGGGATGCTGTGCTTGTGTTCTCATGTGACTTAGTGGCAGACATGCCAGATCCAATGTCTGCATCTATGACCGAATCATACACTAGCAATGAGTTTACCTGTAAAACCACCCAGCATGAACTCTACTGCCATAAAGCAATTCTAGCTGCTCGATCACCATTTTTTAGGAACCTTCTGTTACGGAGAGCTCGGTCAGGGGAGGAAATCACTGATCGTACCTTACATACACCTACTAGAATTGTGCTTGATGAATCCGTGATTCCCAGGCGATATGCGAGAGTGTTACTGAATGCAATATACCAAGATACTGTTGATTTATCGTTGATACTACGGGGAAGTGCAAGTATGTGTAGCTTGAGTGAGGCGCAGGCAATCGTGGCAGGCAAGGGACAAATGACAATAGTGGACGAGGCAATGGAAGTTTACCAAATAGGACAGTTCCTGGACTTCCCAATATTATCACAGGGTAAGTCTTCATCGTAACTGATGGTGAATAGATGTGTAATATTAAATATTTTAAATTTAGATTTTGATGTATAAAAAAAAATAAAGTGAATTTCTACTCTGCATGACATGTATATTTTGCAGTAGTGGTTCCCTATATTGACATTTTACAAGCCAAACACCCTTTAAAAGAAAACATAAACCACATCATTGTCCCATATACCAGTAAAGTTGAATCACATAATTAAATACCAATTATTAAATTCAGCTGGATTTATGGATGGATTTAGACGAAAAAAAAAATAAAAACCTGCCTTACTGATAACTGAAATATTTTTCAACATTTATGATGTGTTTTTATACAGGTTGTGAAGACATCATTGTAGAACACATCAGTATAGACAATCTGATCAACATTCTCAGCTGGAGTTCGGAGCCACACGGTTCACAGTGGGTCCATCGCCAGGCACTCCACTACCTGAGGGAGGAGTTCCTCCAGGTTGTCCATTCTCCTGTACTTCTGGATCTTAGCAAAGAGTACCTGATAGAGGCACTCAGCTCAGATTTCTTACAGGTAAATCTCCAGTGGTAATATTCAGTGTGTTATCTAGCATGACATTTTATATACAGTGCAATTTACATAACAATGTTATTTTAAATTGATCCACGCAAAAAAGGAGATATGTGCAATTGTTAAAACATCAGCTTATGCAAATGAGATGAAGATCTGAGGTGTGTACTGGTTGATCTGGAGGGTTTGAGTTTCTCATGAAACCATCCTGCAGTGATCGTTAAGTGGTTGTGTCAGAGGGAAGCACACTTCACCCCAATTATTGATAGGTTGGGATGGACTTCCTGTATAATGTTCAGTAACATAGCCACCTAAACTAACTGCGCCAACAGATGCCCACTAAATAATGACCCAGAGCAGCTGTTTGCATGGTGATAAAACTCAGCACATAAGATTCCAAATTATTGTAGTATTGAATATTTATCAGATTTCTAAAGGATGTTGTGAGTTTCAGATATTGATAAACCTTATTTACATAGATATTTACATAATGTTTTAATTGATATTCTAAAGGTGGATGTAATTGTCACACATGGCATTTTACCTGAATTCATTTTCTGTGATACATAAATTAAACTTTTCCAGATTGACAGTTACTTTATGATTTAGTTCTATTTTTATAAATGTCTTTTCAGAAGTTCATTCTTTGATTTTTTTCTGTATATTGTAGGCAGGGGAGTTAGATGTACTGACAGCTGTTCTGAAATGGGGAGAACATCAGTTAGTAAGACGTATAGAGGAGAGAGGTGAGTTGATTCAGTTTTGTATTTACTTATTTCTGGAAGGAGAGAGATAAGAAAGGAAGACATCTTGGTTTTTGACTGATTAAAGTTGCTATCACTTTTTTTAGAAGTGTTAGAAGGATATTTCTCAGATTTGAATGGCTGGTTCTTCGAACTCGGAAGTTACTACACTATCGTTGACCAAACATGTATTATGAGACTTGGCTTTTCTTTTCAGAACCCAACTTACTGAGCCACACAACACACAGCATAAGCAAGAAAGGTGTAAAGAAAAGAGATTTAAACGACATTGAATTGCGGGATATCTTAGCAGAGTTACTTCCCCTGATTCGCGTGGATCATATCATTCCTTATAATAGTGAAGTGTTAAGTGGTGCAATAAAACGAGGTTTGGTGAGCACGCCACCCTCACACATGTTGGGAGACGAGGCTACAGGGGGACAAAGGGTCTGTGCCTGGATCAGAAGTAAACACAACGGCATGTATATGAGGCCACGCGTCTTTACTCCGTACTTTGAAGAAGCCAAGGTACAGTAGCTGTAATTAACGTGAAAACATCATTTTACCCTCAAGCTGCCCAACATTACAACTAAATTTTTGTTTTGTATTATGACTGAAGGTTTTACGTTTCCTCATGCTTTGTTTTACTAATAGTCAAAGGGCTATTACAGTAAAACGTTTATCACACCCCTGAACTCCAGGTTCTTTTGTGCTCTTCCATGAAAACATTTATCCCACCCACAAACTCCAGGTTTTGTTTTGGGGTGCGACCCATAGAAATTAATTCAAAATTTGCTATTAAGTAATAGGTAGAAAACCTGACCATGGATAGAAACAAAATATTTTTGAGTTGTGAGGTCAGGTAGGTATTTTATTGGAATAGTCTTGAATCTATCTTTATGATATTTGTGGTATCAAATTATAAGCATTGCTTTTGAATTTGTTTGTGTTGATGAAAATAATTAGAAAATTGTTTTAAGGATCTAAATGGAATGGTTTTAAACAGATATAATCAGATGGAAGTGATAAATCTGATGTGGGCTGATGGAGTTGATGAATGTTTTAAATTGATACTATTTTAAATTTTTTGTTCTGTAGTCCATGCGTGATGAGTTTCTGTCACAAGGTCAAGATTCTGACACCAGTCGCGTACGGACGATTCAGATGTCGGCTATCCCAGACACGTTGTATATGGTGGATGAGGCACAGTACCCTCAGACTTTAGGTCACCAGGGTTTGACCAGTAGTTCAACAGTTGATATCATTGCTGGCACCATTCCAGGTAAAAGTATCTACATTGGTCTTAGAAGAGGGGACATGCTTAGGGAGAGCCTGGTATAAAACAAACAATTCTATGGATTCAGTGCTTTACTTGACCATATGTTTTTGTACTGTAACAAAAGTGAAAAATTATAAAGTGATAACTCGTGACTTGAATGATGTCACCTAAATTTGAAATAGACAACCAGTTGCCCCTCAATGATCATTAAAACCACTTCCAAATTTGAGATCCCATGCATACAGTCATTTCACTAGACGGGTCGAAGGATAACAGACTTAACTTTCAATGAGACAGCTGGGGTTGTTTATTTCCAAACATTAGTGGCTGACTTAAATATTTAGGGTTTTATGCTGCCTAATTTAATGCAAAGTTATCAAAGACAATATCTTAAACAAAATTTATTTTGTGCTATTTGCATATTTTTATGCTGTCTGAAAATTATCAGGCTAGCATATAGTGTAGATCAGTTACACTATGACAATGTGCATCATACTGGATTCAAGGCCTACAGCTTCTTGTTTACAGAGCTATTGCCCTATATATCATTCTTTTTTTTTTTCGTTCAGAGCCAATTGAAGATTTAAACTAAGAAAAAGTAACTTGGTGTATACATTGGTCATATTAAGATAATGAACAAAGTTCCAAAGCCAGGGCCAACAACCCCTTAATTATAGAGTTATTGCCTTTTGTTAAATTTGGAATTGATGTCAATGAAACTCCCAGCTTATTATAACAAGTACATTTTTCTAAAATAGTTTCAAAGCCCATAATCTGCAAACTTTCAATTATTTCTCACACTATTTACATTTCCAAAATATTCATAAACGCTTGAACTTGTAACAATCAGTGACATTAACATATGTCATATATATATGTAACACTTTCACTCCTTATTATTTTTTCCATTGTAATATATTTTTACAGATATATGTTATTAATGTGACCAGATAAAAATTCCTGGAAAGTCTCCATTAAAGTTGTTTTAGGAAAGCGTTCATCAGTTCCACTGATTCTCTTGCAAATTTTAAGGTACTTAACCTGTTTGAATCACTTCTTGTCCAGGGTTATCTGTCATCCATTGTAAAAAATTGACTTCCCCAAAAAATCAATGAAGTTTGCAGAGCCAATTATGAACCTAAATTAAAAAACCAAAAATATGTGATCTTCACTCTCTAGAGATCTGAGACATGGTCAAAAGGGGTCAGATTTCTTCTTCTCAACACCCAGATATTGAAGAATCAAAATACTCTTTATAGGGTGAAAGATCCTAAGGTTAAAATTATGAATTTCCTGATACAGAAGTCTGTTATATACCCCTGCAGAGGGTGTAACTACTTTATATAGAAAACATTTTGGTAATATCAATGAAGTTTTTTTAGGATTGTCGTCGTTTTTTAATCCATGTCTGTTGTAGATGGGTGATATTATTTTTATTTGACATTCATATACAGCAGGGACCAAATTATGTTGACTGCAAGAAAGTCATGTCAGCTGCAGTTTTGAAATATCCCAAAGATACTGACTGGATAATACAAGTCATCAAGCAAAAAGTCTTGGTTTGATTAAAAGATGTTCATTTGTACTTATCTAAAGCCTAGTTATTATAGCTTCTGATTTGTTTAATAATTGTGTGTGTTTATGCAGTACCAGACTCCAACACGCTGAAGCTGATGCTACAGCGAGAAGCAGAGCTGCAGAGTAGCAAGCTGTGCCAGCGTGCATATGGTCTGCCTTACAGTGACAGACGAGCCATCAACTGTCAGGTCCAGCTCAGAACAGTACGAGAGTTTGGTCTCCCAGACATCACTATTGAAATATTACAAAACAGTCCAATGTATTATGGTAAGAATGAGTCGACGTCGGCATCTCTGCAGCTAAAACATGGTCGACGTTATCACTCATCACCAGTGCGGCGGAAGTCCAGTCCACCGCTCAGTCGTCACAGTTGTAAGTTAGGTAGCCCGACAAAGCCTGTGGTGCCGGTCACTCCCACTCGCACACAGCCCAGTAGGTCTAAAGAGGTAAGACATGTCCTAGAATTAAAGTTTTAGGTTGAAAATGTACCATATGTACTATCTGTTGGTATTGAAATTTTCTCTATTAATGCAAACAAAGTATGAAAAAAAATTAAGAACTTGAAAATTGAAGTCAAGCATACTATGAATTAAGACATTCTGCCAAAGTTTCATTTTGCTGGTCATTTTGACTTGGATAATTGGAAGTTTCCTTGTCCACTGGAGTTAACAAAGTTTGACTTTTATCTGAAAACAAGAATTTTGTATGTGACAATGAATAAAAAGAAATACTTAAATATTTCCTAGTTTATGATTTCCCTGGCATTGAATTTGTAATTCAATAATTTAGGTTGAATTAAGAATTCATTCATTAAAAGGTGTGTCTTAATTGAGATGTAATACTTGTTTTCCAGTCCAACACTAGTCCATGCAGTGACAGTGCCTTAAGTGACATTATGCCAGATATTGCTATGGCAACATCTTCTATGGGACAAGTGCGTGTTCACGAGGAGTTTGAACTGGACATTGGAGATGGCAATAGTCACCATGGTACCATGTACATCTGATCATGTCAGCAATGGCAATTGTTGCCATGGTTATGTCTCATTGATGATCATTTAGAAAAATGTGAAATTAACCATTGGCAACAGTCATGGTGGTTCCTTGTGTATTTGATCATATTGAGTTGTGTTAGTTGTGACTGCATGAGCTGTTGGTGATCAATCAGTACTGGGATATGCAGGTCTGTTACGTCCACACATTTAACAGTTTTGTTGTGAAAGAGGTGAATAATCATCAGAATTATATTTAGATATTTATAAACCTACAGATAAAGAAGAAGTGAAAGAAAGGACAAAATTGTTGGCTCACAGTTTTCCATTTTCTATTCTAGAGTAAGTGCACATGCAGTTTGTAGGTATAGATATTTCTGTAGACTGGTGAGCTTATGCCATACTGTGGCAGTTATTGATGTCAATTTTTTTGCTAAAAATCACTGTTTTTCATAAGTAGATTTGGACAAGATGTGGTCTGAAGCATCCTTGGAGAAAAAGGTTTAGATTTTGTATAAATAATGAACCTTGGTCCCCAGGGACTTGGGGGGCTGGGGCCCACAAAGGGAGATTTAGAAAAAATTTGTAGGAATGATTGGATTTTGTCCATATTTGATCTGAAGCATCCTTTGGTGAAGGTCATTTGATTTTTATAAATAGAGTGTCATAAACACCTCCTCCCCTTTGGACCAGAGGGGTGAGGTTCAACAGGGGAAGTAAAGGAATATAAAATCATTCTGTTAGTTTAAATTATTTTGTCTAAATTTGGTCTGAAGTATCTTAGCGTAAGATGAAAAAAACACATTCAAATGAAAAACATCTCTTAAATAATATGGATGGTAAAAAATGTATGTGATTTAAAGTGTAAAGCTAGCTAATTCTTGTTAATTGTATATAATATGTTTAGTTTCATTTGTGGCTGTGAAAAGAGTACATGTCTTTTGTAGACTGTATCTTTTTCAGAATAGGTTACTTAAGATTTTAAATCTCTGACAAGTAACTATTAATGAAATAATTCAGAGTTTTCATTTGAGTGTTGTAGAAGACTTCCCTTTGTTAGAATTTCTAGATGTCAGCGTTTTCAGACACTAGGTATGAATCGTGTCAGAAATTCCTTGATTGTTAAATATTTAAGTGAAAAATGTATACTCGCCCAATATAGGCCAAAATTCACCAATCTCTTTTAAAAAGAACTTTGCAAAAAAGTCAAAATTGAACTACAACCGTTATACAAATATACCTCAAAATAAACACAAATTTACATTACTCTGTAGTAGTTTGAAAAAAAAGTTATTTTTCAAGAAAAGAATGAAATCCACAATTTTAGCTCTGTATGTATAGGTATGTAAATAACTGTATAGTGTATCCAAAATAAGTTCTGTTGACATATTATACTTTTGAGATCTTGTCTTTGTTTCTGTTGGAATGCAATATCTAAATTAGGTATAGTGAAATGATTGATATGAATCTAATTTGACTCCTTGTCGTGGTCACAATGTCAGTGATATTTGTGCCATATTGAAATTTGATTAGGGACATGTGTTGTGACTAGATATTTATTATTATTATTATAAGTTTACATACTGTTGTGATTAAGTTGTAGCATCTACTGTTTGTGTTCAAGATTTACAGATAAAGAAATATTTTTGATTTGTTGATTATTTATTTATACAGAATATTGTAAACAAAGCCTGGATTTCCAGTCAAGGTTTATCAGTCAATGATAGACTAAGCTGTAATGAACAAGTATGTTTTCCACAGTTTTTCCAGGTTTATACTTTGGCTGGTTTTGTTTTATCAGTTTGAACAGATGGACAAGGGTAAATCGTTTCTGAAATTAATGATGACCTTACTGATTCGATGTTACTTTCTTATGGATCTTGACAAAGTCTGTGGAGGCCTGTACAAATATCTGCAGGTTTTCCTGTTTAATGCTATTTTTGTTTTTTAGAAAGAAGGCCAACTTAAGCCTTTCATTTTATATATTTTAATTCCTAGTCCATCAGAGGGAAAAAAAGAGAAGAAAAAATTCTAAAAAATTGTTGATTCTGAAACCATTCAAATTAAACACAATAACGTATTTGTTCTAAATAAAGTGTACGAAAGTCAAAAAGTGACAGAAGAACTATGAGACTATATGAAAATTTCTGATGTTGACCGTGTTCTTGTATCTGTAACCATTAAGCATGTGTTGAACTGACAAAATGGCAGAGACCTATGATTTAGGTAAACTAGATTGTTCGAGGGTGTTCAGGTATCATCACAGTAATACCTGTCCAGGTATTGTTGTGTTACTGTATACATGTACACAATACTGTATATACAAACCTCAGTGATCTGTCAATTTTAAAACTTACCTCAAGTATATTCAAATAAAGCGATCACATTTATTATCAGGTATGCCTACCAGTTTATTTTTAAATGTGTAGATTACAGCCCAAAGACGTCTATTACACCTGTAATAGCTTTATAATAAACATTCTGTTTGTGTGTTGTTCGCAACCTGTTCTCCCCAAATAACTATGAACTTAACCATTATGATAATGCAGGATGAATGCGACACGTGATTTTGGTCAGATGATATCTATAAGATACAGATGGAATTTTACCTAATTCTGTGTGATATATTTTCTCTCCTTGTGATGGTTGTTGGTACTTAATTACAAAACTGTATTCTCATTTTTCTCATAAAATGTTAAATTTTTAGATTATTTTAAGGAATAAAAACCAAACTTGTCAAGGTATGAATTGTAGTTATTCTCAAAACTTGGGCTTCTACACTGTGTCCTTTCTTAATAGAATGTTCAGTGTCTATTGAAGTAGTGAGCTGTGATTGAATCTGTGATTTTCATAATTAGTTTGTACCTTTCTTTTTGTCGAATATCTGTAATTAAGTTATTTTAGTAATGATTAAAATGTAATCGGAATGTTAAATGATGTTTTTATCTAAAATATTTCAGATTTTGAAATATTTGCACAGTTCTATTGATAATAATTTTATGTAATGACCTTTCTTGTAAATGACCCATCGTGATTCATTCAACATTTCCCTGTATAGTTTATCTACATTAATCTGGAAATTTTTGTTTAATCCAGAAGGGTCACAAATGGACATTATTTATATGGAAGGTGATGGTAAGACAAGCTTAAACAAAAAAATTGTGGAACGTGACAGTCAGGGAAAACAATTTCACCAGATATGCAGGGTCCAAATTATTAATGGACCTTAATACTCTTATGGTAATACAGAGTTCAGGTTAATAATGGACCTCAGGAAAGGTCCAGATTGATAATGGTGCTCTGGAGAGGTCCAGATTAATAATGGTCCTTGGTAGAGGTGCAGATTAATAATGGTCCTCGGTAGAGGTCCAGATTAATAATGGTCCTCGGTAGAGGTCCAGATTAATAATAGTCCTGGGAAGAGGTCCAGATTGATAATGGTCCTCGGGTGAGGTCCAGGTTAATAATTGTCCTTGGGAGAGGTCCAGATTAATGATGGTCCTCTGGAGAGGTCCGTATCAATAATGGTCCTCGAGAGAGGTCCAGATTGATAATTGTCCTCATGAGAGGGCTTCTGATTAATAATGGTTCCCAGGAGAGGTCCAAATAAATAATGGTCCTTGGGAAGGCTTCAGATTAATGATGGTCCTCTGGAGAGAGCCATATTAATAATGGTCCTTGGTGCTTTTCTTGACACACACCATAGCATGATTTGATTTTTTGGGGGCAATGGTAATCTTTCAATCCATGACATTGTCTTATAAACTATGTTCAAGTTAAAATTTATGGAAGTAATATGTTGCTTCTACATTTTCAAGATAAAGATTTTGTAATGCTAGTTGATGTTGATTATTTAAACATTTTTATCTGTTTTGAAATTTGTTAATGCATCTTGAAAAGATTGCAGTCTCTTAGTTGTTTCTATCCATCTCTCACAATTCATTTGTCTGCACTGATCTGTATGACATATGTCAAGTTTGAATGTTTCTTGGCTTCAGTAATTTTCATAGTCAAAGACACTGTAATGTATTCAGTTTCTCATTATAAATCTCTGTAATATTAATCCAGCTATCTATAGATGCTGACATGGATGAATTTGAACACTGAAAAAAGAACAATTCAATCTAGTGTGTTTTATATCTATCACGCTACCAATGCATTAGAGTCAGGAGCAATGGTGACCAAGTGGTAAGGGCATCTGACCATTTCTATCACTACTTCTCTACCTCTGGGTTGCAGGTTTGAGACCTATGTGGCCAGGTACTGGCCGTAGGTCGGTGGTTTTTCTGTGGGAACTCTGGCTTTGCCCCACCATCCAAATCTAGAACATCATTAATTGATCTTGACTATTAAAAGAAAGCAGCACTAAATGGATAAACTATTTGAATACTTCAAATTAAAGTTTGGTCCATAAGACAAGAGAATGCTAGTAGCACAATGTTGATAGATTTACAATGATCACAGAAGTGATTCACTTTACACAATTAATGTACATTCAAGTAATTTGATTATTTCAGCTGGATTAGTGATACAGGAAAAATCTATCAAAAATTTTGTTCATATAACATATATTATTATAGTGTTAACTTCAATTTATTTAAATGTAAACATCTGTTAGAACAACATTTATGTACATGTACAAAAGGGTATTGTGTAATGTAAAATCAAGGTTAAGTACTGTACTTCTATTTTAGATATTGCCAATTTTAAGATGCTTGTCATGCTGTAACCTACGATGGCTTTATATTCAAAATAAAGATCCATCTATTTTTGTATAAATAAGAGAGATATTTATGTTGTTGATTGCATTTTGTTGGCTTCCAGTAGTAATAAAAACTACACTCAAATCTGATAACTTTCCTGTACAATCCAGTCAGAGAATATAGAACTGATATATGTATGTTGTTCTCAGGTTTGTTTGCTCCACCCTCCATCTTTCTAGAAAGTTCATGTTAGATATGATCATTTTGTCTTTTTGAAATGCAGTCATCTGCATTTGGGAGCAGTTAAAATATTATGTCATTTTATCACAAATTTATAATTTTGTTTAATGGTACTCACCAATCAAGATCTGCTTCCAAGAGCAGATAACTCTGTATTATGAAAAGACAGAATACATCAATTTGGTATGTTTTTATCAGTGATTGATATTTTTGAAAAGAGAAAATTTGTCAAACTAGTATTTTTCACTATAACGCTGAACAAGTGATATTTTTTAAGGTTTCATTGCAGTTATCTGACTAAGAAGATCTCTGGTTTTTACACTGGAGACAAATCACAATTTTTCCAGGTTTAGGATTTACATTCAGTAGGAAATAACATATAGTTTAGATACCATCATTAATTGTATCTGTTAATGATATTTTTATTTTAGAACCAATCTAAGCCAAACATTAGCTCCATTAAGAATTTTGACTGGTTCATGTACATGAAAAGTCGGTCTGGTTTACCCGTTAATTTGAAAAAACGTAATGTCCGAGCATGGTATTGTGTGAGTTGGTGAATTTTGTAAACAGAGGTAATATGAAGATGTTCAAAATAATCAATTTTGCTTAAAAAGAACTATTTTAGATATTGAGAAATGTTCCAGGCGTATGAATCTTTTAATAATATTACATATACAGTATTGTACGCAAGATGTTTTTAAGCTTGCGTTTGTATTATATTGTCATCCATGACCGACCCATTTGTGCTTAAAATTGTTTGTTTTTCATTACGTCATTACTCCCTTCTTCATTTCCCAACCCCCAACCCCTCCCCAAGGTGAGAGATACTTAAATTTATTTGTATAATGTTGATGTTTTTAAATTACTATTGAGTTGACATGTAAATATTCTATGCCTCTGGTTCCTGAGGAGCAGATGTGATAACTGTTCTACTACTTCCTTGTAGTAATTCTCATATCAACCTATTTATCATTGCTTTATCTGTCGCATCATTAATGCATGTCACTCTGTGTTATTTTTGTATAAATTTCTTCAGTATTTAAAAGATGAATAAATTTACCTACTGTCAAATACTTACAGTTGTATTTCTTGATATTTGCTTTGTGATGGGGCTGGTGAAGGAAATTGTTGAAGATAATCAAAATTTCAGCAACCCCAGCAGTCCCCTTCTCTATCCAACATCTGTTGGGCTCAGCGACAGTTCCCACAGAGCTTGTTAGATATAAATTTCAACTGTGACTTGGGTATAAATTTCTATTGTAGTACATAGCTGCTCCTTTTAAAAAAAAGAAATGAAATTTTACAAAGATATTTGTGACCAACTTATATGTTATACACTGGAATATGGGGTATCCTACACTTTCTTATTCCTAGGGGAAAATGTAGCAAAAGTTATTACCTCTTAGAAATTTGAGTGATAGGAGTATCATGGTGGGACATGAAAAATAAGAATGTCGTGATTGGGCCAGCAATGGACAAGAATAAAAAGAAGCGTCATGGTTGGGCCAGTATTGGACAAGAATAAAAAGAAGTGTCATGGTTGGGCCAGTATTGGACAAGAATAAAAAGAAGCGTCATGGTTGGGCCAGTATTGGACAAGAATTTACAGGAATGTCATGATTGGGCCAGTATTCGACAAGAACATATTGGAGTGACATGATTGGTCCAATGGAATCAGCTTGCTGGCTGTTCACCCAGCTCTCTGTTAGTGAAATTCGTCTAGCTATGCATTCTCTTAGTTTTCAATTGTGTTCCCCCCCCCCCCCCCTCATGTCCATTTGTGTGAAAAATGAACTGTGGCTATGCATTCATTCTAAGGCATTGATTTTACTTTATGTGTGAAAGTGCCAGTACTATACGATGGGAGTTATGTCCCCTTTAGGTGAAAAATGCTAAAATATATAAATAAACATTCATGATTCATAAGTCCTAATTTTGTGACAAAGAATTACATGAAATTGTTGAAGACAAACATTTTAGTTGATGCTACAAAATTGCCCCGATTTCCATTTGCACTTAGTAAGACTACGAATGAGACCAGAGACCAAACCGATGTACGTGACGGTCGGCTGTCACAAAGTTAGCTTTAAGAAGAAGTGCTCTACATTTTCATTTTTTTTTCTAAAACTAGACAGCTAGCGACTAAGACAACACTAAAGGCGTTTATTCTTATCTCGTCATATAACGATGTTGTAAAGTAGAAAGCGAAAGAATGAACCCCGAGACGTTTAATAATTGAACCGAGGGCATCTTTGACGTGTCGAAGTTACCGTACCCTAAACCGTCACCGATATTCGCCCCAACGACCTTCACACAGATACTGTTACAGTCACCGGCTGACAGCAACATGAAGGTAACTGACTTTATTTAACCTAGTTTTCTTCTGTAATGCAGTAAGGTTGGTGTTATTTACCTGCCATATGCACTGTGTAATTCATCTGAAGATGACAACGTAGATTTGTTCAAATCATTTGACACACAAATGTAAGATTCTGTCGTCAGAAAGTGTTCTATATTATTCGTCTGCCGACAACAACAACAAAAATAAACACCGGTGCAGCCACTTTTGTATCTGCCTGGTAACTATTCTGATAAAGAGATTATTACTTATGTGAAAATCGAGGGTAAATCACACATGTACTAGACACACATATGTCCTAAACTATAGCACACCATTGTCGATCTACATTTCTATGGAAGAGTGGATCAGCCATATCGCGGGGTCAGAGTAGTACACATAACGCCTGCTAGATTTATCTTGCTATTCTTACAATGCGAAGTCCTTTTCACACAATATCTGGTACTTCGTTGTTCACTAGTAAACCTAAAGTATTCAAGGCGATATTCCATGAAAAGGAACCATCAATTAAATAGTCAAAACAAAACAGGTGTGTATGAAGGATTAAAAACTGTAGTTTGAAATCTGATTTAACTTACAGAAACCTTATAACCTTATCAGAGTGATAACTTCTTGAATAATGCTTTCCAATCTTCGTACTAGTAAGTTTTTTTCCAGAGTGGAGGGTGTACATACGAATATATACATTGGATATAGTTGAACCTTGTTAGTTCGAGGTCGGATGGACCGTGGGAAAAGTTATACGAGTAGGCGATTTAAGTGACTTTGAATGTTTGGTGGAAGTTTGACCGCCGAAGTACTTCGAATTAAAGGGTGTCTTCGAGTTATTCGAATTCTAGGTTTTACTAACCTAAAAGTGTTCAAACACACACTATGATCACGACGCTTAGTTTTTTCCCGACGTCGTGACAAGTAGCAATGGCATAGTTAACACACCCCCCCCACACACACACACACCCACTCTCCCCCCCACCTTCTCTCTCTCTCTCTCTCTCTCTCTCTCTCTCTCTCTCTCTCTATATATATATATATATATATATATATAAGTACTGTATATATGTATACATATATATATATTTATGCTGGTATTATCATTTAGTTTTACATCGATTTGCAGGGTCGATAGGGGAATCGTACAGATGACGCTTTTTAATTTGAAAACAAGATCTCGTTTCTTTACGGCCTTAATACGTTTATTGTTAATGTTTTATAGATCTGATATGTGTTTTATAGATATGATATGTGTTTTATAGATCTGATATGTGTTTTATAGATATGATTTGTGTTTTATAGATATGATTAGTGTTTTATAGATATGATATGTGTTTTATAGATCTGATATGTGTTTTATAGATCTGATTTGTGTTTTATAGATATGATATGTGTTTTGTAGTGCGAGTGGACAACATTTAAGACTTTGGGGGAATTGCCCCTTGGTAGAAGTAGCCATTCAACAGTGGTTATAGGCAGAAAGGCGTATATATTCGGCGGTGAAAACATCCCTCGTGTACCAATTAGCAACATTATCCATTGTCTGGACATGGACACGTGCACTTGGTCTGAACTTACTACGACAGGAGATGTTCCAGCACCAAGAAACGCACACACCGCCACCGCAGTAGGTCACGTGATGTACGTGTTTGGAGGAAGAACTGGAATTAATATGGGCGAAGGAAGCTTCAATGAGCTGTATGCTTTCGATACCAGCAACAATGTTTGGACTCTTTTGAAACCTTCTGGCGTCGCACCTACCCCTAGGAGTTTCCACGCCATGACTGTTATAGGAAATCGTCTTTTCGTGTTTGGCGGGTGTGGAGAAGAGGGCCGTTTAAACGATCTGCATTCGTATGATATAGAAGCAAACACCTGGCAGAAAGAGCCAATCAACAAAGACATCGACGGACGAGGTGGTGCTGGTCTCATTGCCATTGGAAATGACGTGTTTGTCGTTGCAGGTTTTGCAGGTCGAGAGATGAGTGATGTCCATAAGTACGACACTGTCTCCAAAACATGGTCAAAACTGACCACTGACAAGGCCCTTCCCCCGAGGTCCGTCTTTGGAATCACATCCGTATCCACTTTCATTATTGTGTGGTTTGGGGAGGTAGATCCATCCGATAAGGGACATTTAGGAGCTGGGGGATTTTCTAAAGACGGGTATGTAATGGACGTTAGTTGCAAAACCGGATGGGAGTTGATTAAATGCACAGGAGAAACACCCGAAGAGAGAGGATGGATGCATATCGCTCCTGGTAATTTGAATGGTAAAGATGGCGTATTTGTATTTGGAGGAAACAACATAAACAACGAAAGGTTAAATGATAGCCATTTTCTGTCTATCAAGCTGTAACAACAAAACGACCACCTGCTTTCTTGGATATGGACATGGACGACTTAAAATACTTTCAGCAGATAACGCTTCACAAATTTCATCACATTTGTTTTCTCAGAAAGAAACAATAATATTGGCAGCATTTTGAAAAAGAAGATACAGAACAGTTATAATATTTAACGCTTTTTTTGTTTGTATCAAGTCGATGTGCGCATAAATATTGATTATTGATATATTGGATAACCATTTTTCCATTATGCAGATTTGGATACCATCGTTAATTCTTTGTCTCTGTCACTTTGATATACAATGTATGTGACGTTTTAGCCACTGTCTTGTTATACATCAATCAGCAAAAATATTGATAGGTCCCAATTGATGTTTAATTTTGGTGTAATTGATTGTTTGATGTGTAATTTTGGTGTAATTGATTGTGTGATGTTTAATTTGGTGTAATTGATTGTTTGATGTTTAATTTTGGTGTAATTGATTGTTTGATGTTTAATTTTGGTGTAATTAATTGGTTGATGTTTAATTTTGGTGTAATTGATTGTTTGATGTTTAATTTTGGTGTAATTGATTGTTTGATGTTTAATTTTGGTTAATTTTGGTGTAATTAATTGTTTGATGTTTAATTTTGGTGTACTTGATTGTTTGATGTTTAATTTTGGTGTAATTGATTGTTTGATGTGTAATTTTGGTGTAATTGATTGTTTGATGTTTAATTTTGGTGTAATTGATTGTTTGATGTTTAATTTTGGTGTAATTGATTGTTTGATGTTTAATTTTGGTGTAATTAATTGGTTGATGTTTAATTTTGGTGTAATTGATTGTTTGATGTTTAATTTTGGTGTAATTGATTGTTTGATGTTTAATTTTGGTGTAATTAATTGTTTGATGTTTAAGTTTGGTGTAATTAATTGTTTGATGTTTGATTTTGGTGTAATTAATTGGTTGATGTTGTGAGTTGTTGAAATTCATACGTCGCATATCAAGATATATACTATATTTTATTAGTTTAATATTTCTACACAAGAAACACTCATTCCTCATCCGCTATAAAGCATGGTCCTCATTAGACAGAAGTTGTAGAGATTTTTAATATACGGACATAACACCGATCAATAAACCACAAATTGTGATGATGCGTCTTCGTTTTCATGTGAATGTTTTATTTATTGATTTGCTTTTGTTTTGTACAATATTTCCCGTGATACTAGTAAATAAAGCTAATTGAAAGACAGAGAACATTAGGTTTCGAAATAGGCAGACTAATGAAGAAAAGCCACAACTTCCATGGTCGTCCATACGATATCATGCTGTTTTGTTTCAAAATGTCCAATATCTTTGTTTGAGAACATTACATTTCTTACTTTTTATTTGGGTTTCGTTGAAGAAATACCAGATCTTGACTTTTTAACCAATTGATCTTGATTTTTTTAACACTTTTTTTATATAAATAATTTAGATTCTTCAAAACTAGTTTGCTCTAAGAGTATCGACGACTTGTAATGTTATGTTAATATTTGTTCTATATCATATCAATTTCTTAAATCTACCAGTAAAGGGAGGGACAACAGAGTATCGATTTGTCCAGAGGTTCCAACAAGTGCAACAATTTATTTTCGTCGGAACTCTCTCGCGTAGAAGGTATGATAGTGAGTTTCTTTTATAGTTGGTTATATATAAATGTTCAAATGACACACAAGTGAATGCGGTTTTTCTTAATTTAGAGTGAGATACAGTAGAGTCAAACAATTAATTAAACTGCATTATACAGCTGTTTCGTCCTTCTAGGACTCGTCAGTGATGCTAAAACTTTTAAGCCTGAGAGGAGACTGAGGGAAATCCAAAGTAAAGAAAAGTCAAAATCAAGACGGGGAGGTGCTGCAGTCCCATAATTATATAAATTTTGTAATTTTAAATATCAGATAATTTTAGAAAAGCATCAAGTACATATGTATTTTCTTAACCTTGACTCTATTCAAGTTAATTAAAACGTGGCAAGCAGGTAAAGGCAAACCTCGGAGGCTTAATGTCTACCGCCTGCTATGTATTACATTAAGTATACACAGACAAGTATAATCACAGTTAGTATACACAGACAAGTATAATCAAAGTAAGTATACAGACAAGTATAATCACAGTAAGTATACAGACAAGTATAATCACAGTAAGTATACAGACAAGTATAATCACAGTTAGTATACAGAGACAATTGTAATATTTACAGTAAGTATACACAAACAATTGTAATATTTACAGTAAGAATACACAGACAATTGTAATAATCACAGTAAGTATACACAGACAATTATAATATTCACAGTGAGTTTACACAGATATTTTTATTGTACCCTATACACAAATTATTCAAAGGTTCTAGTAATAAATGGAAATTCGAATCTCCCACAATATATGAGCAATTTGATACTTGGCATTTGTATGTCGCTCTGCATAGATCACGATTCCTTGTGTAATATTGTCGTGTTGGCGACATCTGTTTGCATGTCACCGCTCTGTAATTTATAATAGGATTGAACACATGTCAGCAGCGTATTGCGAAACGGCGCAATGCGTCAAAAATTATTTATTTATAGATAGTTGTAAAAATAATGACTGAATCTGTAAGTTATTATATGATTATGTTATGACAATCAACTCAACTTTAGTTTTCAGTGAAATATATGCATATTTCTTTTCAATTAATTCAAATTGTAACACGGTTTAGAATATGTACTCTAAAATTATCAGATATATGAAAAGTCCAGATTTTTGTAGATTAAGAGGCTGGTGCCTCTCACTATGTAGATTTTGATTTTTCTTTCAATTACTTTTAATTTTCCTCAGTCGCCTCCTAGGCTTTAAAGTTTAGACCCTTATCATCATTGACGAGTCCTAGAAGGACGATACAGCTGTACGATACAGTTTAAGGTTCTACAACATCAAATTCTAACTTTGATGTAAATTGTGCTTTTCACTAGTGTCATTTTTTGTACAATGTTTGTATAATTTTCCTGAAACACAATATCAATTCAAATCGCTGATCTTTGTTTGCCTTGATTAAAGTGTACATCGGGGTCCTAACATTCGGAGTGCTGAGATTTATTTTCGCGTTAATACTCGAGGAGAGTCAATCGCGAATTTAAAATCCTCGAAATCATTATAAACTCTGGATGGTGTCCACTTTGACTCTAAATCCATGTCTCTAATAACACATCATTTGCGCATTAAAGTCATTTCTAGATCAGTATTCGCGAAATAAAGTTTTCGCGAATATATCTGAAGAGGTAAATCAACGAAATAAAGTATTCGCAAAATGTAAGTGATTTACAGTACCCGGTAAAACACGGTGGTTGACCAGTTGTCATTTGTTTTGTAATGTATAGATACGTGCAAAAGTATAGATATAGAGATAAGCACACGCTCTGGTCAAGCCATTCCAATGTAAGATAATACTGAAAGGTTATTTTGATGTTCTTGGTAATTTGCCGCAATGCGCCATCTCGGTTCACGACATTACATGTAAAGCAGCAACCCCTACTAAGCCGGTTATCGTTCTCGTTTAACAATAAAAAATACCAAACATATTGGTAAGAAGATCTTTTGTAAACTTTGTGACATATGTCTGTTTGTATACAAAAAAGGGAAATCATTATTTTATTAATTTTCATGACGTAATTTTGTATTTGCTCGATGCGCATGATGTATAATAGTATTAAGAGTTTATACCAAGGATATTAAACTATAAATATGGTTAATTACATCTGCAGCCTGAAAATAATCGCATTCCAGTTTGCGTCCTTAATGAGCCACTGACGACTGTCAATATCAGATCCTGTCACTGAATCTCTGGCAGTGTATGACATTTAAAAATCTACGTGTCCGATTCACTATTTCCAGCCGGTTTTTATTCTTTGATACTGAATAATTAATGGTTTGAAAACAAATAGTTCAGCGATAATAAACCGTCATTCCAACAACCGAAGATAGCCAGGAACATCCATATTCTTCTCACCGATAATGGTAAGTAGATAAAAATTCTTACATGATTTAATTGTTTGTTAATATCTTCAAAGTGTGATGTTCAAAGTACGGTAAATAGGAGGGAAATAATAAAATCTCCGGATATTAAACTCCCGGTCTCATCAGACAAAATACTGATGATATAACATATAGAGATTGGTGTTTTTAAAAACCTGTAAATTGATTTCTTATAAACGTCATTTTATCTCTAATAGATATAATTACAGTATATTGCCTAACAGATGCTTCACGCTTCACTGAATTACACCATAATTTCCTATAACACTCTCGAAGAACCTGTCTGCTTCGATGATTGTAACTGCAGTAGAATCGATTATTTTTGATAAATACACATACTACATATTTATTTGTGTATGTAAAAAGTAAATAAACACACGTATACATAGCTACATATAAACGACAGAGTGATATTGACATTTCAGTGATACAAGATATGACAATAAATATATTATCACTAATAGTATGTAGGACTGTACTCTCGTCCCGGGTAAAACTTTGGGATACTTTTAAATGGCCTTGTTGAACATGCTTCCAGACAGCGACCTGTGACAAAGAACGTGCTGGATTATATATTGTATTTTTATATAGATGCCTGCTTGGCAACTTAACCTTATCTGAAGAGGTGCACTAAGATTTATTCTACCTTAATAGCCTACTACGTGCAAGGTTTATATCAACTTCCTAAAACACCACAATAATAATTTCTATGAAATAAATCTACAAGGGACATTTTCCTTGCACATACTTATTCAACACCCAGCACAGGTATGGTGTGTATGTATGTTGATTGTATGTGTCGTTACAAATGACACGTTTAAACAGCAAAATCCTGCTTATTTATGAACATAGTTTATGATTTATTTAGATGATATATTTGCTGCAAGTGTTTTTACAAATTCTGTCTACCTGGGTCACATATCAATGAATGTTCCCCTTTTTAGAAATATTGCGTTTCCTTGTTGACATACCGAGTACCAACCAAAGTAATAACGTTCTAATTTCCAAATGACCGACGTCCTAACGTCCATCACAACAAGCCGTGTTTAGTTTCCATATGTCCACCACTAGTTGGATCAAGTTTCCATATGTCTACCACTATATGTGTCTAGTTTCCATATGTCCACCACTAGCTGTGTCTTGTTTCCATATGTCTACCACTATATGTGTCTAGTTTCCATATGTCCACCACAACAATCTGTCTCTAGTTTCCATATGTCCACCACTAGCTGTGTCTTGTTTCCATATGTCTACCACTATATGTGTCTAGTTTCCATATGTCTACCACAACAATCTGTGTCTAGTTTCCATATGTCCACCACTAGCTGTGTCTAGTTTCCATATGTCCACCACTAGCCGTGTCTAGTTTCCATATATCCACCACAACAATCTGTGTCTAGTTTCCATATGTCTATTTCAACAAGCTGTGTCTACTTTCCATATGTCCACCACTAGCTGTGTCTAGTTTCCATATGTTACCACAAGCTGTGTCTAGTTTCCATATGTCCACCACTAGCTGTGTCTAGTTTCCATATGTTACCACAAGCTGTGT